CTCCCTCTCCCTCTCCCTCTCCCTCTCCACACCTCCATCCCCAAACTAAAAACTCCTTTCACCCAATCCAACCTAACCCAACCCAATTTAACCAAAACCAAATCAAACCAAAATCACAATATAATATAAATATAACATAACACACAGTTAAAATTATTTAATAATAACTTATTGACACATCATCATCTCGTTATCCTATAACTATTAAATCATCAAATTATCAAGCACCACCTTCCTTCACCACTCCTCTCCACCACCCCTCTCACCATTCGGCTCCATACATCCACACATCCATACATTCATACATCTATATATCTGTACAATACTACAACTACATCAAATCAAATCAAGACACAACAAATTCCAACAAACCAAGTAACAAACAATCTCACAAAAGAGATAGTCTCGCGACCCAAGTTTAAGATTCATGATTTTTTTATTTTTTATTTTTTTTATCTATTAACACTATTCTCTGGCCTCCAACTTTCTAATTTACAGACAAAACAACTCGAATTCCATCCGTGATCAATCCCATCCTCATAAGCCATCAATACGAATACCAATACCAATACCAATTCCAATACCAATTCCATACATATATAAGTAATATTTCAAGTTCCAAAAACTTTTTCAACGCCTTTTCACTGATGTCCCAAGCACCAATCTGCTCAGTCCTTCGATATCCCCCATGTACCAAGACCTGTAGCCATCTATATGAACGACTCCCATGATACGATAAAGGTATATACTCTCTTACGCCCACTTTCCTAATAATGCCATCAAACCCGCTCCTGCACACATGCATCCGAAAGCAAAAAACATCATTTTCATTGAGCTTTTCCGCATCTCCTGGTTGAACATGAACTCATGTGCCATCAACTCCACTAAACCTGTATATATAAGGATTCCGGCACTGATGGAATCAAATACACCATTGATAATCATGGTCTTCTGACTGCCTGGTGCAAATGTTGTACGAACACCCAGACCAATAGCAATCGCAATGGGTGTTGTAAAGCCATAAGCAGATCCTAAAGCCCATGGCATCCAGCCCTTATTCTTCGGCCAACGAGCCGTGGCAAGTCGAGCTCCAAGACCGAGTCCTTCGAATGTTTGGTGGAAGACAAGGACGATGTAGAGAAGGTTGAAATCCTCACCTGTGACGGCAAGTGTGAGACCAATGAATATGGAGTGAAATATAACACCAAATTCAAGAATGAAAAGTGCAGTCATTTGAGCAGCAAAGTGGTCATCATCTTCATGATGTTCCCTCTGATGTCCGAGATGATCTTCGCCTCCAGGAGGGTATGACAAATCATCCGGTCGTCCTGGGATACTAGACCTCCCTCTGGCTGGCTCTTCCCCAGATGACTGTATCCGAGTACTCGAGCTATCGTTGTTATGTTCTAGTACGGTATTAGATGCTTGAGAGTTATCCGCAACTCTGTGGTTGTTACCTCCTGGTGGTGGAGATGTTCTTGATGCCTCACCCTTCTCATTTCGGGTGTTTCGTCTCATAAGGTCCTTTGCTGGATCGGCAGATTCCAGATCATGACTATCCTCACCAAATACATCAAATCTTGATGCCATGAGCTCAATGAAGAACATGCTGAAGATTGTCATAAGGGCAATTCCTTCAGCCCAATCATATTGTGTGATTGGGCCCGTTAAACATGGGGAGGTCAGATTGGCCGAAGCGGGAGCTAGTAACTATGATTTAAATGGATTAGCACACATCTCGGGTGAATATCCGGAACCCATTTCAACTTGGCTTGAAAATGGGAGCGGGAAGAACAAAACTTACATGTATGAAAGCCGTAGATATAATGACACCCGATCCAAAATATTTAGTAATGAAGAATGCCAGAGGTGGGACCCTCAACCTTTGTGTTCTGGCGGCAGCAATTGGTAAAAGAGCACCTATTATTTTGTTCAGCCGAAGTGATCCTCGAAAATGGGAATCCATGTGTGACAATGAGGAAGAACATACCCAACATCGAACCAAATCCTATAACGAATATCGAGGATATCCGTATTCCTATTCGTCCATCATATTCATTTCCACCCCCACACGTAACCTCGACTGTATATTCCGACATGTTCACCGATTGCTTCTCTGTCAACCACCCCGCAGATATCGTATCTTCCCCAACTGATGTCTAATTTGTATCTTCGAATATCTTTATGCAATTCCAGTGCACCCCGCTACGCGTCGTCTCTTAAAACACGAATGAATTGGTCGAGAAGCTCCAACAGAATCGTGTATCGTCAAAACGGATATTGACCGAGAGTAACGATTGAGGAGATAGAGATGGAGTTGGAGTCGGATGTGGCCCACACTTAGCTCGAAAAGATGAAAAGTTGTATTGTCGTGGGGTTTCCGTAGCTAGTAGCAAAAGTGATCAGCAAGTTATTACACTTATTAATTGGGGAAGAGGTCGATCTTTTAAAGAGAGAGGGAGAGAGAGGGAGAGAGAGGAGAGAGAGAGAATGAAAAGTTAGTACTGTACCTTGTGAGGTAGATACCTAGGTAGGTAATGAATGAATGTTTGTAGTAAGTATATATATATTGTATTATCTACAGAACCTATTTACGAAATTCACAAAAGATATATACAATAAAATAATAATATCACCAAAAACAGGAGGTACGGAAATATATAGTATTATAGTAAAAGATCAAAAAGAAAGTGGAGTTGGAGGGGAAGGGAGGGAAGAACATTCAAACAAATCATCATCAATGATGATGAATGGATGGATGATGTTCAGTGAAAAGATTCTAAAAATGAGAACCTTGATGGGTAGATACTAGTAGATCGCCAAGCTTTGAGCAAACCAAAAAGATAAAATCTGGGTCTGTCTAATTAATAATAGCCAAGTAAAATAATACTCAAAATTCTCTACTTTTGATTGGATATTTAATATAATAATTGCCTGAAAAGGAGTTTTCAACTCTTCGAAAATTAACAAATCCATTTCTAGCTTTCTTTTCCTCCTTCTGCTTTGAATATTTGATAGATAGTATAATACAATAATGTCGATCGAGTGCCGGAACATCCGTAGGTGGGTAGGTACAGACAGAACCCATCAGATACCGGTATACTAAATGACCATCTCGCCTTAGCTATAGCGGTTGCGCGCATAAGGTTTCTTTCTTTCTTTTCATCTTAGATACCAATATCTTGGAGCTCGAATATGGTGCTCGTGCACGAAGCGGAAGCGGTCCATTGCATTTGCTTTGCGTTACTTTGCATTATTATGTTGTGATAACTAGGTACTCGTAGGTAGTTTTACACTACTGTACTCGAGGAATGATTACCTAGGTAAAGACGAACAACAAAGTTCAAACGGAAAAAGATTTGTATCACGTGAACAATATCTACGGAGTTATTCTCCGCTTCTCCATCAAGGATGTGGATTTTGTCATTTATTTTATCTCGTTGTGGATGCACAACCTCTCAATCTCATTTCACGATCGGTCTCAAGTACCTATCTATCTTATCATCCATCCTTGTCTTTGGTTGTTTCGGCAGCCTGCCGAGTCCATTTCCGCTGGTGCTTTCATAGATCATGATATCAACATGACCGTTCGGTTGTGTTCATAACGTTGTAACGTACCACTACCAGTATCAGACTGTTTTGTACGCCTGGCGGTTGCGATGTAGCTTTCTGGGTCTTTCTGGGTCTCAAAGTGGTCCGAAAAAGAAGCTGCTCATTTCGATACTTGATTAGAGTCGGGAAAGTACCTGGACATTCAGCGACACCATGAATACGATGTCGCCAACATAACCTTCAAATTGTAACTCGCAAACATCCATGTGCTACATCGATATGTCTCCGGTATTCTAGCCGAGATATTGCTGTGCAATTCAAGGCCCCTCAGATCCGGCTTGCTCTGCTTGATGTCCTTCAAAATCTCGAATATCGCCTGATCATTCCCGAGCTCGATCAATGGAGACGACATCACAGCGTTGGGCGTCATCATTTCAGCCCGGTGAAACATCGCCCGGTGGAACAAGAGTTGTTGCCATTCCCCAAGAATCCAATCATTCACGAAGAATATTGCAATTCCAGTCCCAGAGCCCTAAATGGTTGATCTCTCCTGTTCATATCAATCGAAGTACCAAGAGTGAACAACAATTCCTTCACTCTCCCCTCCCACACTAATCCCACCTTCAAGTTCTGATCAATCCTTGCTTTCAATACTCCCGCAACCTCTTCAGGTTTCTTTTCCTTTTCCAAGTCCACTTCATCGAGTTTCCATGCAAGCTTTGCTTCCATACTCCTTACTCTGCGCTCCTCGACCGGTGCTTTCATCTTCCACAATTCACACCCAATTACCAGGTCACTCTCGTAACTATAGACATTGAAGTCTAGCCTGGAACATAGAGACAAGTTTTTGCCTGCCTTCACAGCATACGTCGAACTGATATTTCCCATCAACGGATTAAGCGTCAACGTCGCTGTCAACGGAATTCCCTTGTGCGCCGGTAACGTCGCAAACCTCCCCCCAACACTAACTCCCCCAGATTTATTCAAAGTCCCATAATAAAGTTCCGCCCCGGCACTAAATCGTCCATAAAACTTATCATCAATCCTCGACATTTGTTTAGGCGGTTCCGTGACCTCTTTCCTTGGATCCGGTCCAAAATTATATAATCCCCTCAACCCCAATAACCCCCCATCAGTCGAATACAACGTCTCCGTGCTATATTTCCCCGTGTCATACTGATGCAACGCCAACATCGTTCCCCCATTCCTCAGCCTACTGTCACTAACAGCCGTTATCCTCACCTGCTGCGTTGGACTAATCCTCCTTAAATACAACGCCTCAAGCGTACTCTGCGGCAAGTAAAGCCGTCCATAAAGTAACGTATCCCGTTTATCAACTCTTCTTCCCCCGTGCCATTGCTCCCACATCCATGATTCGTCGACGCTCCTTAGTTCTTGAATTTGTCGATACCCACGTATTATTTCATGCAAATCGATCTTTGCACTCTGCGAAGTCGTGCGAAGGGGTAGTGTGGAATAGAGGTAGGAGAGAGATCCATCGACAAGCCCTACGCTACCTAGCGCATACGAAGTCGCAAAGTTGGGAGAACTGAGGGATGAAAGATTGAATCGGAGACCGCCTGGAGTTTCAAAATCAAGAAGTCCTTTATGCCATGGAATGTCAGCGATCTGGAGTTGTAGGAGCTGTGAAGGAAAGATTTAGAGGCGGGTCAAAGAAGGTAAGTAATACCTTTCGCAGTAGCAGTCAACTGTGAGTACGAATTCTCGTAATTCCATTTCGTTGCATTATAAAATGCAAATTGCACATAATCCATAAACTCCAACATCTCCAAGCACTCACCACATCAAGCTCTAAGCGTTTCGTGAAGAACAACAAAACTTCTCCCAATTCACAAACAAAGTAAAACCAAAGCTCCAATCGAAGCTCCATCCCAAAACATAAAAATCCGGAACAACATAAACCCCACTCCGACCCCACCCCGCTATTCCCTGAAAAGCCTAGCCCCAAATCTTATCACTATCGCAAGCTTGTAAAAAAAATAAAAAATACCTCGAATATCCAAAAAGCGCAATTCTCCATCACCTCTCGCCCAAATCAACCATATTTCTCTCCATCACCCACAACTACCCTTTACACATTAATCGCCATGCCTAAATCCAAGCGCTCCCGCGTCGTGCACCTCACCAAAGTCGATAAAAAGGGCAAGGAGCTTTCGCTCAAACTCTTTGCCAATGTGCGCGAATCGCTCGATACCTATCAGCATTGTTTTGTGTTTAGTGTGGAAAATATGAGGAATACTTATTTGAAGGGTGTGAGGAATGAGTTGAGCGATTGTCGGTATGTTGCATTCTTATATTCTCGTTTCGAATTGGGGATCGTGGTGGAATCTATCATTGATGGTGACCATTTGCGCTGGTTTTGTTAGAAGATGGCAAATGGTTTGAGGATTGGAAAGCGAAGTGAAAAGAAGCAAGAGAAAGACAATTGGGGAAACACAACAATTCGAAATATTGGGATTTCCCATTGGATATCCTCAACTATCAAAATGAATGCTAATATATTTTCCCATCACAGACTCTTCTTCGGCAAAACAAAAGTAATGTCCAAAGCCCTCGGCAGCGACCCCTCCTCCGAATACCAACCAAACACTTCCGTGCTCTCCCCCCATCTGGTCGGCAACGTCGGTCTCCTCTTCACCAACCGCGAACCCTCCTCTATCATCTCCTTCTTCCAAGACCTCTCCAAAACAGATTTTGCCCGCGCCGGAACCGAAGCTAGTAGAAATTTCACCATTCCCGCTGGAATCGTCTACAGCATGGGAGGAGAGATTGCCACCGAGAACGATGTTCCAATGGCGCATAGTCTGGAACCTGAATTGAGAAAACTAAATGTACCGACTACTTTAACAAAGGGAAAGATTACGTTGGAGAATCATTATTGTGTTTGTAATGAGGGGGATGTGTTAGATAGTAGGCAGACTAGATTGTTGAAGTTATTTGGAGTGGCTACTGCAGATTTCACTGTTCAATTACTTGCGTAAGTTTCCCTTTCTTTCCTTTAAACCCGACGATGGTCTAATTCTCAAATAGATACTGGAGCGCAGCCAACCAAGAAGTGACAGAGATAGAGGCCACGGAAATGAGCGAGTAAAAGCAGTAGATAAAGCAAAAAGCATTTCGGATTGTCGTTTCTGTTCTAAACTATCATACAGTCAAAGAAGACTAGACTATGAGGCGTTTACCGGCGCCACGTTTTTATCATGGAATATATGTGTACTTCAAAAATTAAAACAGCAATTTCCTGAGTACTATGCCTGAGCTATCCATCTTACCCCATGAACTTCACTTTTTCCTCCTTGATCTTGCATCTAAATTGCCATGTTTCTAGCCAGGAGACAAATTTGCCGAAGCACTAAACGAAGATGGTCAGGCAGTACCTATTTCTTACCTCTGATCATATACCCCCTCTGATCAAAGTAGGCCCCCAATGCAAAAAGAGAAATTATCCACATCATACCAAACCATTGAGAAAGATGCCGGATTGCTGAGTGTAGAGAAAGGTCGTAAGGAGTCGAATTAACAAAAGGTTAGTCGTAGAGAGATAGCCCCTTTTGTCTGTGATATCAAAACGCTGTCGAAAAGCATGCAAGTAGATTAGGCGACAACACTACCTTGGGTGAAGTGAAAACTTGTATCGAAGAATCGCTTACCCCTGGTGAGAAAGGGAGAAAAGATGGAAGATTCGAAAAAACCCACCACAAGACTGTTGAACCCACCCGCCAGCCCTGTTGTACCTAATACCTTCGTAGTTTGCGAGGATCCTCCTCATAGCCATTGCTGTCATGGGGTCTCTTTCGTGAGTCGTCTTCGCGTGGTCGACCGCCATATCCTCCATCTCTAGGGCCGTCTCTAGGACCGTCTCTATGACCGTCTCTAGGGCCGTCTCTAGGTCCGTCTCTATCACGATATCCGCTAGCATCTCGGGGTCTTACCGGCTCCATATTGCTGCCACTACCTCCGCGAGGAGGACCTCCGTCGCGATCACCATAGCCACGATTGCTGTTGCCACGGTATCCGCCGGATCTGTCATCAAATGAGCGGCCTCCACGAGAGTCATACCCACCACCTGGTCCTCCAGGGCCATTTCGATCTGGTGATCCTGCGCCGGCGCCGAAGCCTCCACCTCCTCTTCCACCAAATCCGCCGCCACCACCAAAACCTCCACGACCACTACCCCCTGGACCAGCTGGTGCATTGGGAGGAGCGTATCCGTTAGAGCCTCCAAACCCACCACGATCACCTCTATCACCGAAACCTCCGCGACCTTGGAAACCAACTCCTCCTCGTCCACCACCGCCGCCACCAAATCCGCCTCGGTCGAAACCTCCTCTGAAGCCACCACGGCCTCTACCGCCATCGAAACCGCCTCGGAAACCACCTCTAAAACCGCCAGGACCTCCAGGGGGGGCATTGAACCCACCAGGACCCATTGGTCGTGGAACAGCAGCCTTAGTGTATCCGCGACCTCCAAGTCCACCTCCGAGACGGCGAGGTACCCATCCTTTCACGGTTCGACCTCTCTCAACGTCTACCTTGATTCGACGATCTTTGATTCTGATACCGTCACAGTTTTCTAAACCAGCTATTCACGAAGCGCGAGCAAGGCGCAATTGTCAGTCATTTACCCACATGCATATACCTTGATCTGGGCAACAGGAAGTAAAAAAAAACGAAGACAAAAAGTGAAGACGTCAAGTCTGAATGGCAATTGCGCATTCACGCAATTGGCGTATGGGGAATATGGGGTTGTGCTCGGCTTTACCTCTCATGTCCTTCTCTCGCTCGAAAACTACGAATGCGTAACCGCGGTGCTTCTTGACCTTCTTTCCAGGCTTTTCATTTTGATGGGTATCAGTAACTATGCGAATCTACGTAAGGTACCGAGGTTAGCATGAAATATTGAGCAGAATGTGTAAGGAAGCGTACTCTTTCGATAGGTCCGAATCGGCCAAACTCGCGCTCCAAGTCCTTTTCGGTGGCCTCATAATCTAGTCGGCTAACAATAAGGGTTTTGAAAGCATCGCCTCGAATATTTGGATCCTCTTGTGGTTTGACTAGATGAGCAGAATGAGTAAAAGTCCAAAATATCTGACATTAGAGAGAGTGGGAGGTTGGAAAGGTGATGTAAGACATAAAGGGTGGCCCTCACATGTTTTTGGGGCTTCCTGAATAATATTTTCGTGTGCGGCCTTTTTCTCCTGCTTAACGCGATCTTTTCTTTGAAGCCAGCTCTCAGTAGGCGTATATTCATCGGTCTCCTTGTATTCTGCCAGGGCTGGAAGATACGCAGCAAGACCAGTGACAGCAGCAGTTCTGCGATTTTCAGGAGCGTGGTCTGAAGGCGGAACCCATCGCAAAGGGGGTCGAGGCGCGAAAAGCGCAAGGAGATTTGGGGGAAGTTTATCGGTCATTGTGGGTTATGAACGATTCCCAAACTTTTCAGAGTGATGAATTTCCAGTCTTTGGGATAACTGCGAAATAATGGTGCTAAATCAAATGATGGAATAAACTTTAGAAACTGTGTCGCGTCGCCAAAGCGAAGAGGCCTAATAGTGACCTGAGATTTGAGCTCCGGAGCTTAAAAAAAGATTCCTCACGTGATCCAAAAATTATTACAATGCGGCGGACCTCTCAATATGTTGATCTCTATTTTGGAATTCATGTTTTGAGGTCAGCACAACAGTCAAGATGAGGATTACAGGATTAAGGAAAACGACCACTAGCCAGGTATGCATATCGTCAGTTCATACAGGTAATTTAGCTGGCTAACATCGAACTCAGAATGGTGTTGGCACCTTTGTACTTCAGTGCATACGAATGGATTTTCATTACTGCGATTGGGCAGGTAGTTCCAAGGGCATGAAGTAAGTTATATCCCCGGACTCTAAAGCTGCTCAAGTACTTATGCAGTCGCAGTACCTTTATAAAAAACACCCTTGCGGGCTTCGCCAAAAGGAATCCTCAAATCGAAATGACCGTCTCTCCCCGACCCCACAAACATCCAGTCGTCATTGGACATTATATAAATGGTCGCGAGAAGGCTATTTGCGTCAGGAACCTAGAACTGGGACAGATATTGAAGAAAGTAGAGCTGCTGAGGGATGCGAACGGAGAGAAGTTGAGGGTTGTCAAAAAACCGGTTCGAAGTATCAACGACAGTGTTAGAGGTATATGGAGTCCTTACCATAGTGGTGGAATGAAGGCTTGATGGGGGAACATGGAGAGGGTTGTTGTATTATACATACAGCATTACTGGCGTTAAGGACAGGATTTCATGGGTACCGATGGTCCTGTGCCAAATATTTCGGGTGTACGGATGAGATAGTTATGAGCTGAGCAACTCATTGAAGCTATACTTTTCACATATCATCTCCAAGTTTGAGCTTCTTCCAATTTTTTTATGCCAGCATCTGGTCTACGTTGCTTTGCTATCTCATAAACCTATCTCTCGGGCCTTATTGCCACAATGCCAATCAGCAGCAAGACTAAGTCTCATTTTGTCAGCGTAACGAGGCCCATAGGAAATGTTAGATATATTTATCATGAACATAGACACCAACAAATAGAATCTGGACCAACAGCACTTGAACCAAAGACTTGAACGTTGCCTTAAGAGTATGGAGAGAATGTATGCCAGTTTGGCATTATCGAGCTAGATTTCGTCCAAATATCTACCCAGTTGCAATCCGAAAGATTTATGCGAATTATTAACGATGCTTCAAATCTTACTGTCACATTGAATATGGCTATTTACAGATCTATCGACGCATTAGAATTTTCACGCACAACAAGTCCGACATTGCAATATGATCCTTCATGGTGGGATATTCTCCGAAACAATGCACTGCCAGGAATTATCTTTTTATTGCCCGGTAGGATTGCATACCCAATTTACAGTCGTAATTCATGAAATCCTAAAACCACTTACAAGTGGCTGTTGATGATATCAACGAAAGCTGGCTTCAAAGAAGCACCTCCAACCAAGAAACCATCAATATCTTCCTGTTTGCTCAACTCCTTGCAGTTCTTCTCGCTGACACTGCCACCGTAAATGATTCTGGTCTCCTCTGCGACCTTCTCGCTAACCTCACTCTTCAACCAGGAGCGAATAGCGGCGTGTACCTCTTGTGCTTGTTCGGTGGAAGCGACCTTTCCGGTACCAATAGCCCAGATTGGCTCATATGCAATGACAATCTTCGACCAGTCTTGAATCTTTTCCTTAACAGCCTTCAATTGTGCGGTAACAACATCGATTGTCTTGTTAGACTCTCTCTGTTCAAGGGTCTCTCCACAACAGAAAATAACACCGATCCCTCCATCGAGAGCAGCCTTGGTCTTGGATGCTACGAATGAATCATCTTCTTGGAGAACGACACGACGTTCAGAGTGTCCGAGGAGTGTCCAGGTGATGTTGCTGTCCTTGAGTTGCGTAACGGAGATTTCACCAGTGAAGGCTCCATTTGGCTTATCGAAAACATTTTGTGCTGCGACCTCAAGTCCAGATCTCAAGTGTTCGCGGGTAAGGAGAAGGTAAAGAGCAGGTGGAGCAATGACAACCTCTAAGTAAATGAAGTATTAGCATAATTCTATTGTGAAGTTTGTGAGCTCGGTGGGGGGAATGCAAGTCAACAAATCCCCCATATATCCTCAACAAACGGGGCAACATCAGCAAAATTAGATACACACCAGTGTTTGAGTCCAACTTGGCATCATTCAAGTATCCCACGATCTGCTTGATGGAATCAACAGATCCATTCCTGACGACGAGAACAAAATTAGCTGAAATTCTTTTACTTGGTGGGGGAAGAAAGTAAACAAAGCGCTCACATCTTGAAGTTACCTCCGACGAAAAATTGACGAGGCATGGTTGCGAGTTTTCTGGTGATTCGTAAAATGATTTAGATGTTTTTGGGTATAAGTTGATCTGATATGATTCTTGTAGAAGTGAGGTTGTGTTGTGTTGTGTTGTGTTGTGTTGTGAGACTACAAATTATATCAAACTCTATTGAATCGGTAGGACTCGGAATGGGGTGAGCGCTCGGCGGGACCTTGACTACTTTGTTGTACAGCACAAAATTCAAAACCCCGCCAAAAATCGTCATTGGACCCAGAAGTTCTATGTATGGAAACCTGTATGTTGTTGTTTCCCAAGCTCAACTTTCTCCTTCCTCCTGTCTGTCGAGACTGAGACTCGAGAGAGACATCAATATAACATCAACGGAACAAGTTCAAACTATACTTCTTCTGCACCTCTTCTGTACCTCTTGCCATCAAAGGTTGTATTCATCAATGTCCAATATACAATGCTCGATGTTCAATGAGACAACATTGCCCTGATAATTGGTCACAGTTGTATGAGGGCTGTGATTGGCGTGATTGAACCTACCGAAACTGCCAATAAATTGGCCTTCTCGTGATGCTCCAATTGACCGATATGCATTGACTGGGGATCTTTGATTTCACAATTTATTCTTGGGCATCAATTGTGCTCAACTAATCCCACGCCATGGAACAACCAACTCATTGATATCACCCGCATAAGAAGTTTGATTCCCATATTAATCTAAGGCTCACAGTTCGCACATTTCACTTACACTTCTTGCTTGTTATAAACGAAAGAGGTTGCAAAAACCAGGCGTTTGATTAAGACAACTTTTATTGCTACACGTATCTAGTACATAGGAGATGTACTTTATGGTCATAAGTCATCAAATCGTCCATTGTGCTGCCAGACCAGATGTATTATCTCCTGTACTATTTGTCCGTTCATCAACCATGAACCAACACCATTTCTCCAAATACCGATACACGACGATCATCATTAAATCACTCGTAAGGATTGGATTCTCAAGACTGACAGCATGAAAACACTAACAAATGGTGTCGAATCCCAATGAAATTGAGACATAAAAGCACGGAACTCAATTCAACAGAAAATTTACCTATGTGTACGCGCTATCACTGCTGTAGCTTGAAGCATACCGATATCGCGGCGGACTTCTTGGGGTGGTTGGATAATGATGACGGACTTGAGGTATCTGAGGGCGAAGACCAGTAAATGGGATTCTAGGTGCGATGGGGTCTCGAGCGATGTAACTCTCCGCGTCAGAAAGGTGGCGTCTATAAACCGCTTCTCGTGGAACTGGTCTCACGTTCCGTATAACCACAGGTGGAGCATCATCCTCATACAGATCATCAAGGTGTCGATCATTGTACAATGGATCTCGATATCGAGGTACGGGTCTTGAATATTGAGGCTTTACATATCGGGGCGCTTCCACCATCGGGACCTCTGCATATTGATGAGATGGATAACGTGGTGATGCGGAATTGTATTCAAGTTCGCGACGGCCGGCAGGAATGATAGCTCTGGTTGGCTCATCACTGATGATTGGTCGTTGCAATTGCGACAAATAATGCTGAGCGACTGCCCTTTCTTCTTCTCTGCCTTGCAGGAATGCTTGGGCAATGGCATCGGGAGCAGCAATTGAGGCGACTTCTCCTGTATATGGGATATTTGGATGACTGCTTCGTCGAAGCTCTTGATATATAGGCTCGGGCGACTCACTTCTACCGTTGAAATACTTCTTCTGGTGCTCCCGCGGGCGGTGTTTGCTGTGGCTACGTCCTCGCCTGGTGCGCGAATGGTACCTTCTAGACCGTTCATCGGACCGAGAACTAATACTAGTAACCAGAGAACTACTGGTCGTCGAGGCTCCCGTTGAGGCTGTATCATTATCGGATTCGGAATCCGAGTTCGAGTCTGAATGATAACGAGCCGGCCTCTGTCTGCTTCTGCTTCTGGACCTGCCACGATTGCCACCCGTTTGACCAGGCGTACGGAGAACTCCTACAACAGCTGGAGGTTGGTCATTCAAAGTTGGTGGTGGTTGAGGCTGAGGTGGCATTGGAGGTCTCGTCAATTCCGCCGCCAATCGTTCTTGCTTATTCTTCTCGAAAAAATGGTAGAGGGCCAATGCATTGAATTGATCCATGACCGCACGTTTTACTATCACGGTAATTAAAACGGTTGCTCTTACTTTGTTGGAAGATCTCTCTCTTCTGCCAAGCTGGACAAGGGACCAATCAAAGTGGGGATCTAGTTCCTCAGTTTTCAATTGATCCAGAAGTCTATTGACTTGGCCCTGCTGATTAGGAAACAACGCTCCCTTTTTGTCTGCTATCGTCTGTGGAAACCTCTTCAATGTCTCTAGCTGCGCAGCAACATCCTCTTGTGACAAGGCCTCTTCGGTTACCACGGCTTTCGCCCAGGTGGGTTTTTCCTTTCCATCCGGTGTCACTTTTCGGATCGAATAAACTCTGTATGTAGTCAACAATTCTTTGCACGCTGCTTCGTCAAGTGGTCGTTTGTCTGTGGCGTTGAGATCCACCACGTGAGAAGACTCATGTCGAGGACGCATAGGCATCTGCATCTGCGGTGGAGGTCCACCACGCCCGCCTTGATGAGCTGGGTGACCTGGAGGGGGACCTTGAGAACCTGGAGTACCTGACCTGATGCCTGGTGGAGGTGGAGGTGGAGGTGGAGGTCCGCCCGGAGCACCACGTCCCATTGCACCTGGCTATTGTGTTAGTGGTGTCAAAGGTCTGAAAAGAGATTCGTTGGAAAAGCTTACCGAGAGGCGGAGGTGGAAGGCCTCTAGGCTGTTGATGGTTCATTTCGACAGCTGGTATCAACAGTATCGTCTCGTGATGAGTATTAAAGTGAGACGTTGGTGAAAGTATCAAACTAACATCAAGGTTCGATGGGGTTACGATTTTCGAAAAAAGTGCGGGCGATGACAAGGCTATAACTAGAATTCAATCCTCGGGAATTGAGTCGCAGTTCCTTTGGGACACCGGAAAGGTATGTAGCAAGTAAGGGCTGTGTGGTAAACTTTAATTTGAAAGAGAAGGTGTGAAGATTTACATTATAGGATTTTTACAATTCTCTTGATTAAGTTGCGGGAATGGAGGGGTACAATTAAAGGTGTGATATGATAGTGTTGCACAACTAACGAAGAGTCACCGAGTAGCTGTGTAACAAAACAGCAAAATTACAGATAATCCCTATTAAATTACCTATTCCGGTTTACTGGATGAATCACACTATCAACCAGGTATGTGCCGTTTATCACGTTCTAGTTCATTTTGTCGTGCGATCAGGCTTTGGCTTTGTGTATACATTTCGAGGCCAATAAAGAAGGCCCCCCGGTCTCGACTATCAAGCAGGCACCCGGATATCCTATTGCTCAGCTACGGGGCGAAACTGATAGGCAGATTATCAAAATCCTGTATTATTCACAAAAGTAGGATGGACTAATCGATCACCATACGGCGTGTTACGGAGCATTACACCTGGGAACACATTTGACGCCCCCTCACGCCTTTCCTGACAAAAAGCACCTTCGATCTCTTTAGAAGTAAGTAAGTATCAGATACAAATTGTTCGAAACATCGCAAATTACAATATACATTTCAAAGCAGAAAAGCAGAAAGAATATCATCCAAATTGTCAACAAAAGCATACTTGAAATCTTATCTCATTCCAATGGTGGGGAACGGGATTGACAAATTTCTTCGCAAACCTAAACGAGGTAAGATGCAAACCACCAGAGAACATAACGCACCGAGTCACTTGGAACTTCTTCTCTGGCCGAGCCGCGCAGCCTTTCACCGAAAGATCGATCGAAGTGATGTGATATGATAGGATGAATCAGTCTCCAAAGCCTGCTTTGAATTGACTACGACATTAAAGAAGGTAAGTCGGGCGTCGGTAAAGGCTCAGTCGACAAATCAAATCAGTATTTGCCGCGCAAGAAATTGATGTGTTGAAACTCATTCAAAAGAATAATCATGATTGGGCTGATATTAAGCCATTCTCTGATGCTTAACTTGCCCTCTGACCTCTTTGCAGATGCATATGCAGTCCACTTCTATAATATCAATCCATACCAGCATTTCTTTTCATTGTGTATGCAAAGGTAGGTACATATGTTGTACAGACAATGCCGCCACATACTTATGTGCCACGATACCGTTGACCGCCTAATGATTGAAGCATGACATTGAGCACAGCCTGTCATAATGATGCTCAGCCCTCATTCATTTTAAAGGATCGTGGCGTAACGAAGCATTCGTCAAGAATCCGCCTATAATGCAATGAAGTGTTGTCCAATGCAGCTCTATGCACGCACTACAAATTTCCTTGAGGTTTGATCGCTGGAAACACTACTGCAGATACTATCAGAGCTGCACTAGAGACTGTATTCAAACGAAAAGATGCGAGTTATCGCTTTCCTTCTATTACACATGCACTTGATGCTGGGGGAGGAAATAATTTACCCAACATATCTTCTCAATGATGAGCCACTCGCACTTCTTCTGAGATATTTCCTTGCCCAATCATTTCAACCACCATAAGACCGGGTTCGATTTGATCTATTGGCAGTAGTTTCGAAAACAAATAGTCCCCATCATACCGCTCGCGTTTCTGCATTGTTAAGCGAATAGCAATCCCCCTGGGTCTTTTGCCCACCGGGCGTAGATACGGATACCACACAATTCATGATCCATGACGGGGAGCAGGGCAACTCGATGTCATACAAATGCATTGATCGACACGGGAGTATCCAAATATGACCTGGTGCTCGGGTTTCACAACATAACGCATTGTTTATGTCAAATTCCAATAACCTTTGAAAAATGATAGATATCTGTATGTATATCAAATCATTTGCTATCTGTATTTATAAATTGAATATCACTCGGGCTAATTGATATTAGACAAGCTGATTGTCAAAGGTCTTTGTTGAGCCTCAACTCGAGTATTTGTTTCAGCTTTCCTAATTTTCATTCTATTTGAAGGATGTCGGGCATTGAGATGGTAACACATTGGCCATGTCACTAGATTTTTGACATGGAGATGATAGTATTCATTCGTGATTTGCCGGTTGATAGGGCTGACTTTCCATGGAGGTGCTAGAATAAGTTTCAGATACTCGTTCCATTCCCTCGTGTTTCCAAATGTTTTGTGTCGGGTCGTCACAATAACCTTATCAACCAAGTGGTCCAAATCATCAGCGCTTCCATCATCATCGCATCTTTCAACTCTCTACGAGTATTAATAGTTAATGTTTGAATATAGAGTTTCATTCTTAACATGTCCTCCACCAGTATCTATCGTTCACTAGGCTCGTCTTTACTTTCCCATCTCACTGTGCAGGGATCGCACTATTGGACCTAACATCTTCACGATCCAAATGCTTGTATTCTTTCCCCAAGCCGACCAGGTCATGATTTGGACGTTGTCAATTTTACAAGCACTAATCGCACAATCACAACTCACAATGATACAAGCTAAAATCGAAACAACGTGCCGGAATTCTATTCCATGCAACCGCGGGTAGGGCTACAGTTCCCATGTGGCGATAAGAGAAGAGATTCGTTAGTATATCATTATGTCGACAGTCGAAACTACTTGTTTTCAATGAGTCTGGTAGAGAGCGGGATTTGCTTCGGCGAGCTTTGTCTCTCGGATCGTGTTAATGGCTGGGGTGTATTTAGAAATTTAAAATCAGCCAATTTTATGAATTGGAAATAAACGAAGCTTTTCCGAAAATAAGTAGATGAGCCTCGAGCTTGTAAAAAAAGGAATGTTTGTTTCATATTATACATATAGTGTATTATAATATAGAATAGAAATTTGATATATAGGCGAGACGAGGAATTGCTTCTTTTGGAAAATGGTGTCACAAATCAGCGGAGCGTGATATGAAAACTAGGTAGATAAGTGGGTAAAAAATTGCTTATTACAGGTGTATGATACTTCTTTTCTTTCTTTTTCTTTTTTTTTCAATTCTTTTCTTGGTCAATCGACTGGGCTGCTTGATTTATCGAGCTGTGATGATCAGTTGGTAAATATGTATTTTTATGAGGTATCACTGTATCGGTCGGGTTTATGATTTTATATGAGTATATAGTGATAGATGTAATGTATAAACTTCGCCTTCATCCCATCACACCCTTTCCCTTCGCTTCCCTCATCCCCTCTTCTCTTTCCGCTTTCCTCAAAAATACATCCTCCATCTATTCCCCACATCTATTCCCACCTCTATCCCCACCCCTACTACCCCTCCTTCAAATTACCCAATATCTACCCACGGTATACAACCATCCATACAATCAGCCAGATACTATACATAATCTCCCATCTCCACAATACTTCACCATCAACCCTACATACACATACCATCATATCAATGAACCTTGCAAGAAACATTACATTATATAATCTCATGAAGCCTTACTTAACCTTGAAACCTTAACCTTGATGGAGTTCAATTTCACTCTGTAGCCTTTCTTATCACTGGTCTGTCTGGTCTGGTCCTGTCAGAAGTTCAACTACTTACTTACTTAATTACCAACAAGTAAATTCCCATATATATCAAGAATAGAGGCCCAAAATATCAAAAGCAAGGTAATCTTATACTAGAATTCGGTATTGCAACGTACGTCTAACCTTTAAAGAGTCTCGTAAAGTGAGTAATCTACTTACCAATCTCAATCTCATACATTTTCGAATCGATAATCATCCAATCGACTTGATTCATTTCTTCATCATCATTTAATCAGAATGTCCCGATCCTTTTCCTTGCATCCCTAAATATTTTTACCCAGGGTATGCTCCATAATCTTGATTAGGATTGAAATCCACATCTAGAATTTCATCTCTCGATATTAAAACGCCAACAAATGCACGTGCGCTTGAGCAACCATTTAATCCACTCCAATAATTCGACATCAGGACGAATCTATCTTTTTGTTTTCAAGCTCCTCCATTGATCACAGCTACAAGTTGTGCCTCTGCCTGAGCCAATGCAATTTCTGCTGCTGCGTTGGCATCTGCTTGGTGTATAACCCCCTGAACGATTTCTTGCTCAGATGGGTTGAGATTTGTAGTGAGCGATTCATAAAGTTGTGGTTGTTCCTGTTGGAGTTCTGTAACCAAGTTAGTACCTCATCTTAATCATGTTTTGAAGAAAGCACATACTTATCAGGGCATTTTTGAATAGCTGGTATGGCTCCACCTTGTCGAGAGGGGTTTCGAGAAGACTCTCTTCACCGAGCTCATCGTCTGAGTCATGGTCATCGATATTGCTGAACTTTGAAGCCTAAATTGGGTAAGCATTTGTAAAGTAGGAATATAATCGATGCTACTCACTTCTTCGTTTAAGAATTCGAGATAGGCGCTACTCTCGTCTTTGATTTCCGATTCTTCGTCTGCCTCATCACCTTCCTCTCCCCAGGCATTATCATCACCAGCCCACTCGTCATCCTCCTCATCGTCATAAGATTCACCGTCAACCGGGAAATCGTCCTTCAATGCGTCTTCACGATTCATTGTGGCGGTAGGAAGAGTCTGAAATAATCTGACAATGCCCTGTAATAATCTTGGCCAGCCTTGTTGAACGCTGATTGGGACTTGGTCGGCGTTGAGTGTGAGTAAAGCAACTATAGCGGCAATTGAGAGCTTCTTGTCATGTACTCTAGTAAAACTATCGATGCTTGCGAACCACAAGCTGAAGAATTTGTTGGTCCATTGCTTTTGCTCGAGGATGTGTAAAGTCAAAGCTGGGTTGTAATAGATTGCGTTAATGACCATTTCCATGAGATGGATTTTGTACGACTTGACCTTGACATCAGTATTTATAAGAGTTCGCATAGCCATATCAACAAATTGCAAGACGCATTGATCGATATGACCTCTCAGACTCAGCATCATACCCTCGGCCAACTTGCATGCGCAAATTTTATCGACACCTCCGACCTTCTCATCCGCAAACATATCTGCAACCATACCAAAGATGGCGTCCAGGTATTGTGGCGTTTGTACAAGATGAACACTGCCGTATTGTACAAAATTGTCCAAAGCTGGAAGCATATCTTCAAGATAGAGTTCAGCGCCAGCCTTGAAGGTTGCGTGAATAAGCTCAAATGCTTGCCACATGGTTGGCGAGATGGATTTGGCAGCAAATGTACAGCTGTCGATAATCTCGAATACTTCATTGTAAAGATCTGCGACTGTCAGTATCAGCAGGTTTCGAATAGGACAAGAAAAAGGGTGTTCATACCATAGAGTTTATTCTCCAACGTGACCTTAATGACCGGCATCAAAATGGATTCCATGTGCAAAAGAACATCAGGAGTGCTTTCTAAGGTCAAAATCAAAGTTCCGATTGTTTGTAAGACTCCGAGTGCAGTAATACTCTTGTCATCCAAATAGTCTCCATACTCATCGTCATCCCTCTTTTCGTTCTTCTCCAAAAGTTCTCTAACAATTCGTAGATAGGTATCGCGCAATTGCTCGCTTAAGGCTACTGCAAAAGGAGTCAACTCTGCGGCAAACACTTCAACAAAGTCTTCCATAACATTGGATAATGCGTCCACATCGACCTCGTTAGCCAGTTTCAACAGCTGTTGCATGATTTGTGGGATGTTTGCTTGCATGCTCGTGCGGATGATATCGTGTCTAATCAAAGGTTGCAATGCGAGTGCTGCTTCAACACGAACCGGAAGATCGGGATCGGCCATACACTCTAGAATATTTTGGTATATAACAAGAAGATTCTGAGGTTCCTTGAAATCGAGTTGTTCGAACTTCTCGACGGTGTCGCAAGCTCTGGCTCGCAGGAATCCTTGTGTGCTTCGGAAGTCTGGGAAGACATATCGGACCAAGAAATATTCCACTTGTTCAGCGATCGGACTTTTCTTGCCTAGAATGACACTGGACAAAGTCCCAATCATTCGCAAAGCTCCCTCCTTTGCAATATGGTTCTTCTTTCCCTCTTCTGCAGCCTCGTACTCGTTCACAATCGAATTCACAAATGTAAGAATTGTGAATGTGTGCTTTCTGCGAACTTTGGTGAGTGTAATCAGAAAGTTGGTCGCGGCGTTGTCTGGTGCTGAGACTTCCTCGTAGAAATTCAACTTGTGGTGTAAATATTCTTCCGGGTCGGTTTCGAATTTTTCAACATCGTCGGGCGAGAGACACATCACAGGGAAGAGGAAATGTGTGACAAGGCTGTCGAGATGTGGTTTCAAGTGAGTCCACATTTGCTTTGGTCGAACACACTCGTCGAGGAATATCAAAGTATACGAAAGACAAGGTCTGCTGAGCCACGTCGTCTTCGCGACCCATTTCTCAATCTGCTGAAGGTAACCTTTCAGAATCTCAGGTGCGAAATTTGCCGTGAAGCTTTTTGCGAACACGGCATAATCATCTCCATTGCCTTTCGACAAAGACGAGGGGTTTCCATAACTAAAAAAATGTCAGTAAATTTCTTTCGAGGTACCTGCGAATCCCTTACCGAACATATAGTCTGTTCAAATTGAAGTATGTCCATTTCTTGGCCTTCCACCAATGATTTGCCTCTCGTTCAGCTTCGTCCTCAGCCAAGGCAGATTGTGGGACATCTTTGGCGACCGTTTGAAGGAATAGAGTGCACCAACCGACCACTACCGTATGTTCGCGCAAAGAGGCAGATAAATCAAACTATTTTTGTCAGCACTTCTACATGATAACCTGAAATAAACACCAGTACATACAAATGTTGCGTGTTTGTATGCCTTGAGAACAATATGGAGCATTTCTCCCGCTTCTTCGCTCATCTCGTTGACCAAACCCTGTCCGATTATCAAAAGTCTTGGAAATGTTGCCTCCACAATTGCGTCGAAGTCTGCGCGATTCTCCCCCGATTTGAAACGGAAAACACGGCATATGGCGAGGAGACATTGTAAACCTGCGAATATTGATGCGGCATCGTTCGTGTTCAATAATTGAACGGTCATATTTATAAAGGAAGGCCATTTGTCTGGGAAATCGTAATGTAGAATCTTTTGAAGGACAGGTACGAGTTGTTGACGAATTTGTGGTGGGGAGGAAGCAATGAAAGGTAGGAGTCGGTCTCGAAATCTAGCTTTCTCATCGTCGGCCATCGGCTTGAGCTGGGTCTCGCTCGGTAGCCATGCTCTCGTAACGCGATTTTTTAGGTAGACAACCGCTGCAATTTAGCGTTAGTAGCTGCCAGCAGCGGGGTAGATATTGCGGAGAGTTTGCATACTTGATAACCGAACTGCAGGATCATGTTCTGCTTGTAATATATCAAGAAGAGCATCGGTAAAACCTGGATGTTCTTCTGCCTATCAAATAACAGTCAGAGATGGATTGAAAAATAAAAATATGTTAGGAATGCTTACAGCTTTCAGATCCAGTTCAGCGCGCCGACGAGTATCAGTGTCCGGATCAAGTGTCGAAGCGACACGACCTCGCAAAACGGCAACATCCATCTTTGCTACCTTTTTGAAAGTACCTCGATAAATTGTTTGGGGTTGTCTAGATTCAGGGGAACCGCAAAAACTTGAGCAACTTCAAGAATTCGAGGAAGTTTTGTCGTGTCAATATATTTTGTGGTTCACCCAAATTCGCCTAGCTGAAAAAAGCAAGCGAATAAAAAAGTTATTACTGTAAGGAAAGGAAAAGGAAAGGACCGGGTTGCCGCTCTTTCAGTCAAGGTACTACTACTTGATTATTATTATCAATATCAATTGACTTTGTTAAAGCTTGCTCTTCCTACTCTTTGATATAATATATAATCATACAATAATTCAGAAAACTACATATTATTTCAGGGGAGAACCTAAGTAGGTAAGCCAAAGAAGAATGCAGTACATTATATCTAGGAAGGCTTGCAGAATCGAAAGGCAGTATAATGTTACACAGGGAGAAAAGAGTTTATTCAAATATACAAGTACAACGGCAGACTGGGATTGTGTTGGCTGGTTGGTCTCCGCACACCTTATCAGAGAAAAAGGCTTTGGCCTACTAGATAGGAAGAGGGGAAGATAAAAGAAATCGAGACCCCTCCTTAAGACCCTGTTTCATTATCGATCAACGGGGGGGCGGCGGAATTTGATGTGCTGTATAATAAATAATTGAGGATTCAAGGCTTCTTTAGTAAGAATCCATGAGAGCTTTCGATCATTCTATACGCTTGGACAACTGAAATCAATGCTGGCTTGAAGTTGACATCGGCACTACAAGGGGGGTATTGTATTGTCAAGTCTGATATACGAGTACCGGTGGTACTCGAGTATATTTATCCAATTACCATCTATAGTCGTTTCTGGCAATGTGAAGTACCGGCCGGTATGGGTCTTCTGACAATTAGGCCTGAGAGCCTTCCATCAGGTTCATGGACCTTTCTTTACTTTCTTAATAATCGCTCATTTTCATGAAAGAGTTGGTGCCAGTGATAAGATTTGAAAATGGAGTTAAAAGGATGGAGATTGTTCTATACATACCTAGGTACAGTCAGTGCTTCCTCATTGTCTATCTCACAAGCATCAACCGAGACTCAAGTTAAATCTATCTGATTAATTGATTATTGCTAGATGGGATGATAACCTTACTAGATAGTAGATAGTGTAGCCTAAACACCTAATACTATTCTCATATTCTCATCACATTCTACTCGTATATTTATAGTAACAGTTTTGAGATATCGGATGAGTGGTTTTGATTATCCATTTCAATCCAGATACTTCACGTGCGATCACGTGTATAGTTTAAATCAAATCCTCCCCAATACCGAAATGGTCCGAGTGTTATCCAGCCTTATCATTCATGATTTGCCATCAAAAGCATACTAAATATAAGTTATATATTACCGGACTCCTGTAAATCTTTCATCCCCTCTTTGAGGTTCTCCTAGAGTTATCTTCAACGTTAATTATAAGTTCATTACTTACAGCCATCAGCATATTTTTATACACGACTTGACTCTGCCTAAGCCAAAGCATACCACCTGTTGGAGGAGAACATAGCATTACATATTATTTCACAATGTATCTAACATCTTCAATGAAGAGAAGTTCAATTTTGCTCAAACTCAGGATCTGGTTTGGGGATGGTAGAGATTGTTACTGGAAATTGTCCGACTCGGTAATGCAGAAGGTTTATCCATATTCCTTTCATGAAATATTATTTGATTGAACTCACTCAAGGCCCCAAAATGAAAGACATGCGGAATATATTTGACCTCACCGTAAGTTTCCAAAACCGGCACGAGAGATCGCTGACGCAAGGTTTCTATTGAGATCCTCGTCACGTTAGCTCTTGAAGGCTTGCAAATACGATCTCCAATTGACTGAGTATTATGCGAAAGATAAACAACCCCAATATCTACTTATCAATCCCCAAGCTCACAGAGATGTGACAGCGGAGATAATCAGAAGGAAGTCTTACATCTATAGGACTGGATCGAATTCTGAACCTAGATTCGAAATGTTTCTACTTGAGTGTGATAAGAGAGATCTACACAAAGTATCCAGTTGAGCTCTACAAGTACATAACATATGTAAATATATGTTTAAGTATAGCATGTAATTGACATTGATATTGCGTCTAGGCACTGGTGGAAGATTATCTGATTCAGGTACTCACTCGTATCATAGAGATAAATCTGCAGCCAAGATCTTCGTTGTTAATCTCATCTCATAGGCTATGGGCTCAAAAAGCTCCGCGTTAGACCAATACTCGTGTAAGGAAGTCAAAACCCCCTTGCAGCATAGGGGACGTCGTTGAGGTTGCCACTTTATCACACCTAAAAATTAGACGAGGTTTCTTCCTTTGGTCAAGTAGCCAAGACATTTTTACCTCGTATTCCCACAAATGCCGTCTGACCATTGCAACGCTGCAAGCTTTCTGCCTGAAGAATTCTTTCTGCAGTATGATTTACCCCGCAGTGCTGTTCGTATGTAAAAAGGGCTGAATTGAGGTGTGCGGGGTTGCGGGGTGACGGTGAAGGAACTCTTATAAAGTTATGAGATGCTCTCGTCGTGGGGTTGAGAATTGAGTTTTTGCTTTTGAGTAATTGATAATTACTTATAAGAGTATCTGTCTGTGAGAATTCTGGACTACCACCATGGCGAGAATATATTTATCAAATAGTCTAGTCTTTTTCCTTTCCTTTTCGTAAGTTCTCTTTCTGATTGTATCTCCTGCTTGTCCTTCCCTTCCCCTTCCGTTTTATCATTGTCCTTATTCAATCCACTAATTGGATATTTCACTATAGTTATCTCCATCTAGTCCAAGCTTCAAAGCCTTCTATAAAGACTGTCACCGTCAATCCATGCACTCTTACCCTCAGCATTCCTACAATCTCGCCAGTATCACCATCGTCACCTTGTCCAACCGTCACTATTTCAACCTCTCATACCTCCTGCCCGCCCGTATGTATTCTCCACTTTCCGTTTCCTTCTTCCTTCACCATTGCCTCCCTTTCTCTTCTCTTCTCTCCAAAAGCTTCCGTCTCCCTACTCACACAACCCACAGACAACCCCCACCTCCTGTTCTCAAAACTTCTGTATCTCCGACGCCTTCATAAACGTCCCCTGCACCTGTCCCTACTCAGTTCCCACCACCACCCTCTACACCCCATGCCCCTCCGCTTGCAGCGCCACCTGTTTCATCGGCCACCAAATCTACCATGAAACTTCCTGTTCCACCACTCTCGATACCTATACCACGCCCATCTCACCTAACATAATAACCACTCCCACTCCCATCATCGAAACCTTACCCACAACAATCAACCACCTAGTCACCTGTTCCTGCCCGTACTACGCTCCTTACCCTACTTATTGCGATCCTCCCTGCCCAGTCCACGTCCCCACCACAACTTCCCCAACTCCCATCATCAAAACATTACCCACAACAATCAACCACTTAGTAACCTGTTCCTGTCCCTACTACCCTCCCTACCCCACAAACTGCGCGTTCCCCTGCCCAGTCCACCTCCCCACCACAACTTCCCCAACTCCCCTCATCAAAACATTACCCACAACAATCAACCACCTAGTAACCTGTTCCTGCCCGTACTATGCTCCTTACCCAACAAACTGCGCGTTCCCCTGCCCAGTCCACACCCCCACCACAACCTCCCCAGCTCCCATCATCGAAACATTACCCACAACAACAATAACCAACCACCTAGTAACCTGTTCCTGCCCCTACTACCCCCCTTATCCAACAAATTGCGTCTTCCCCTGTCCGGTACATACACCCACCACCATCATCACCGTTCCTATGACGAGTTAGTGGGCTGGATACTGGATACTAGATGTTGTTCTTTTTGATCTTGAAAGAGAGAGAAGGGGAGGGGGAGAGGAGGAGAGGGAGAGAGCAAAAGAGGGTTAAGAGAGATGTTGTTACTGTTGCTGTTTTCTTCACTAAAAGATGGAATGAAATGAAATGATATTATATAGCAATTAACTAATGCGTTCATTCTATATTTTAAATCCTTGAAGATTGGAGCTCTTATGCGCTATTTCTCCTTTCTATAGTTCTTCAATGAGGCCCTCTGTTTTGATAACTATCTCTAGCGCGCTTAATGACAAGAAGATATATAATACCATTACTCCTCTTCCTCCTCACTACTAACTTCCTCCCCATTCGCAATAGCCTCCTCTCTAATCTTCCTCGCCCTTTCCCTTTTCTTTTCCAATATCTTCTTCAACCCCTTTGCCACATTAAAAACACCACTCGTTCCGGCCCCACAAGCCGCACAACTCGGATCTTTCCTATACCTCTTCAACGCACACCCTTCGCAAAAATAATGTCCACACTTCGTTATAATCGGATCCTTATATTTCTCTCGACACACTATACACGCAAACGGGATATTCTCCAACAGCGCATCATCGTCGTCGTCGTCCTCCTCCTCTCCCTTGCGATCCGCACTCGCAATCTTCGTCCCCCCTAAAGTTTTCTTCCCTTTGGTCACATTCTCCCACTCCTTATCGAGTTGCCAACCCGCTTTATAGTCTTCACGCGCATGTAGATATTTGCAATTATCTCCGAATCCGCAGAAACCCGTGGTTTTGTAATCTTTGCAGACATCGGGGGCGAAATCAGTTACGGTGATGGTGCGGACGTTGGTGGGGGCTTTGATGGGTCCTACGACGCGGTTAGGTGCGTCGGGGTTCTTTTGTATGAATTTGGTGCTGTTGGCTAAGCCCTTGTATGTTCCATCAGGCGCATCTTCAATTGTAGGTTTGGAGCGCGTGGTCCCTAGGAGATTCTTGGTGGAGAGGGCGTCGGCTGCGTTTTCGTCGTACCAATTGCTGGCTTTGGTTGCGTCGTTGGAGGCGCGAATGGTGGTGCTGTGGGATGCGGTGTATATTGTTGCGGATATATCGGTTGATTTGGTTGAGTTGTTATTTATTGTAGATGAGGCAGTTATTGCTCCAGTGTTCTTCTTTCGTCTTTTTATTCGACGGCCACTTTCATCTTCCGAGGAGGAATATCCTGATGTATCATCGTCGCTATCTACAGGTGGTGGCGTTGCAGCTCTTTTGCGAAAATTAGATTTCCCTTTTGCTGATCTCTTTTTAAATATAGCTACTGGTTGTGTAGTAATTGGAAGAGCTGCAGCCGATTCGGAAGTATCCATTGTATTTCTTTTGAATGGTAGTTGAGTAAATTGATGAATCTATGATTGAAGTTATATCTAAGTGAGGTAGGTCTATTTACGAAAGGCTGAAGAAGGTTGAAGCTTATCAAGCTAGCTCATTATGTAATCAGCCTTATCCGTCCGTCACCAGCCTCAGGTACCCAGGCGTTATTTGTATGGATCCTAGATTGGTTAGAAGTTCAATAGTACAAGGGGGTAGCTTGTACAGCTAATACTTCAACTTCTTCTTCATCTCATGTATTCGAGGACATTAATAACTTATCATATTAATTTATCATGCAAACTCTGATACAAAGCTTTTCCAATAATAATTCATATTTATATATTTATCCGTTGTTGTTTTGATTCATACACGTTGTTAAATTCTTAAACCAATCAAATTGCCTGGCTTGATTTGTTGTTTCCTGCTGTTTTCATTTTCCCCCTTTGGTTCGTAATCCATCTGGTTGATGGATGAGGCTGTTGACAACAAATCAATTCAAGATATCTTCTACTCAAGTATATATAATTGGCTAAATAAGACAAAAAATTACAACCTAGCAAGATACCTAGTATTGTAAATAATTGCATGAATATAAAAATAACACTAGAGTCATTAAGATTGACTGATTTCACTCTCTCTTAATCCTTAATCCTTGATTATTTTGAATCTTTGACTAGAACTAGAACTAGAACGAACTGTGAATTACGAATAGAACTTTTCTCAAAACCACAAACTACAATATCACATTCGAGCTTATTACTTTTCTCTCACTCTTTCTCTATGTGTTGTAATCTTTCGTTTTCATCAACACAGTCCACTCATTTTATTTATTTATTTAATTTTCCCCTTCTTTCTGTTGTTACCGACTCCGGATACTTATTAAACTTCCTCTAACCAATCCTTTTGATTATTTCTTCAATTATTACTATTACCAATAATTCAAGGTACTAGGTGAAGTCAAAGTTACTGGATATTCACTATTTGGTTGCACTATTTGGTCACGTCGAGATAAGCAAAAAACAAGGTGACAAACTGTACCCAGGTGGTTCGGTTCAAAACCGAACGGCCGATCTATCAACACATCAATCCCCCTGGCTTCCCCAAGATTGCTTGAGTTTCCGGATCAACAAATCTAAGATCAGACCAAACTGGTTTGAGCTACCATTTCTACAATCAAACTACTACTACTTTACTACTTTACCTGTAGTACCACCTTCTTGTTCTCGTCGGACAGATTGATCTTGGTACTGCATTTGTTTACTCCGATCCACGAATACGAACCAGTCCGGCACTTTTTGAGGGGCCCCAAGTCCTACCTGGGCTCAGAGGGTTTCTCAATCTACGAGACTTGTCTTTAATACAAATTTATCCTATCCTTTCATACCCATTAAATGGTGGTCACCACAATGTCAACCTCTTTAGCAATGGATCATCCGTCAATCCTGTCCGACACTGGAGATAGTAGCAGCAGCAATGATCCATTCTTGTCCCCTCCATCTGTTTTGAGCAGCCACCGATTTTCTCATTTCGATAAACAACTATTCGCGCTTGGCCCCTCAACCTCTCCAGAACAAGCCAAACGGGCACTAGAAGCACATCTTGCAGAGACCGAACGAAGAATACAGGAAGCTTCAAACCTTGGCACGACTCTTCTACAGCAGAGAAAGGATTTGGGCGAGCGCTTGAAGGAAGTTGAAAAGCAACAGAGTGAAGGAGATATTACACCGGAATTGCGACAAAAACTGGTTGCTATTGAGAAGGAATACAATGAAGTTGGGAGGGAAACAGCGAGAGCTTTTCTACCAAAGTCAAGAGTATCTAGCAGCGAGATGGGGAATTCACCTTTTCCTGTTAAGGTATAGACTCATGGTTACATCAAATTTACCATTACTAACACAATGTAGCGTTCCGCAAGCCCATCCAGATTCGAAAGTCAAGCTACTGCTACTGCTTCTCCTTCAAAATTTAGTGTTCCCAATCGAAAGCAGAGAAATCAACCTGCTAACCGGGTACACGATATCGAATTTGCGACAGAGATTAGTACTTCCTTGTTAGCACAAGTACGGCATCTACAATCACTCTTATCGGAGAAGGAGGATTCCCTCAAGACTGTTGCGCTCGAAAAGTCGAGGTTAGAAATAGAGGTCGAAGGATTTACTCAGCGAGTGAGGAGTCTTGATGAGAGCGAAAATAGATACAAGGACGAAAATTGGAACCTAGAAACTCAAATTCATGAACATTTGGCTACGCAGAAAGAGTCATCGGAACGTGAAAAGAGATTGACACAGAGTCTAAGTCTTTTACAAGCCGAAAAGAGTGCTGCGCAAAAGGAGTTGGATGAGATCAAGTTAAATCACGCGAAGCTCCAAGATCAACACACATCCACAGTAAAGCATCTCGATGTGGAAGTAGGGACCACTAAGCGAAGCATGACGATCTTTGAAACCGAAAAAGGGGCGCTTCAAAAGAAGGTTGAGGAATTGATGAGCCAAAATCAAGAGCTTGCGCGAGCAGTAGCACACCATCGAGGCCGAACGGAAGAACGCGAGGCGTCCCAGGGCAGTGGTGAGGAAGAACCTCAGACAACAACAGACAACAATACCCCTGAGCACTCTCCACCTCCATCACCGATCAAAATGACTCCAAGACATAGCATGCTAGAATCCGAAACTTTGAAGAGCTCTCTTCATCACGCCCACAGAATGATACAAAATCTGAAGGGCAATATTCACCGCGAGAAGACCGAAAAGTTGGAGCTAAAGCGCATGTTGCAGGAGGCTAGAGATGAGATTGAGGTTGCGCGTCGTGGCGAACCACAGGTGGACTCTCCGGGACCGAGGAGAGCCCGAAAGAATGCTCCTGCCCAGGCCAAGAAACCCTTTAAAGTAGGTCAGCTTGGTGGAATTAGGAACAGCAGGAGTGAAGTCTTGATTGAAGAGGATCAAGAAGATCACCTTGAAGACGTTAATTGGGAGGATGATCATGAACAACCAAGCCCCAGTCGTGGTTCCCGCTCAATGGGCGCTGCTGCTGGTGCTGCCGTCGCAGCTTCAATGGCAGCTGGCGTTGCTAAGTCTTCTCGCAACCTTTTCGGTAGCTCCACTGAACAAAGTGATGCCTTTGAGACAGCGAATGAGCGTGCCACAGAGACGGAAGATTTCCAGACTGGTGTAGAGGATATGGCTGGCGCGGATGATACAGATACAGAAACGGAGAAGGGCGGTACTGTTCGTGCAAAACCTTCGCGAGGATCCATTGCTTTGTCTAAGGTTGGTAATCGCGATTCCTTCCTAAGCACTGCTTCAACATCCGAGGATGAATACATGTATGAAGATGCCAAGACACCTGGTATCCACCCACAACGATTAAGACTCAAAGTCAATCGTAACGGCCACCGACGTTCACGTGTTGCTAGCGAGGATGCCCAGGGAGAAAGTCCAATTGACTTTGTCGATAGTAATAAGGGTACTCCTCAACCAGCTGGACAGAGCTTGTTCGCAGAGTTGGGTGAATTGGGAAGTGATGATGAATCTGTTGCTTCGGGTACTCAAAGTCGCTATGCATCAAGAGGTAACACTCCACAATCTTCGAGACCAAGCACCGCTAGGAACGTACCTTCAGCCATTGCACCACCAGTACCAAAACTGCCAATGATCGATTCTGCTATGATGACTGAACCTTGGGAGCCTGAGCCTCATACACCGACGACTGCTATGCCAATATTGTCAGGCCTTACTGGTGCTGCACTTGGTGCGGCTGGTGGCGTTGCGGCCGCCTTGGGGTTCAATGCAAAACATGATCGAGCCATATCACCAGAACCTCGAGCCGTGTCACCAGAACTTCAAGCTGAACCTCAAGTTCTCCAACACGCAGTCGATGCTGCAAATAACGAGCCTATGATGAAGGAAATTCAACCAGTGGTTTCACTTCCACATAGCGAGCCACAGGCATCTAATATTGTGTCAGAAGCGGAAGGTACTAGGTCTATTTCGACAAAGGATGTTCATTCGTCGAAGTTTCCAGGTAGACCACCGATGTCTGAAGCTGCTAGTCAATGGCATGAGGAGCAAATGAAGCAGCAAATGGATGGTCTATTAAAGGTTCAACCACAACATGATGTAACACGACCAGTGTCGACAACATATAGCGATATGAGTTCACAGTATGATAGTGAACTTATTGACGAGAAATTGGACAAATTCCCATCCCCTCCAATTTCGCGTACTAACACACCAATGACGAATTTAGCCCCGGCAGAAGCAGGAGCTTCAGTTGTTCCTTTGGCAATGTCCACGATTCGATCTGAGCACATCAAAGCCGAGCCAATTCCAGAGGTTGAGCCAATATCAGCTGCTCCGCTGACATTATCTACAATTCATTCCGAGCAAATCGAGCAGGTTGATGCCGAGCCAATTCCAATTGAGCCATTGACGATGTCTACAATTCGTTCTGAACACGTTGAGCCAATGATCATTGAGGGAGCGCGTTCGGAATCACCTGTTCTGCACGCTGTCCTACCATCTACTCCAAAGCACTCATCAGGACCCGATTATTTTTCTGTAGCACCAGGTCTAGGCTTCTCTACCATTCAATCAGTAGATACAGAACCTGTTGCGCCTCCCACCCCAAGAAGTCCAAAGAGAGATGGTGTTATACTTTCCAGGTTCCCAGCTACGGAGAGCAAATCTGTGAATGAGGACAAACCCGACGAGGTCAAATTCCCAGTTACAGAGAGTAGATCCATAGAGGAAGTCAAACTAGATGCGGGTTCCAAGCCAAGGGAAGAACCTCATACACCAAAGACTGGATTTATCAATTCCGTTTTCGGCGGCTGGAACAAAAAGCAGACAACTACGCCAATTATTGCTGAGGATGAAACGAGTCAAATACCAAGTCGATCACCAGTGGCGGAGACACCAGAATCCCAACGACCATTCAAGGCAATATCAGGCAATACCAATGAACGATCTCCTAAGAAGCTCCGTGTTGAGATGACAGACGAAAGTTCCCAGACCGCATTGACTGCAGAACAAATCGACCAAATGCTCAACAAAGGTAAGAGACAAGACATCATCGTCGCGGAGGATGGGCAGAAGTCTAATTTCCACTCTCCACCACAATCGACCAACATTCCCGCAGCCCTCAAAATCCGCAAGTCACAAGAGAGTATCGGTAGTATTGGTCGTTCAAAATCATTGAGCCTTGACACTGAGTCTCCCGTGGATGTTATCTCCGCGAGAAGACCCACAAGTTCTGGAAGTGGAAGGAATGCATCCATCTCGAGTATTCATCCACCTTTACCCCCAGATCACAGACAAGTCATTGCTGCAGCAGCTCAACGTACAGGTTCTGGAAGTGGATCGGGTGATCACAAACATCTTGCTACCCTTACCAAGGGCCAACAGCAACAGCCACAGCCACAGCCACAACGTACCGGTTCTTCCACTAGCGCCGGTACAGGCACCATGGGTCCTCCACCAATACCATCTACTTACAAGAACCGACCTAAGACTCCAAGCTCTCAGGCCCATGGATCCTTGAAGGTAATTTCAACTTCAAAATACAGAAATCCATCTACTGAGCGCGATGTACACTCTCCAACTGGCACTGGACGATCAAGGCACTCTTCGGTATCTTCATTCGCATCTGAGGTCGATACTCGCTTCAATTTGCGTGCTGGAGTTCCATTGCCACAAGGCGTCGAACCAAATACTGATCCAAGGATGATTAATGCAATCACTCAAACTATGATTGGTGAATATCTTTGGAAATACACTCGCAAAGCAGGTCGTGGTGGAATGTCGGAAAATCGTCATCGACGTTATTTCTGGGTTCACCCATATACAAGAACATTGTATTGGAGTGACAGGGATCCTTCAACCGCTGGTCGTTCAGAGCTAAAGGCAAAGAGTGTCGCCATCGAAGCTGTCCGAGTTGTAACTGATGATAATCCCATGCCACCTGGATTGCATCGTAAGAGCTTAGTTATCTTAACTCCTGGTCGAACTGTGCAATTCACTGCTAGCACAGGACAGCGTCATGAAACGTGGTTCAATGCTTTGTCATACTTACTTCTCCGGACTGGAGAAGATGCTGTTGCCGATACTGTTGAAGTTTCCGGGGCGCTGACAAGCGAAGATGTTGATGAGTTCAATCCTGGATATGGTCATGCGCATCTCGGTAGCAGAAGCAGAAGAGGACCTCCATCTCTTTCATCATACAACAGCCGAACTACTCGTAACGACTCACCAATAAGTAAGGATAGACGTTACTCTACTATGCATCCTCGTTTAACATCAAGACCATCGAGACCAACATTAGGTTCGGGCACTTTCTCTCGACTTAGCAACTACCTATTACCTGGTGATGGAACCAGAACTTTCTCCGGTCGACGAAGTCGAAGCGTCAACGGTGTTGGATCAAGCATATACGAAGCGAGTGAGGTTCCAGATAGTGCTGAGGATCTAAGAGAACAAATTGAAAGACAAGATCGAGAATCTGATAGATTAGAGAATGTGCGAGCATGCTGTGACGGTAAGTCTTGCATGTAATCGAGCATTCTGAATTTGTCTAATTCAGTAATAGGCAAACATGATGTCGGACATTTACATCATGATACGCCAAAAGGTCGTCAAACCATGAGTGCAGCATCAGGCTCGTATCGGCAAACGCATCGTGCCCCAAGTCGAACCAGCCAGAGGCCAAGTGAACCGAGTCAACAGACATAATTTCCTACATTATTGATCAAGTCACTAAATTCCAAAAGCTCTTTTACGAATTCATGCCTCTCCTTGAATTTTACTTTCGCCCAACTCGACCCCAAAAAAATTACATCCGTTTTTTCCACCTCATTTACGGCGAAGAATGTTTAACGGCTGCCAGGACAACTTCCAATCTATTTCATTTGTTCTTTTCCTTTATCCATACATCCATTCATCCATCCACAACTTTTCATAGTTTCTTCTTCCATCCTTGTCGCTATCGTCCATTGTCCATTCTGGGTTAAGTTAAAGATATCTATCAGGCGGAGGAGTTTTTCCAGGTCTTTTCGATGAGTTTAGGGGGTAGTACTAGTACCATATGGTAGCGGGTAGGCGGGGTTATGCGAAACTGTTTCTTGTCTTATGGGATACAATTGATCATTTTTCCCCCAAAAATGCATGGAGAGAGACGAAGCGCAGATGAATTGAAATGGATGAATGGATGGTGAAGGAACTTTTTTTTTCCTTTTCTTATGTTATGTGTGGTGACTGTTAGTAATGTATTTGAGTATCAATGAATACAATAAACTGAGGATTAAGTATTTGATTTGATTTGACTTTGACTTGACTTGACTTGACTTAACTTGACTTGACTGACTTTAATTTAACTCAACATTAAGTACAATATATAATATGATATGAAATTTCACCAATTCCTACATACTATACCATACCACCCCTTTCGCTTACTTACAAACAAAAAGGAGGTGGTGTTCACAGGAATGCTTTTTCTTACATAGAGTATAAATATAAATACCAATCAGTGTTGCTTACCTGATACCCTAATCCCCAGAGCTAAAAAAATATATATATAAGGTAAAGTGGGAGATGAGATCGAATTTGTATATTTGTTTGTTTGTTTGTATAGCTAGGTACTTACTTGGCTGTTTTGTGATTTTGCGAGATAGGGATGGGGATGGAGATGAGGGTTGGAATTTGGAAATTGAAGGGAGGTGGAGGGGGGGTGGGATGGGATGGGATGGGATATAAGAGGCGGGAGGGGGATGGGGATATGAGAGGGGTGTATGGAGGGGAAAGGGGGGATGGGATGGGTATGGATATGGGTATGGAGATGAAGATAAGGAAGCAAAATAATAGGAAAGGTATATGAATATAAAAGGGATAGTAATAAAAATAGAAATAGAATGGAAGAAAGATAAAGATAAAGATAAAGATAAAGATAGAAATAGAGATGGAGATAGGGATAGGAATGGGTATATGAGAGATATGAGGGGGAAGGGGGAGTGAGAATGAGAATCGATTGGGAAATTCTCATGCTGATTGAGAGTTAGTTTTTATAATTTAGATTCTGGATTCTTGATTCTTGAGGTACTCTTCTCTCTTTCGCCTTTTTGACTCTGCTTTTTTCTCTACTTTTCCCTCTCCTACTGTATCCCACTCTTTCCCACTCTTTATTTGCTATAATTTCATAATTCTAATTTCCTAAAGGTTGAAGGGAAGGGAGAGAAGAGAAGGTTATTCTTCATCTGTAAGTTTACTTTACCATTCCATTCGATTCTCGAAATCTAAATCCGATATCTAAGCTCGAGCCTTAATACCGTCGTTATAAGTAATAAATTATGATTCTCACGCGCTCTCGTCGAAGGGTGATGTGATATGATATACTCGAGTATGTATCTCCTTGATCTAAATCTAAGTCTCAGTTTCTATCATCAATACCTACTCGAGTACATCAACAAACACCAAGAATAACGTTGAATCATAACAACGGATGAATTCGAATACCAACATCTAAATTGTATATTCCTCGCCTGTCCACACATTCTCATCCTCATCCATATCCTCATCCTCATCATCAATAGCGCCTCTCCAATATCGATCTCTCGGATTCCCTCATAAGCTTTCTCGTGGATTCGTGCTCAATCTTCAAAACTTCAACCTCCAAGACTAAAACTCACAACTACCATACGGTCCATACCATATATATCATCGCGCATATGCATCTCCCCTCTCCCCCCATCCGAAAGACCAAATGCAATTTCCCCTTTCACTCCCTCTTCCCTCTTCTCTTCTCCCCAAACCTAGTACTCACATCCCCATCCCTATCCTATCCTATCCCCATCCCATTCCCGTACATCAATATACATCCCTATTTTTGTAATTCAGTACCACATACATTCATACCATACCTGCACACATACTCGAGATACTGTTTCCATTTCATTTCATTGCCACCCCTAACAAAACGTAATAAATACAGTACATTCATTCATTCAATCATTCGAACTCCCCCAGACTTGAGCGCGCTAAGCCTGACCACACGAGTCCAAGCCTAATTAGGATTACCTCCATAAAGCCTATCCGCTAATCCTCACTACACTAAACCTCACCACGCTAATCCTGACCGCCGCACTAATCTACTCCTCATCCGGACTCTACCTAGGTACCTCCACGATATCTCTGCTATCTTCTTTGATATGGGTATCTAACATATACTCGAGTAGTAGAAGCACTTGGCCCATTGGTACTTTGGTAGGTAGTCAGGTAGGTAGGTATGTAGTATGTACCTAGTATGTATTCACTTCACCTCCTCCACCTCCTCTATCTCCTTCACCTTACTCACTTCACTCTACTAACTTCACCTCCTTCACCTCCTTCACCTCTACCTCACCTCCCCTCTACCCAAGGTCCCAAGGAATCCTAATTTTCAATCCCAACTCCCACCCAATTCTCCATTCATTGGTAATAGCTCATAAGTAAAGAGCAAAGAGCAAAAGCTCATCCGAATAAGCACTTATTCACTCACTCACTCAACCTCAACCCAATGCTAATCCTAATCCTCTATCTCTAAAGAATATAAACTATCTATTGAGTAAATATTCTCTATACTCCATTCGCACCACACACATCTAGCCAACTTCCCTCACCTCTTTATCACTCACTCGTACACTTTCTTTCTTTCTTTCTTTCTACTAGAACAGAAAGGACGAAGATTGTACGGATACCTACCTAGCTTTGTAGTATATATCAAATTCACAGCCAAGTATTGATACTCCATTTAATATAACAAACAAACAAAACCTCACATGATTCCATTTCTTTCCATTTGTATTCCTTTCTACCTTACTCAAGTATATATCTTATGATCAAGTCCACCCCGCCCTACCCCCGCAACCACCCCCACTAACTCCTCAATCCCATTCCATCTCCCTTCGACCATTCATCCCCAATCCATCTCAGTGTCAGTTTCATTATCTGCACCCACCCACCCACATACAATTCCTCACTCTGCCAAGTGTGAGATTCAAGATTGGTCAATCAGAATCAACCAACCATCCACTGCATGAACAGTCCTACCCACTGAATTCCTTGCTCGCTCCCTATTTCACTAAACTAGGTGTGTAAAATTCTCAAACTAGCCAGGTAGTTGGCCACTCCCAAACTCCCAAATCCATCCGCGGCTGTATGATTTGCTTTGGCATTGTTTGTCAACATGAAAACAAGAGCGAATCGGAGAAGGGAGGATAAACTAGCAAACAGCCAGAGGCTAAAAGATCAAAAAAAAAGAATAAAAAGTAAAAGTTAGATGAAAAGCAATGAAAAGAAATTCCCAATCGTAACACATTGACTTTATTACATAAACTCCAAACAAAAATTCCTTGAACCCCATAATGGCACTCCAGTTATTCCATTAATCTCTGGAAAAAACTAATTCCATCCCCGCCCCTTTGATATATTCCCTATTCCCAGTCCTATCAACGAAGTTGTGTATTTCATATTGATATTTTCAGTATGGCATCTCCAAGAACCTTAATCATCCTTATAATAAAATCAGATAATTCGAAGGCGCTATTCCGGTATCTCCATTTTCTTTCTTGGCTTGCCACCATCTCCCACTTACGTCTGAGACTTCTAATATTTCGTGTTTGGCGAAACTTATCTCATTTGCATCATCGGGATTGGCATCATAAGAGTAGATGGCCTTCGCACGGTATGGATATTCTGTAGGTTGTACCACTTCTCCTACCGTGGGTTCTGAGCTCATTCCTCCATTCGGTGGTGGTCCAAGGTTGCTCGCTCCGAATCTTGGTTGTGATGAATTACGTTCTGCTCCCGCAGCACCTCCTGGGAATCCTGCTACTGGTGATGATGTTTCAAACCCACCTAATTGCGCTGATGTATACATTTGTGGTGGAACGTTTGAAGAGATTGAAGTATCCGGTCGATTATTTCCATATCCATTTCCATAAGCAGTAGACATTCCTCTTCCTGATGATGATGCTCTGTGGTCTTTGTGAAGGGCGAAAGAATCAAGGTATGCTCGAGGTACAGCCGAAGGTGTTGATCCAAAGTAAAAAATCCAGACAATCTAGATTCAATGTTAGCAAGGGGTCTAGACCTCCCAAAGAGTCAGCCTTACATTGACCATAGAAAGTAGGATATGTCCAGCAGCGGTTGCTTCTTTCGCTCCATTTGAAGAATAAATCAACGAATTGACAGATGAACTTGTTAGTACAAGTCCAGTAGCCAGGAATCCAACGATAGCCACATGGTAGGTTTGAGTCGTATCCGATGCTATCACGATGAATATACCTAGAATGCAGCATAGCATATATGCGATAGTAAACCATGAATAATTTGGGAATCCGTCACCAGATGCGTGTGTTGCAGTCGCTAGTATCGATCCAATGAAAGCAATAAACCATGCAAGCTATCAATTGTTCATGTCAGTAACAATCGCATCGTGTGAAATGAGGCGCAGCGTATATCCGCGTCTCCTTAAAATACATACCATAGCGATAGATATGGTAGCCAACGCGAATGGATCTCCAAGGATATTATCCATACTCATTCCACGCATCCCCGCTGTCCTCCGTCCTTTGTAATCCGATTGACCGTTCATTTTGCGTAGTGATGGCGAATTTAATGAAACGTACGGCGTAAGGAGGATTTAAAAGATCGAGCGAAAGTTTGTTGTTGAAAGTAATTATTAAAGTCGCCCAGGTATTATCGTCGCAAACATGGGCATTCGATTCAATGGAACAAATTGGATATCGAAGATGAAGAAGAGGTAAAAAGAGAATCAAAAATTGAAGAGTTTCGTAGAATAACTTGGTGTTGTCGAATTGATGTTTCAGTTACAGTGACTGTGACCGAAGTAAGGAAACCTGCTTCAGTAAAGTGAAGCAAAGCAATTCGTTATCCGGATGAAATCGACGCAACGCAATCGCTATTTGACTATCGTGTCGAAAAGCTAACCACAGCCCAGCAGCAGCAGCGATCCTATTTGGAAAAGAAATCGAGATCACGACGATGAGTGAGAATGTTAAAAGAGTGTGAGTGTGATAAGATTGAAGGTCGTGTGGAGGTTGCGTGATAGAAAAGGGGATGATACGTGCAACGGCAAGAAATAAACCAGGATAGGGTAGAAGTTTAGGAAGAGAGTTTGAGTGAACGAATTGAGAATTAGCTTGAGAACAATGCGTGTGAGTTCCCGAATGGATGAATGAATGGGGGAGGGGGGGGGAATGAATGGATGTGGCTGCCAGGAGTGCAGCAAAAGTAGGTAGGGTAGTATTGGGGTTGAGGAAGTGAGTGGTGAGACGCATGCAAAGCGATACGACAAAAAAGAATATAAAGTATGAGTTTAGACTGAATGGGTGTGTCCGAAATAATATAAATGTAAAGCTGTGTACAAACTTTCTAAGTAGAGAATTTAGATCTAGATCTAGAGTATCAAAAAGCTAAAATAATGAATAGATGAACTAATTGTATTGATTTTCAATAAGAATTGAATTGATAAATTAGAGTAAGGCTTAGGATTTATGCCATTTCCTCTAATATCTATCCGATTAAGCACAGAGCTGTCCCTATTTCATTCATTTCATTTACTTTTACTATACCTTTACTATATTTTACTATATTTTCAATCTGTTTTCCAATATTTCTTTCTATATTGTTCTTATAGCCTTTTAGCTTTTAGCTTTTCATGTTCTATATCTCTTATACTTATACTCGAGTATTGAATCCCCTCTCTCGAGATCAATCTTTGAAAATAACTCATTGTGTTATAAGATTTGATGCTCGGCGTCAATTGTTAATCGTATAGTATTGGTTGTATTTGATTGAATGATGGGGCAATACGCACGCTTTAGGGGATTTATTTTGCTTTAGTGTTAGTTCCTTATAGTCTATTCTGTGGTTTCTAGATTTCGGGTCTAATTTGTTTCAAAGTTTGATTTTAGCTGTAGTTAGATAGTAGGAGATAGATTCATTTTGTACCTGACGTTATTGTATGTTATATATAGACAATTCTCTCACCACAAAAATCTCTATAGCAAATCCATCAAATCTTCTCTCAATTCTCAAGCTTCACCCAAAAGAGTTTTTCGAGCAATAATTGAAAGTAAATTCCCCATTAATCTCCATTTCCATCAATTCCATTAGTTCATACAAGTACATAGCCCATTTCATCTCAAGACTCTGGACTTTAAGATCATCCACGTTTCAACATTCAGGGACCAACCTTCCTTTTCCTTTTCTTTAACAATAATAGGTTAATCATTCTCGGTAAATTTTCATAAACTCCTTAAAGATCCACTGAAATCTTGTACCTTTGCATTATTACCGGTATGTATTACACACGGACCTGGAAGCTTTGCTCTGGTTCCTGGCAGTAGTGTGCAGGCAGGTATGCATGGGTACTAGGTAGGTAGGTATATATTATATCGGTGTACCTATCAAACGCAAATGGGGATTCAACACACCTCCAAGGCTCACGGCGATACGACTACTCACTCCTGCTATACCGGTACTAGATAGATACTAGGTAGTCTTCTTCTTCATGGACAAGAACGCTTGGTAGCCGTGTGTGTGTGTATCTATAGCATTATGTCAAAAGGAAGATTCTGAGAGAAGTTTTAAGCCTGTCTTATCAAATATCAGTATATGACTAAAGTTACACCATCAACCTAGCATTTGCTTGCATTTTTGCGTAACAATAAGTATCATTTCCTAAAGCTATCTATATGCTCCTTCTAACGGTTATAATATTCATCAAACTGCATCTGCTAAGTCTCCGCCAAATTCAATCTCTACTACAATTGAACGCCTCCCCCACATTTCCGATGGCTCGTGCTATATATGCCCAAAGTCCAGGATAAATATAGAGTGTGAGAGGATATCAAATAGAGCCTGGACTTATCGCCCTCATCAAGCAAAGATCAGCTTATTCAGATACTCTGGTGCCATACGACATCACAATGGTTTGTGATAGCACTATAAAATGCACGTTTCAGCGGAAAGATGTATTGGAACACATCGAGAATCGACTTGGACATATGGTATTCTTCCATTTGATAGCTATAGGGGTATGTTCCGTCTTCGAAGCGCATCCAGCTCGGACTCATCAACTACTTCCACCAGGTAATCACTGTTCATCCCTTGACAAGGGAAATACAGCAAATGCTACAGACAAATCTGAAGGTTACCTAGAATATCTAGTATGGCATAGCTCGGACCGTTGATGTGCTCACGGCCAATATCTGAGACGCGAATCATACAATCTCTGAGCTCTCCCGTCTGCTCAACTTTGTATCATCGTCTTATCAAAAGCAATAGGGGAATGTTGCAACATCACTCATATACCGGTAGAGTGGACTCATGATCACATCTCAATTTCGATGTTGCTTTGACCCAGAGATATTTCTCGTTCATCTCACTTCCCAATGACGTCGATTTGGATTTTTGTCCCACCAGAAGATACCAAGATTCTGAAAAGGTGTTCATCTTGCAAGATACGAATCTCACTCCTGAGCCATATCATCATCCAATCGTTTCATCAATGTGGCTCTCCGGACTTTTTGTTCCACTTGTTGTACTCTTTCTTCCAACTCTGCCCAACTTTCACCAGTCCGCAATACATCGACAGTATACCAACGTTGAATAGCCGCTGCTGTTCTTTGCCTCAGAGCTGATAGGTCCGCATTTTGTGCCACTTGAAGAGCTTCGACTTTCGCGATTCTTGGCTGTAAATTGATCAGTTGGGCGGACAACTCTGCTGATGGAATTGGCATGTCAAGAATTGATGTTAACCGAGAGGCAGTTGATGGATATGAGCTGGCAGATGCTAATACTATAGATAAAATACTAGATGTATCGAGAGTAGTAGGGAGTTGATCGGGATCAATGGATTGAAAGAGGTCGGGGTATCTTGCATCTATAAGCCATTAGTGACTATGTCTACATCGTTCCAGATAGAATAAACTCACGCAATTTCAACAAATCCTGTATAACCCTTGATTTCGAAGCAAGTCCATGTAGAATATGTTCTAAATCTGCAAGTCGTTCATACGCAGATATAGATACATCGGAGCTCGTAATAGATGTAGTATCAATATGGCCACACACCGAATATTCTATCCTCCGTAGTCGCGCTTCTAAGAGATCAATAGTTTCCGAAGCTGTCTTATCAAACGTATTATCCATTGTGAAGTATTGACATTCAATGTTGGGAAGTATCGTGAATTTCAATGTTCTTAACTGATCTGGGGAAAAGATATCAAATGATGTACTGAGGACCTAGGTACCGGTAGTACATACTGCAAGGCTGACAAGGTTAAGTCTAAGATTCGGTAGCTTAAGCTTGGCAAACGCCCGCAATCTTCAAGCCCTGGCGGTTGATACCGCTTCGCCAACTACTTTATTGGCCCTTCGTAATTAGGTGCGATTACCACTTGGTTGCGCGACATTCATTTCGAGAATTACAATCAATTTGTCCACTGATTAAAACGACGGACGATACTCTAGAAGATATTCACGACTGTACGCAAACAGGAATGGTGTTGTTGAGAAAGTTGTAGGATCAGGACAGTTCTTCAAGAGCTCCGCACGAATACCTACGCCAATCATACTCGAACAGTGTACGCACTCACCGACACCTCGAGAGAAGGAGGACGATACAACTACAAGATGGCTTCATATCAAAATGCTGGTGGCCCAAGTGGCAGCGGCTCAGAGTCTAGCCGTGGCTCGAGGTAAGCAAATGGATCAAGAAAGAAGGGCTTCTTATGAGGACTTAACTGATGCTCGCGTGCAGGAGGAAATCAAGTCGGACAATAAAAGAACAGAACTTACCCCATGGGCAAGCATCTTGGTTTAGTAGCAATGTCAACCTTCTCAATACTAGTAAGCTCTGCCTTAAGCTTTCAAAGAATCATGCTGATATTGAACCTCTTAGTCGTCGGTGCCGGTACACTTGCCATGCCTTTAGCAATGTCACATATGGGAATACTACTCGGAACATTCGTTATAGTATGGTCGGGGTTGATGGCAGCTTTTGGGTTATATTTACAATCTCGATGCGCCAGATATCTTGACAGAGGGACGGCTTCTTTCTTCGCATTATCACAAATCACCTACCCAAATGCAGCGGTCATTTTCGATGCGGCTATTGCTATCAAATGCTTCGGTGTGGGCGTTAGTTATTTGATCATCATTGGTGATCTAATGCCAGGAGTTGCAACGGGCTTCAACCAGGGAGCAGAGTCCATACCACTTCTTATGGATCGAAAGTTCTGGGTGACGGTTTTTATGTGAGTTTGCACTGATACATTTCATATGATTATTATACTGACTATTATCTAGGTTTGTTGTTATTCCGCTCTCATACCTAAGACGTCTTGATTCCTTGAAGTATACTAGTATTGTGGCTCTGGTTTCCATTGGGTACCTCGTTATACTTGTGGTATATCACTTTTTCAAGGGAGATACTATGGCAGACCGAGGTCCAATTAGAGGGGTTGAATGGGGAGGAATAGTCCCAACTTTACAGAGTTTCCCCGTCATTGTCTTTGCTTATACTTGCCACCAGAATGTGAGTAGTTTCTACCCAGGGGCGTCGTTGATATACTGATAATCATAGATGTTCTCCATTCTGAATGAGATCAAAGACAACTCACCTAAGCGAACAACAGGTGTTGTTGTGGCAAGTATTGGCAGTGCTGCTTCGATATATGTTTTAGTTGCCATCACAGGTTATTTGTCTTTTGGTAATGCTGTGAAGGGAAACATTGTTGGAATGTGTAAGTTTCCACATCACTACCTACAGCTGCGTCTTACGAATCTAACAAGTACAGATATCCCATCTACTGCTTCAACAATTGCTAAAGCAGCCATTGTCATTCTCGTCATGTTCTCCTATCCACTTCAAGTACATCCTTGTAGAGCATCAGTTGATGCAGTCTTGAAGTGGCGCCCAAATTCATGGCAGAGACGCCATTCACCCAATGGATCACCTGCTCGATCCGCTCCTTTACTATCCGGCGGCTATGTCCGACCTGCCACAAGAAATGAAACTATTAGTGAAACACGCTTCGCAATCATTACCACAGTTATTATTACTCTTAGCTACTTTACAGCAATTACCGTGTCATCGCTCGATAAAGTACTTGCATACGTTGGAAGCACAGGTAGTACAAGCATTAGTTTCATTTTACCAGGACTGTTCTACTACAAGATTTCATCCCCAGATTCAATTCACCATCAACGATTGACAAAGGAGGATGATGAAACAGATTCGGATGAAGAACAAGAGGAAGGTCAAGGTCTACTTGGCCAATCCATCAAAAAGACTGTGCCTTGGCGCAAAACCATCTTACGAAAGCTATCTTTAGCATTGGCTATTTATGGCATATGCGTATTGGTCATCTGTCTGACGACCAACTTATTCTTCACTGCGCAGGGGCATTGAGATTGATTGATGAGGGTTTTCCTTTTAAGTTATACGGCATCTGAAATCATAAATTGGCAAGGCGCCGGGCGTTCATGTGGCATTTGGGATGGTATTGGTTATAAAAATTGAACAAGATGATGTTTGATCCTTCATTAGTGCCATACTTTTTGGTCTGTTTGGAAATATGTAAATAGGATTTGGGCATTAGGATATATATAACGGCCTTTTTGTCACAATTGAAGATATCATTTTTGAACATTTTTAGGATCGATTCTGTTGTCTGTTCATAGGTGATTCGATTTTATATGATTCCCAACGCCTATTTTTACAAATGGGCGAACGCCAGTTTATGTTCGTCCTGTGATATCATATCATCACTGCAATTCATCATCCCATGGTCCATCCATCCATGACTGTGAATGCCTATCTCCTCCCTCCCTCATGTCATATTCTCTCCCTGATTCACCCTTTTGCATATAAGAACATAATGTACGTAAGATACACCCCCCAACACCCTCCTTCATTTTCTCATCCATTCCTGCATCTCTATTGTTAGAGAAGCAAGCCTTTCCTCCCAGTCACTCTATAGATATCATTCTTGGGTCATGCATCCTCTTTCTCTTCCTCCCTCTCTCTGCTTCAATCTCGTAAACCCATCCAATCCATCTTCAATCAAATCGAAACCATCGGCTTTGAATCGCATAACCAAAGCTTAAACACCGGCTTTTAAAATTGGTTTGGAAGAGGTCGGTAGCGTGGGCTTCCCTGAATTGGGTGTGTATTGGGGTTCGAGGATTCCGGCCTATTAATGAGAGGGGGTCTTATTAGCTTATTCCTTTTCCTTTTCTTTCTTTATTTTTCATATCGATGTTTTCCCATCGTAATGATCTGTCGATGCAGTTCTCCCCATATCTTCTCTTTCTTTCTTTCTTTCTTTCTTTCCGCACCTCCCATCCTCTATTTCCTTAAACCATCATCCTCTTTCCCTCATCACATCAATACCTCCTCCCCTCAACCCAAAAGAACCTTCATAAATAACATAACATAACATAACAAAACTCAACTCAACTCAACTCACCATACTCAATAATCTCCACGCCGTCTTCGTCGGTTGCGCCCCCACGCCCAACCAATATTTCGCTCTCAAACTATCGAGCCGAATATCTTTAAATTTCTGACCTTCGCCATCGGCTGGTGCGTGTGGAATCGGATCGTAGGTGCCGAGCACTTCGAGGGGCAGACTGTTGCGTGCGCAGCTGTGGGGAGGGAGAATTAGTTGGGGTTTGAGGAAAGGGAAGGGGAAAGGAAGAGAGAGAGAAAAATATGTACCGGGCTTGTGATACGACTATGTTGTAGAATGGTTCTCTTTTGCGTCCGAAGCGCGCGAGTCGGATTCGTACGACCATCTTTGAGTGGGTGGTGGTGGTGGATGGGGGGAGGATAAGGTGAGGTGAGGTGAGGTGAGGTATGGTGTCAATTGGAGGATGCGGTATTGTGGTGATGCCGGTATCGATAATGAGGGAAATTATTTGAGGTTCGGGATTTCTACGGTTGGCGGGATCATTGGGGTGGGGTGGGGGGGGGTTCTCTTGCTTCATTCTTTCTATTCTCATTCAGACCTAGACCTAAGATTTGATACCCCTAGGCATATACTCGAGTACAGTATATAATCAACTCCTAAATCGTAAAGCTCTTCTACGAAGTTTTTTCACTTGTAGAGTAGCTTCCAAGTATACAATCGACGTCTAGATTGTATAATACTCCTTTGATCACATCCATTCTTCTTCGTCGGTATCGCTTAAGTTTAATGTGTATGTATACCTGACGATCATCAATCTCACGATCTCACGATCTCCTCAAAGGTTCTATCCTTCCCTTTTTCTTCGATAAGATACGACTCAAGGTGCGGTGAATCTCTAAGCAAGATCTTTACTCCTTCAAAGTTAGAGGGAGAGATTTTTTATATTCGTTCTACCAATGTTCATTCAGTTCATTCAGGACTGAAATGGACTGTAATAGCATCATTTCCATATATCTTGATGATTAGCATTTAGAGACTGAAATAACATATTGTGTAGATGTGCAACAAAAGTCCGAGGGTCATATAAGAAGGGGGTTTGGATGGATGTGATTGGCTGATAGATAGGTACCGGTATGTATACTACTTTCTACTTTTTATACTCCTAGATACTTTTCCTTTAGTTGATACAGCTTAGCTATACATGTTAATCCTATCAGAGCATCACTGCTTCATATGACACGGTAGTCTAGCTAGCCTGTGCAAGCTATCTTTCCATAGAGTTCTAACTTCTTACCTATTGAGCTGTGTTGCCCAATTAAACTATTTGAAAACGGACAACTTAAGTACCTTATTCATTGTATCTAAAAGTAATACAGACAGAAATGTAGTGGTTCCCGGAAAGAATAAAAGATGCATCAAGGTTAATAAGCATGAATTTGAAGCTTCTTGTTTTATATTCCCTCTCTGTTTCCTGCTTCCTGCTTCCTGCCTCCTGTTTCCTACAACATTCATTCGTTCTTCTTTTTCGCTATATTTTGCCTCGCCTATCATCTCTCTTTAATGCCATCTGCAGATGCATACCTACAGCTATCCTCTTACTCGTTAATATATCAAAATGTGCTAGGAAATTGAGTTACTCTGGTTCTACGATTCTGGGCACTACAATTTCTATCTCATACTACTCGAGTAGTATGGCGCAATGGCCTCATCTCTGCAAATTACTATTTTATAACCATCTTAGTTTTATTGAACTACATTCCCAATTCAAGTTGGACTACTGTAGCTAGAGAATAAAACATCAGAACCTGTATACCCAGATATGAATATACCCAGAAATCCTCGAAATTAAAACAAAACTCATATAGAAATTATAAACTTCCTTTGGCACAATGATACGATCCAGAGAACCCCGCACTGTCGAAGGTGATACATTGGGGAATCATGTTTTCAAAGAGTAATACCAAATATGTCGTGTCACAAAGCGAGGTGTTTATACACAGCTGAATGATATCGCCACAGTGATACCGAATAAGTTGTGAAGCCAGCTTTTCGTGTTGTTGCAGAAGATAAGTATGTTCATTTACGTCGTTATGGGGTGATTAACAATGCGGGGGATGATTCTTGTGCGAGGATTGATGGAGAAGTGGTGAGGGGTTGATTATGTATATATTGTCGTGAATCCTTCTAGCATAGGGTTGATTTTCAGAAAGTAAGAGTTTCCTCTTCTTGGCTTCCTCACTTCTTTATAAAGTTACAAAATCCAGTTTGATATTACCCCTTATTCTACAATCCAGTATCTCTTGCCAAAAAGACAGATTACGTTCAATAATCAGCCATGGCTACCGACAAGTTGGACCTGGTGTTTCAAAAGTACGTATACGTTTGGGTTAATACTATGAGTAACTTTTGAAGATGCTGCTAGCTACTGACTATGTTACGCTTGGTATAGGATCGATGATCTTGCCACGCACTTCGTTGTTGACAGTAAGTCAAATCTCCCCATATGATGAGAGAATCGGAGTTTTGACAAGAGAATAGGGCTCGCGCCCGCGGTCAAGATCCCATCCATTTCCTCCGATCAAACACTTGAAGGGCGGAAACAGGTTTACGCTGTATGTATAGACTTTCGTTTTTCCTTTTAGGAGCACTCGCCAGTTTGTATTCTGATACGCTGTATAGATGACGGATTTTCTGGCAACGCAACTAGGGGGGTTAGAAGCATCTGTGGAACGGTGTCCACTTGGGATCCAACCAGGCACCGACCTCCAGCTTCCTGATGTCATTATCGCCAAATACCCAAAGGTACATGATAGCAAGAAAAAAACCATCCTAATCTACGGCCATTATGATGTTCAGCCCCCAGGAGACGGCTGGACAACCAAACCCTTCACCCTCCAAGAAAAAGATGGAAAGCTATACGGCCGCGGCTCTACCGATGACAAAGGACCCGTTCTCGCATGGCTCAACGCACTAGAAGCCTACCAGCAGGCTAAGATCGATGTTCCCGTCAATCTCATCTTCTGTTTCGAAGGAATGGAGGAATCCGGATCCATTGGATTTGCCGCATTTGCCAAATCCCACCACACTCTCTTCGAGCACGTCGACGCAGCCTGCATCTCGGACAACTACTGGCTCACAACCCGCAAGCCCTGTCTGACCTACGGACTCCGCGGCATCAATTACTTCAACCTAACCATCGCACACGCCGGCGTGCAGCTCCACAGCGGCATGTTCGGAGGCTGTGTCTACGAGCCCATGACCGACCTCGTGATTCTGCTCTCCAAACTCGTCAATTCGCAGGGTCACATCTTGATCCCTGGTATCAACGAACTAGTCGAGCAGGTTTCCACGGAAGAGATTACCGATTATGCGACTATCGAATTCACGACGCAGGATTTTCAGAATACGATTGGCAGCGATGCTAATATCTATGACAACCCCGAGGAGACCCTCATGCATCGATTTCGATATCCGTCGCTCACCATTCACGGCATCGCGGGTGCGGACTCAAGCTCCGATCAGACAACGGCTATCTATCCCAAGGTGACGGCTAAATTTTCCATTCGCACCGTGCCGTGCATGAACCAGGAAGCGGTGACCGATCGCACAATCCGGTATCTAGAACAAGAGTTCCAGAAACTCGGGAGTAAGAATACGTGTAAAGTGGAATTATTCGGGGAATCGGCTCCGTATTGGCTGGGGTCGAAAGACGACTCTAATTTTACTGCTGGCAAAGCGGCTACGCAGAGAGTTTATAATAAAGGATGTGATTTGACGCGTGAAGGAGGAAGGTTCGTCTAAGTCTTCTGTTTTTGTCTTGCCTCTTTCAATCTTGATGTGATGAGTATTTCGGTTGACTGATGATATGACAAAATCTATAGTATCGGGGTAACACTCGATTTGCAGAATGCGTTGGGAGATAAAAGTATCATGTTATTACCAGTAGGAATGTCGGATGATGGAGCACATGGTCCTAATGAGAAGATTAACAAGGAGAACTATATTGAAGGAAGCAAATTGCTCGGGGCTTACTGGTGGTATTTTGCCAATCCATAGTTTGAGTCTGGTGCTGAGAGAATGAGTTTTGTTCTTGAAGTTTATTGGGATTTTCTGTCATTACTTGTCTGATGATCAAGGTTTAATGAAATCGTTTTGCATACAGGTACATCAAGACTGAAATGTCCATGAAATCATATGCATATGTAACCATCCCCACGATTGAAGTGCTTGTGGGCGTCCGTACGAGCCCCCGTACCATCGCAATCGCCTCCCACGTTCTCAAAATTTCGATTGTGTAACTAACACTAACTCTTGGTGTCATTTCGATACCACTGTATCAAGTAGTGACTTGTACTTGTCTCATAACATCATTCAGCCTATTTCTCGCAACTGAGAGTTGTTGGTTCGTGACTATTGAGTAACTAATACATGAACCCCCAAGCCATATCATATCATATTATATTATCCATACAGCAAAAACCCGATGACGGAACTACCGTATATAATATTCCCATATTTCCAATACAAAGTTAAGAAATCTACATCGAAGCAAAAACCCAACGTCAATCCCAAATCCGAAACTGGAGTTTTTGGATATTGTTCATGTCCTCGCATCATTGACACGCCTTCACATATTTCCCATTCACCCTACTTTCTACTTGATTTTCCACCAATACAGTACAGTACAAGGTAAAACACATGTATGTATGTATTGTACCTATATATACTCCAAGCCATACCAAAACCCAACTTTTACTCTCCTCCCCCCTCCCCCCCAGATTCCAGCTCCAACAAAGTATCACACTGTAATACCATATCATCTACTAGAATCAGATCGAAACTCCAGCATATTTGTTCCTTGGAACCCACTTGGATTTTATTTTATATTATTCAATGAGATAAGATGAAATCAGATGAGATAAAATAAAATAAGAGCCCCTGAATTAGACCTGTTTGTCTTCGCTTATCTTGTGTTTGTATATGCTCTAGTACTATATTTGTGTTGCTGTATATGCGTGTATATACAACACAATACAATGAAGTTCGGTAAAATGAAATAAAAATAAATAAAAATAAAATAAACAGGAAACAATCAAGTCATATAAGATTCTCATCCCTATCCCCATCCTTATCCCCATCCCCATCATCCCCACCATAACATGAAAACAGAGTCAACTAACTCAACCCTCCCAGCAGAACATACAAACAAGTACGAGTAAGTAACACTTCTGAGAAGTAATATAAACAGGATAAAAGAAAACAAAACAAAATAAAAGAGCAACACCCCTACTAGTATTCCCCCCTTCCTCTCTCTCCAACAGACCCTGCAGAAGAAAACATCTCTTGCCCAACAATCACTCAGAATATCAGACGAAAGATTTCCTATCCTATCCTTCAAGTTCAAATTATTCCCATCTCATCTCATCCCATCCCCTATTAGAATTATTATCTTCCGACACGATGTGATACAGATACATAAAATTGTTATAAGATATAGATATAGATATCACACTAGTGGCTATCTTGCTATTAGCGTCCGTTTATTCAATCAACAAGAGGGGAATTGTAATGTAAAATCTTAGGTGGCAGGTCTCGAAGTGACTGTTGGATGTGTTCATTTTCCTTTCATTATCATTATTGTTATCATTAATCATTAGTAGTCGATACCGAACCATATGAACAACTCACCCAAGAATCTCTAACATAAATTCCCTAATCGTCTCCCTCAGCTCACTGGTCGCTCTATAGTTTCTCCAAAAATGATCTCCATCAGCTATCTCTTCATGTCTGAAAGTGGTTTCACTTCCGAGGCCTCTACTTTTGCATATACTTGACAGTTTTTCGGTCCAGCCTGTGAGATAATTTTCAGTACCCGGTCATCGCGAACGAGAGTCAAGTTAACTTACGTTCAAAAGTCTTGACATGAACGAAAAAGTCACCGGTCCCATAGATAACCAAAGTAGGATCGATTGTGAACTTAACATCGTTTTCCGTTTTGTTGTTTTGCTTTCCGAAAAGGAATGCCGGCCTAAAACTTCCAATACTGGCCAAGTTATTGATCATGCCATCAGGAGGTAAAGGTGAAACGAGTAGGTAGGCCAGTTTGATATTATCCCCAAGGATATCCGTAGTATCGCCTTTTTTATCTTGAGTATGCTTCTCCGAATTTTCCACATTCGCGTCACTATCCTGACTTCGATTAGCCGTCGAATTATAGCTTGAACCTCTCCGTGGCGATCCATGATTAATGACAGATTTGATTCTATCCAAACTCTTCCTAATTTTCATCGGCTTTTCTACCGAGTATGATCGTCTCACTCCGGAACCATACATATCATGACTAGTCCTTCTTATATCTTCATCACCACCCATTCGAATACCCGAGCTAGAAATTCGAGTGCTATGATTTGTTGTCTGTTCCCCCAGGTGTAGACTACGACCTCTCCAACGACTTCCTGCTCGAAGTAACGCATATTTAGTTTCGATTGCTTCGTTCTGTTGGGTAGCTAAGAATCGTGCTCGAGATCTTATGTCTGCGTGAGCACTCCCAGAGGCTGGTTGCTGAAATGGAGCGAGGATGCTGAAAAGGCTCGGTTCAAGATTTATTGTAATAAGAGATCCATATGAGTAGCCTGCAAGCAGTAAGAGAGGCTGCGCATCGAAGGTCTCAATATCTGACCCCGCAGACGTAGGTCTACTAGACAAGCTATCATTTGAAGGCTTGAATAAGCGTTGTGATGGGACAGGAGTGAGATTTTGGAGTTGGGACTCGGATTGTGTAAATTTCGGTGGCCTGGATGAATACTGCACGTTAAGGTGATGCAGATAAGTTACGATGAATCCGATAAATGATATATAATCCTTTTGTTCGGGTAGGGAAGACCATGAAGTATGTCCTTTGGAAGAGCCCGCACCACTGCAGATAGTTAGTGAACTATAGAACCCAATAATATCATAGGAGTTGAACAGTTATGTGTACCGAAAATTGAAGGTCCCTACAACAAACCCCTCCTTCAAGATACTGGAAGCAATTAAATCAACCACAGCATCATCGTAGCTCCCTCCCAAAGGCGCATACGGGTGGGCAACAATAGCAGCCTTCTTTCTCCACGGTAAGACCTGCGAGATAGAAGTAGGCGCCAGGCATGTTGGATGGTAGATGCGACATTCAAGACTCGAACCGTCGTGTATAGAGGGAATTGTAAAGCTTAGAGTAGGCGGCGGTAGCATTGCGATTCTGCTTTCCGAGGATGAACACTCTCATCCAACGGATAATTTGTAAGAAATTATCGTTGGCATTATGAATGAAGTAAGCTTCTGCCAAAGATTATGCTATTGATGCGAGTAGCATTAGCTAAATATTGGAGGATTGAGGTTGAGCATTGTTTTTGTGAAGTGTTGTGGAGCTAAGCCAGCTTGATTGTAGTATGATCCCATAGGGCTGTTGCGGGATAATCTAGGCTAGCACCGGCCTGTAGATCTCCCGGGTAATAGCCCATAGAAAGTCGATAATCATCAGAATTCAATACCGGTATTTAAAATCGCATGTTAAAAAATATTTAAAGTTCTATTCAATCTTCATCACCATACAAAATCCCTCAAAATCCCAAGGAGTTCAGATGGCCAAGAAAGTTGTCGACTCCAATACTTCCTCCTAAGGATAGAAGTGGTTAATTGATATCTCAAAGCTAGCCGAGATTATGGATATGGGTAGCTCCCGATGAACTAAACATTAGGACATGTGTGAATCAGATGTTGTAAAAATGCATTCATAGCCTTGCCTAGGGTTTGTTGCTCAAGGTCGTCTTGTTTCCCGTGTATCTGATGGGTACTCGAAAGAATCTCTGTGGTGATTTGTGGGTGGAGGGCGAGGAAAGGGTACCAAGAAGGGAACATAGCGGAAGAGGGAGCTGAAATATAGCGGACACGGGGAGGGGAAAGACGAGGTGCAAGAGAAGGGGGGAGAATCTTTAGAATCTAGTAATGAAGATCGATTTCGGGTAGATCCGGCTGGTATCTCGGGCATGGGGTAACAAGATGTGGAGATGCCTTTTCAAGAAAAATATACATAGTTGGCAATGCATCTTTTGTATTTGGCTACAATTTTGTTTCCTTCCCTTGTCCGCATAAGTATCCTATCTGGTAGAGAAGAGAATGCCACCCGTCAACTTAAAGCCATATCGTCGTTATACCACCACTCTCAAGCGGACATATCCACATAAAAACGCCCAAAACTCCGTGGAATATCTACCCCAGTCGTTCTCCGTCTCGCAAGATATCTGCCATGGAGTTGTTCCCTACGCGCATCCGAGATGCATGCCATCTTTCTTGTATATCGATATCGAAAGCCTGAATCATCTCTTCCTCTCAAAGAAGCTCGATGACCCCGCGATGGCTACTGATTGATCCATAACCCATTCACCAACTCCAAGGTACTTCTCAATCCAACCATTAATCTCTTTGTTTTCGGTGACATCTTTCTTAAGACTAGGTCTAGAGTCCCGAAGGATGGGAATCGTTAGCCTTCTGGTATATCTTTCAACCTACACCGCCAAATCCAGAAAGCCGAGTTTTGCTTATGGTTTGCAAGTCGATCATGTCGCAGTATGGTAGCTAAGGAAAGTATAGGGGCAAACACACGTTAAACCAGTTGATCTCTTCATACCAGCCAAGAATGCCGATACTGTGTCAAGAAAGTCAGTATACCTTTCGGCTTTCGCAATAAGGGAGGGGGAGGGAGGAATAGTTACGTAGGACAGCATCAAATGCATAATGAGTAAGTCTTCCGAGCTTTCCCCAGAGTCCAAATGTTAGTAAATTGAGGAACTGAGCTGATTAGGTTCTCATGTTTTGAAAGACCTGAAAGCTTAGGGAGGGATAACCAACCACCATGTTTATGACTTGGAGAGCAAAGTTAATATGCTTTTTGAAATCAGATTATTGAAAGGGTAAATGCAAATGTCCGAAAGCCAAGTATAATCTGATGTGCGAAACGTTGGATTGTGATTTGTTTATTTGATTGTTTTGAGCTGACTTCTAAGTTTTGATAGTTTGATAAGTCTCGTAGTCTCGGGTACATACAACTCACAACTCACGGGTCAAAATGCGAACAAGAGGACGATCAACCATGCCTTAAATATCAGGCACTCGGCATCTCGCTCCTCGTACTGATTTCTCCGAGCGGACAAGGCGCCTAGAGCTCCCAAGTGTTTTCACCACCGAAAGAATGGCCGACCGACAAACCCCCAACTTAGCCAAGATCTCAATAGTTTTCATCTGGTATAGCTAAAACCTTGTTCACCCTTTCGGACCTGAGTATCAAAATATGCTCAGCAGCCCATGCAAGCAGCCACGGATTTCACCAAATTTCACTTGTTAAAATGATAAGAAGGTAAGGAAGGAGGGTTAATGAATAAACATACAGGTACAGACAGGTATGGTAATACTTTCTCTCTTCTTCAATACCGGTATTGTATATTCTCCACATCTACTCAACTTACTTGAGGATATACCGGTATTATTGATCCTATCTATCTGTCCGCCCTCGCTGCGTAATTCAATGGGTACAATTGCTTGGATTTATTATATGTACCGTTCCGGTACAGGCAATCAAGTAGATATTTGACATAAAAATTCATTATCGCGTACCTATCTCACTGCAACCTTAACCTAATGTAGCAAGCCTTTGAAATGGGTGGGATATCGAGTATAGTGGGCGGGCCAGCCATGGCTTGGAGATGAGGGGGGACGGACGGATTGCTTTTTTTTGCCCTCAGGGTTATGAAAAAAAGAAGATTACCCCTCCCCCCTCCATCTTTCCTCTTTTCCTATTAAAACAATACAACACCACCACAAGGTCTTTCAGAGTTATTCTATTCGCCCTTCATTATCATCAACAAATCAACTGGTAAGTTCATATTCTCATTCCTTAATTCATGTATCATCTACTTTGGTTGGTACTTCTTGTGCTTCATATACGAATGCCAACTCAACAATTTAAATATTGGCATTCTTGGGTTGTTTTATCGCTTTGTCCGTGTCAATGTCTTAATTTCAACCAACAGTCTTGGAGGAACACAGCACAACACAAAACTAATACCTTCTTTCTTCTTTCGCAGATTTCAATATTCTGTTTCTCGTTCGTACCTTTATCTTTTAATTTGATTGCTCACATTTAACTGACGAATTGAAAAGGCTCTTTACAGTTGCACGAAAACCCCCACTACACCGAATCCTACCTACATATTCCTCAACTTCCCTCTTTTCCATAATTTAGAAAAATGGCCACCGCAATGGATCATTTAGTTACTGGAACCTCCAAGATTGCTTGGTTGGCTAACCTCAACACTGAGTTCAAGCCTACCAAGAACTATCGCCGTACTTCTATTATTTGCACCATCGGTCCTAAAACCAACTCTGTCGAAGCTCTCAACAAGCTCCGTGTAGCTGGTCTCAATGTTGTTCGCATGAACTTTTCCCACGGTTCATACGAATACCATCAATCCGTTATTGACAATGCCCGTCAAGCCGAAAAAGTTCAAGCTGGACGTCAACTTGCCATTGCTTTAGATACAAAGGGTCCAGAAATTAGAACTGGTAACACAGTTGGTGATGCGGATATTCCTATCTCTGCTGGATCAGAGCTCAACATCACAACCGATGACAAGTATGCTACTGCTTGTGACGAGAAGAACATGTACGTATAAGTCTCAATGATAATTCTATGATCAGGAGATAGATCCAATGCTAATATGTTGTGCTATTTCTCAGGTATGTCGATTACAAGAACATCACCAAGGTTATCCAGCCAGGACGTATCATCTACGTTGATGATGGTGTCCTCGCATTCGATGTTTTGGAGATTGTTGACGAGAAGACCATTCGTTGCCGCGCAAGAAACAACGGAAAGATCTCTTCCAAGAAGGGTGTCAACCTCCCAAACACTGATGTCGATCTCCCTGCTTTATCCGAGAAGGATCAGGCCGATTTGAGATTTGGTGTCAAGAACAATGTCGACATGGTCTTCGCCTCATTCATCCGTCGTGGTGAGGATATCAAGTCAATCCGTAGAGTTCTCGGTGAAGATGGAAAGCATATTCAAATCATTGCCAAGATCGAGAACAGACAAGGTCTCAACAACTTCCCTGAGATTTTGAAGGAGACGGACGGTGTCATGGTTGCTCGTGGTGATTTGGGTATTGAGATCCCAGCAGCTGAGGTTTTCGCTGCTCAAAAGAAGATGATTGCAATGTGCAACATGGCCGGTAAGCCAGTTATCTGTGCTACTCAAATGCTCGAGTCTATGATCTACAACCCAAGACCAACTCGTGCTGAGATCAGTGATGTTGGTAACGCCGTCACCGATGGTGCCGACTGTGTTATGTTGTCTGGAGAGACTGCTAAGGGAAGCTACCCCAATGAGGCTGTTACCGAGATGCACGAAACTTGTTTGAAGGCCGAGAACTCCATCGCATATGTCTCCCACTTCGAGGAACTTTGCAACCTTACCGAACGACCAGTCAGCGTTGTCGAATCATGCGCCATGGCAGCAGTTCGTGCCAGTTTGGACATCAATGCAGGTGCTATTATTGTTTTGTCCACCAGTGGAGACAGCGCACGTCTTCTCTCCAAGTACAGACCAGTTTGCCCAATCTTCATGGTTACCCGAAATGCCAGTGCATCCAGATATGGTCACTTGTATCGTGGTGTCTATCCTTTCCACTTTGCCGAGGAGAAGCCAGACTTCTCCAAGGTTAACTGGCAAGAGGATGTTGACAGAAGAATCAAGTGGGGTATCGCTGAGGCCATCAAGCTTAAGGTCTTGGCTCAAGGCGAGAGTGTCGTTGTCGTTCAAGGCTGGAAGGGTGGTATGGGTAACACCAACACGTAAGTTTTAACATTATCAATTCAGTCGTTCTCATCTTGCTAACATATATATTTCTAGTCTCCGTGTTATCAAGGCTGAGCCAGAGAACCTTGGTTTGGAACAATTCTAGAGAGTATGGGACGAAACGTAATATAATACCATCATGAACTTAGGTTCAATTCTCAAACGATAACCTCGGACTTTGCATCGAACCAAGCTTCGATACTTTTATACGGCCTTTCGAGTTCCCAGCACCATTGATTTTATCATTCCTTCATGCTTTAATGGTTATGATGATGAGAAACAAACCGATCAGAAGGTCACGGATTGGCTGGTGTTGAATAGAATGCACTACCTTGTTTATAGAAGAATACCAAAATGCATTGCAGTCTGCGAATGTACTTCCTTCAATGTTATTGCCTTGGTGAGCTCGTGTCATACTGACTCTATTAACCTCTTGCAAGAAAGTTCAACAAACGTATTTTGAACATCCAAATCGAACTCGTTGTCGAAAAGGCCTCGTTTTTGTGCACGTCCCCACAAGGCTGACTTTTAGTATCGCGTGTCTATTGCATGTGATGAATCCCTCAAGAACTTGTATGATATTATTTTTATTCAATGAATGAATGATTCACTCCCGCCAGACCCATTGAGTGAGCTTGATTCATATTCTCGCATGTGCTCTCATCATTTCATGCAGCCTATCTGAAGATTTGACTCGGTAGCGGCAGCTGTGCTACATTCCTTTCCTTTCCTTTCCCTTCCCTCTTGCCATTTTTCTGTTTCAAGCAGAGCCCGGTCAAGTAGCTACTGCTCTTACAATCGATTCCATTACTCTACGGTAGCAGTAGCGAACCATACCTATAATATATTTCGAGTCGGGCCATGAGCCTCTGAAGACCCTACAACCTCCAGAGAATATTAAAAGCGTCAACAAAGCAAAGACCACGAACCACAATATCAAAATGTCTCGTTCCCGTAACTCATTCTTCAGTAGTTCTTCGGGCACAAATGATCAAAAATATCCTCTTCTATCAAGAGAATATGATCCGCATAATGATGTCAATTTGCATGACCTCTCTTCTCCTTCAGCTTCACGAGCAACGCCTAGTCCACCACCGGAATTTTATAAGGATATCAGGTCGCCTACTAGCACAAATGCAAGAATGATTTCACCCCGGCCGATCTCTCAATCAGGGTCTCCGAGTAATATGAAAGGGACTGGAAAGGCGAAGGGAAGGAGGATACAATTTGCCGCGCCTCCTCCGCCAATTGTGGGAAGTGTTGTGGGCTTGGGGAGAGGTGGGAAGATGGGAATGATTTTAGATGGAAGTGGGAGTCCTAGCTTGAGGGGTAGTTTGGTGAGGGAGGGGAGAGGAGTAATCGGAACTTTGAAGGGTGCGGGGAGTAGTGTGGGAGTCTCGGCGCAAATCGATACTTTGTTGGGATTGGAAAGGAGGGAAAGCGCTCTACAGGCAGAATTACAAATGTTGTTGGATGCGCAGGGTGAGGGGTTGTTGCAAGGCTTTGGGGGAGGAGGTGGTGATAGAGAAGAGGGAAGCGGAAGTAGCACGCCTACGACGAGATCATTACAACGAGATAAAGAAAGGGAGGGGGGTAGGAGTAAAGATGGCGCAAATATGCGCACGATTCCTGTTAGACAACCAAAAAAAAGACCGTTAGATTGAGAGGAGCGAGGAAAGGACTATTAAGGGACATGTGCGAGTTGGTGGATGTCAAAGGGGAGGAAAGCGACTTGTTAGGAGAAGAAGTTAAAAGGAGAGAGATATGCATTGTGAAAGTGAAGGATTGGAAGATCAGGACTGAAGAGGTTAAAAGAGAAATTGGCGAATCTATCGCAGCCGCAGCAGATACACAAATTGCAGGATCAATTTCATTGGATGGAGAAAGACCTCAGTCTGCGCAAGGCCAATCCGAAGAAGATCGCGAGATAGCTGAACTTCAAACTGAGGAGAGGGCTGTCGAGAACGAAATTCGAGAAACGGAAGATAGGCTGTTACAAATGAAGGCTCGGAAGAATTGGTTGGCAGAACGAATTAAGGAAAGGGTCAATCAGAGGGAATCTCGATTAAGCAGTTATCGTGGGGCGCTCAGGGAGGTAGAAGCCGAAGTCCAGGAATTTTTGACTAGACCACCAGTCATGGTATCGATTAGTATGGAAAATGAAGAAGGATTTATGGCCCTACCACCCAAGCGACGCACATTAGAAATGGCGGAAGAATGGTGGAGCAAAGAAATCCAATCGTTACAAGCGAGGAAAGTCGAGGTAGAGAAGGAAAAAGAAGCACTGGAGGAAGGGGCCAAGTTTTGGGAAGAATCTATGGGAACAGTGATGGAATTTGAGGATGAATTGAGAAAGAAGATGAACAGTGGAGAGGTGGGTGATGTAGAGGGATTGAAGGGTCAGATTGTGAGGATGAAGGAGGTAATTAGGAAACTTGGGGAAACAGCTCAAGTAGCGGATAGTAAGGGGTGGAATCTATTGGTTTGTGCCGTAGGGGCTGAATTACAGGCCTTTAAACAAGGAGAGGAGATTCTCAGGGAGGCGTTGAAAGCTATGGGTGGGGATATCGATGATGACGATGATGATAATATTAATATTAATAATGACGATAAAAGCAAATTCGACAAAGATAAGGGTAAGAGGAATATCACAAACATCAACACCAACACCAATACAGATACGAAAACCAGAACATCAAGCGATGATACATCGACCGATGATGGACTAAAAGAACTGGAAACGGATCTCGCGAGACACGAACAAGAACAACGAGAACAACAACAGAAAAGTTTGCTCGTGTACAGCAAAGCAAGTTTTAGTGTTGATGGGGCACATATGGACATGGACATGGACGAAAGTGATGAGGAAAAACATCTAAAGGAGTTATTGGTGGATCATGCGGGGGATACGGATCTTGAGGATCATGATGGGTTTTGACGGAGTAGAATACTCACTCAGTAGAGCATAGTATATAATACGAGTATAGGTTTATGAGTATCGATACCATTTTTTATTCAACCGCATCATATCACATCACATCACAATACTTATGATAAATCAATAAATGGTATACCTACTAGGTACCCTTCCCTACCTTTCTTAACATCCAGCGAATTGAGAAACAACTTGGTTCATGCATGCGTAGGTAGGTAGGTCAGATGGTATGATAATATAATGAGAGAGTCCATATACGAGTAGAAGTATTAAGCCATCCCCTAATTAAAACCCCCCACATCACCCACCCTCTCTTTAATCGCATGCCCCCAAAAAGCAAAAAAAAGTCCACCCGATTCATCCATAGCAAGTCCATAAACAAAAATTCCCAAGCCAAAGCCAAACCAAGTGATATAACCTCATCTTGACACAGCAGTAAACAAACCATCACCATCACCATCATCACCATCATGCACAGCACATCTCTTCACAGCCCACAATTCCCAAAACTTCCAATGGTGTTTCGATACCGAGCCCTCGCTCCCCTCATCCCCCAAATCCGCCATGCCAAACCCATTTTCACACTCACAGCTTGGGACTGCTCCTCCTGCACCTTCGATACCCCTTCTTCCACTTTCCGCCTCGCGTCCGCCTTCTAGATTTCCACTTTTGTTGGGCGTCGACGTCGAATTCGCCAAGTGTATTGAACTACTGTGATGACTTAGAACGCGATCTCCTATCGTCGTATCTTCAAAATCTAGTTCTTGGTCGCTTTCGTCGCTGTCGTCATCGTCGTCGACGGTGCTGCCGACGTTGGGATTTCCTATTTGATTTACATGTTGCACAAAACCACCCACCCCATTTCCATTTCCGTTTCCGCTTCCATTTCCCGCCACCCCAACTATCACCCCATTCCCCCCTTCGTTGCCCCCTACATACCCAATCCCCCTCAAACTAACCCACTTCAACTCCCTCAACTCCCGCCTCAACATCCTCACCACATCCGTCCACTTACTGCCCTCCTTCAATTTCACACTCCTGAGTCTCACACTCCTCAACGTATGTTTATGGCGTCTCAGTAACCCAATAATCTCCTCACTGTCCAAATGCCACGCTCCAAAGCCCACATATCTTAGATTTTCCCAAGTGACGTTGTGGAAAACGGCTTCAAGTGGTACATGGGTTAGAGGTCTATTGGATGGGAACCCTATATGGAGTCCTTGAATTTGATGGGCGGATGTAAAGAAGGTGTTGAAGAGACTGGAGAGTTGGTGCATCTTATCATCTGTTGGTTCTTGGATTTGAATTTCTAGGCACGTGAGTCGATTTGCCAATGTTGAAATCGTGTTATGAGAATGTGAGTTTAACAGTAATGGAATCCGTGGATTGACGAAACGACTTGAAAAGCGGGTTGCAGGAGAATCAGACTCGAGAAATGCGTAGCCGAGGGCTCGAGCAGAATGTTCGCATGCGGCTGTCCATTCTAAAGGATTAAGGTCGATGGAAAGAATAGGGTCGGTTACATTGTTATTGTTGTTATTGTTTCGAGAAATGGCGATCCAGCGTCTTTCTCTCAGGAATGAAGCCCAATCTGTATCCACTTTATCTTGAACCCTCATGAGACGGACTTGTTGGAGATGGTCGAATAACCGAAAGGCGCGAAGTAAACTCTGTATATCGATTCTATTATTGATGATGACTGCCTGTTCACGGGCTCGTGATAATACTCTAAATATAGTAATCTTATCCTTGCGATTACGATCAAGCTTGACTCGAAGCTGTTTGAGCGATGGTCGGGATCTATCGACTCGACGAGCATTGCCACTGGTTCCTCTTTGGTTCACTTGTCTCTCAAGATCCACTGTCGCCGCATGAGTCTCGTCAAATAAAACTTGAAGTTGACTTAGACCTTTGATTAGGTTAGTTGAAGTTCACGTAGTAGGTCAGATCAGAATATACCTCGATGATAAAACACTGGAATCATATACGAGAACTTTTTGACGTGTTCCGCCAAGCGAGGTCGCTCTTTCACCAAAAACTGTAACCGGTTGAAACCAGCTTCAGAGCATCGAATAGACACACGAGCGAACTGTCTACCAAGTAATAGACTGTAGAATTTCTTACAAGTACGGCTCTAGTGATGTTGTCGTTAGAGACATGGTTAATGGTTGGATAATGAATAGGAGAAGGACCCATACAAGAGTTGTGGTAATATTTGTATCCTCCCAGGATTGTGGTGGCATAGACTGAAAACTCTCTACACTTAAAGAGGCTCGATGATCAATAGGAATCAGTTTCCCAGAATTATGAACAAGGTTTTCAAGTATATTCTCTAGAATCTCATTTGAAAGTTTGAATATAGGTGTAAGCTTAGACTCAGGTGTTCGCGATTTACATAAGGAATATGCTCTGCAGAATCTCTTCTGGGCCAAGCAAAAGTTGAGTACGTGTGGTGATTGAGTCCATGGATTCCAAGAAGGTGGTCTTTCAGAATAATCTTCGTACAGTAATTGCAAAAGGATTCGGTAAAGAATCTCATCTGGAAGTCTCTCAATGGGGTTCAGATCATCCATCTTGAGGAAGAGTATGATTGTGATACAACAGAATGAATAGCACTTTCTCTAGAATGACCGGTTAGAAATAATGAATACTATGGGGTACAGTCTTACCTCACAACGAGCGTATCAGAACAGGATGTTCTTGAGGTTATTCGAAGAATAGACAAGGATACAAACGGAAATGGTGAATGAAAGTCGAATAGTTACATCATAATGAGTGAACTTGAGTGCCGGCACTCTATGTAATGGATTTGATTTTCAAAATAGAGCCGCCAGGTTTTTATGAATCTGACGTGTCGATGCGTTTCGAGGGATCACTCGAGGGTGGTTTGACCGAAAAATGTGTGTGGATGGATCGCCCTCCTATACTTATTAGCAGTCTATTGTTATGCAGATATATTGCTTGTTCTGGGTTTGGTTGGTCAGAATGGTTTCATGGCTTTGCTGCAGCGGCTTGTGGGTTACCGATCGTTCGGTGCAAATGTCAATCATGTGATCTTGGACGAATTCCAATCAGGCATGGAAGGATGAATATTGGATGGGTATAATATGATATAATTTGACAGAAGGAAAAGATACAGATTTGTTGCAAGGATGTTCCCATTCATGGCTGCATGAGATGACAACGAATCGTAGGTTAGCGGAGTGATGGATCGTCCGCTATGGTTGCTGCATGGCGAACGAATTACGGGCCAGGAAACGATGGTTGCGCTCCTAGGCCCTGGCTAGCACTGGCCGTGTCTAGACGAATTAGACGGACTAGACAAACTTATCTAGCATCTAAAATATTGATGAAGAAAAATATGATGAAATTGACGAGGCAGTGTGTCGAAAATCAATACGAATTAAGGAATTCATGAGAAGAAAGCAAGATATCAACCAAATGGTTAAAGGGTTAAAACGGTTATTCTTGTCTGCTTACGCCCATGACCTAGTCTTAAGGCGAAACATGGATAAAGAACGAGAACGAACCACTTGTGATTGTATAATGCAACAGACTGCAACTCTCCACCGTTTTTGTCAAGTATTAATCATTAAACCTAGTCCAGCAGAGGTGCCGGGTTGCGCTTTTTAGTGTGGGTGAATCCTTCCACAATTATTGGAAAAGGCTTGGAAATCAATTGAACCTATGCATTTGCGCGAGGAACATTATTGGACGATGGGCGCTTAATCAAAAACCCGCATAACCTCATTGATTGCACCACACGAGGGGGATTGTCTGAAGGACCAACTTTCATTCTATAATTTTCCGCGGCTTTATAAATTCCAGTCCGTTAGACGTTTCATCCGGACCTTATTTGGAAGGCTCATCAATTAGCATGGTTTCTGTGCGTCGTTGGATTATGGAAAAGGCGCCATTAGGTAGTAGTCGTGGGCATCGATACCTAGACGCCATTGATTCTTTGGGTCAAGAGAGGAAGTTACGTTCCAGACAAAGCAATGCGGGAAGATATGAGACGGTAGCCCCTGTCGGATGGTGATTCCTCTGCATAAACTCTGTATTTCTGCAAATGACGTGCATATTGTGACGGCGCAGGTGGCTCGATATTGGGTCGGCAAGTTCTGCACGTAAGACATCACTCTGCAACCGTGTTTTCGACAACAGCGGTACTATATCCATCCTTCCCTTTCATATAGACTCCAGCCAAGCTTGTGTCTATGCAGAACGAAACCTCGCGGGGTCATGTTTTGATTAGAGTGAAGACATTTGGGCTCGATCCGCCTTCTGCTTCCTTATTGCAGTACTGCTAATTTTGGAAGCAAAATCCGCCGGTTTAGGAGTGATCTCGAGACCATCTTGCGCGTCAAGTACATCAACTTCATAGACATCCAGTGCCTGCCAACCCTTCTCGAATCTTCTATCGTTCACTGCTTGTCCACCCGACCTAGTTTCTCCGGATACAATGAGTGCGGTAACAGTTTCATCAGTGATAGTTGGTCCATAAGCATCTTGAATTTCAACACACTCGATGTTGATCGAGCAAGCCTTCAGTTTCGTATGTATTGCTCGACCATTCGAGGTATCCAAAGTAACTGTTTGAATAGCTTCCTCCTGATGAGTCTGTGTGAAAGATAGAATCGAGATAAGAAATTCAACGACGTCACTTTGTCGTTCTTCCCAGCTTTGTAAGTATTCAGCATATTTCTTTTTTTTCAGCAATTCATCCCCTGTAATACCAACAATCAATCTCCGGGGAGGGTCCTGGAGGCCGGCGGCTGGTTGTAGTAAAAGTGCCGTAGCTGTAAGCAAGAGCTTGTGCCCCGCATGAAGGTGATCAAACGTGCCACCGACCGCTACCACAATATGAAAGGTAGAAGAGTTTGGTTGGATGGACTGAGAAGTTGTGTGAACCATGCTCACTCCACCACTGACCATTTGAAATTCTGTACGTAAAGGAGGACTAATTCCATTCGCGAAATGTAAAAAGTCTCCAAGTAAGTTCTGTCCTCCCTCGCCTTCCACTGAGAATATCTTATTCCAATGGCGTCGTGTACTTGCTAACAGAGGGAGTTCAACGATAGGACCTCCGGCTAAAACCCCAAGACTGACATCACGTCCAGAGCTCTTATTGAGAAAACGAGAAGAATCATAATCCAACAAAATAATACAGAAATCCACAGCTCCAGGTGACTCTGATGCGATATCGACATCGTCCTTGGCACATATTGAACAAATCAGGCTGTAAACACCACCCAATAGCTTCTCTGCATCATTGTATATTTGGGACCTTGGGGCTTTCAATCGATCATGAAAATTTGACGACGCAAGTGCGATTATAAGCTTCGTCCTGGATGATGAATTTTTGAGATTTGAAAGAACTGCAGATATTGATGAATGATAAGCCGCACTGAGGGTTGCAATTGTAGCTGGTGCGGGGTGTTGAGGGAGTAGAAGTAGGGATTGTGACATGATCGTCAACTAGGTAGGTATATATGGCGGTACAGTATCGTATTGCCAGCCAGCACAGTGAGTAAAAAGAGTAGTAGGAAACAAATGATACCGTACTGTAATAATGCTATAATCAATGATAAACCCGATACAATACAGTAAACGAATTCTTAAAACAACAATATGAATGGGAACGATGAATAACAATTTCATAGGAAGGAAGGATATTTGTTGTTCAATGGCCGTGTCGGATGGATGGATGTTAGGCTCTCCAAGGTCTTACATGTACTAAATATTTAGCGGCCTAATCAAATCAAAGCCCCACGGTATTACACTTCCAGCCTTTTCTCTCCCACCGTCCCACCCCTTCCAAGTTCCACCCTTCCCTATTCCCACCATTGGGGCTGTCGAGGCAATTAACATTAACAACTAAGTCACAGTCTTATTTCGAAAGTAGGGAAAGCAGCCACCCACCCATTGCTGACAACGGAATTTAAACCCCCCTGCGACATGCCTTTTGATTCTTTTAACATTCACTCAAATTCTCGTTCGTCTTCATCACAACAATCACAACAGAATGCGTTACCTGGAGGTACTACCACAGGAGGTATATTACAAGCTGCTGCAAATCTAGGTAGTTTTGGCATGCCATTATTGAGTTCTGGCAGTTCTGGCACAGGTCAATCCGCACCACCACCACCAACAACATATGGTCTACCACATTCAAATTCTTCCATGACGACCACCACCACCAACAACACCCTAATGAATCAGTCTCAACAATACGAAACACCAAGGCGAACTCGCCACACGGACGAGCTGCACTCAAGTATGTCTGCGCAACGCGGTCCTTTATCTCCAAGAGATTATGGAGCAAGCGGTCCACGTATAGCCTTGGAGCAAGCCACTCCCGATACATCCCAATATCAAAGTGCAGTACCACTCCCTGGTGCTTTACTGCCAGGAAGACCTGGTGCGGTTTCGACAAATACAGCGCCTTCATTGCCCACGATTTCGCAGGACCAGTACTCCACCCCCTCACGAACCACAGGTCTTTCGCACAATTATACTCGATCTAGCCCAGTGGCAGGATTCGACAGCCAAGGTTTCGCAACATTTCAAGCGACCGCGCCGGGGGGTCCCGAGCAGAATCAATTCTCCTCGCCGACACAAAAGTATACACCTCAAAACTCACAAAGAACGGTATCCAATACTCCTCTCGGACTTGCAGATATTCGACCGCGCGCAGATTCGACACTTGCTGAAAGTTTACCTGGGGCCAATCCATATTCATATGATGGTACTAGCGCTACGCCTACCAATAGTAACTATCTCGCGCCGTGGGCTTTATATGCATTCGATTGGTGTAAATGGCCAGCGCAAAATAATGACGCTGGGAAAGTCGCTATAGGAAGTTATCTGGAAGACGGCCACAATTTTGTAAGTCTGCCTATTTCTTAAGGAGCCAAGAGAAAATCTAGCAATGCTAATTAATACATTATCTTTCAGATTCAAATTCTAGATTCGCAAATTGTCCCCACCCATTCCGAATCCTATGTGCCTGGCGGACCAAAATATGGACTCGAGTTTACAAAGATTGCTGAAGCAACACATTCATACCCTGTCACTCGGCTCCTATGGGAACCACCGTCCTCTCAAAAACAATCTACAGATCTGTTGGCCACCTCTGGTGACCATTTGAGATTATGGTCGCTTCCTTCTGAAACTCCAGTTGCGTCGCCGAATAACACTATCGGAGGACGCACTTCTAATATCGGCCGGGATCTACCTCCCAGCAAACTCACACCACTTGCCCTACTTTCTAATTCTAAAACGCCAGAGCATACTGCTCCTTTGACGTCTTTGGATTGGAATACTGTTTCGCCGAGCTTGATTATTACTTCAAGCATAGATACTACATGCACCATATGGGACATTCCTACATTAACAGCCAAGACACAATTGATTGCACATGACAAAGAAGTCTTCGATGTCAGATTTTGTGCTAACAGTGTGGATGTTTTTGTTAGTTGTGGAGCTGATGGTAGTGTAAGAATGTTTGACCTTCGAAGTTTAGAGCATAGTACCATCATCTATGAACCAACTTCAAAGGATGATAAAGGTATGGATTTTCAGATATTATTCTGAAACAACACTAATTGGGATTGTAGATACGAGCCCTGGTGGTGGAAGAATAAGTCCAACATTAGCCCAGCAAACTATGTCATATGCGCCTCCTCTACTACGACTTGCAGCATCACCGCATGATACACATCTTCTTGCTACTTTCTCGCAAGATTCCAATGTCATTCGTATCCTGGATGTTCGGCAACCTGGGCAAGCTTTGCTAGAGCTTAAAGGCCATTCATCAGCTATTAATTGTATAGAATGGTCCCCATCTAGAAGAGGCACCCTTGCTTCTGGCGCCGATGATTCGTTGGTCCTTATCTGGGACCTACTGAGTCAAAATACTACTCTCCCTGCAGGTCCTAGCATGAACGGTGCACCGGCCTCGGACAATTCTAGAGGGCCCGCTGCCAGCTGGCAATGTGACTACGAAGTGGGAAATATTAGCTGGGCACCTCGTAGCAATTTGAACAACAATGAGAATGGCGATTGGCTCGGGGTCAGCGGGGGAAGGGGTATTTGGGGGGTGAAGCTATGACGAATCATGATGGGCTTCAGGTCAATTTTACACGGGAGCGTGACGTTATCGCATATCAAAGCCTGGAGTTCGGTTTCTTGGAGATGGCATCTACAATATCCGAGTATTTATGATATTATGCTCATTGGGGTTTATGTATGATAGGAGTGAGGTGACTGGTCGCTTAGATTCGCAAATACGAGCAAATTCGCATCGTCGAAATTGAATCTTCAACAACAAGGGGTTTGAGCTTCTTCATCTATCAATTGTTCGCTTTCAGGTGAATTTGACAGCAATTGATCGATACGATTATGACTACAGCTTGGCATTTTTTACACACTTTACGGGCGCTCAGATCTTCCAATGCCTTTACCAAACTCCCCATGCCATTATACCTATGATCAATATGATGGGCTTCACAAGGCCTTTCTTCAACATTTTCATTTAGCCCGTTCCATACTTGCAATGTTACTTCTGGATTCCGACGATCTGTCTCCGGAACGCTGCAATTGTTAGCTTTATATTGCGGGGTATTCGATATGAGAAGATACGTAGCCAATGATTTTCACCTGCTTCAAGATACTTTATTCATGCCTATATTTTCTAAAGTTCCTTCTCTTCCCGCGAATCCAACGACCAGGATTCGTCCTCCATGGCTTAACATCTCAAACTCAAATCGACTAGTCCTACAGAATCAAAAACCAAATCAACTCCTGTGCCATCTGTCAACTCTGAGACGGTCTTCCACCATTCTTGACTCCCGGAATAGTCTACAGATTCATAGGTACTGAATTTAAAGGCACCAGATTTGCACCCAACCTCTGGTTTTTCCTCTGTAGAAGCAGTTGCTATAACTCTTGCTCCAAATGCTTTTGTTATTTGCACAGTCATTAATCTTAGACCTCCGGTCTCCGCATGCACAAGTACTGTTTCCCCTCTGCTCAACCCCCTCTAACTATAAGCGCACCATAGCTAACAGGCGCTTTAGCACCTAGGCTTACGGAAGACTTAAAGTCCCATCCTCGGTCTCTAATAGATAGTATTGATGCATAGGACCCTTGAGCACCGCCAGAGACATGATCACCAAGCGAGTACCGACTGCCTTTAGGTATTGAAATAAAGATGCCGGAAAGCTCGAGACGGAGTATGAATGGTGGGGTGGTATCACGAGCATGGTTAGATTGAGCGAACACATTAGCTCAATAATGAAATGCAGCAAACAAATTCATGATTTATAACGAGACATTTGAATGTTCACATATAATGCAAGTATTGTATTTAACGTGTGACCTAAAATATCCTATCCAATGAAAGTGGCTCAGAGTACTCGAGTATGTTAGAATACAATAAGATACAACAAAGGATAATATAAAGGTTTCATGTATAAAAGGACTCATGTTTAGCCCAACCTCGAATACCGAGGACCAGAATCACATACTCTGCATAGGTAGACAATGCTTAAGACTACCTGGAAAGGATGAGTGAAGGGAGTGTTGCTTAGAATAGTCAGTATGAATGCCTGACCATATAATCTGTATTTCGATTTCACAGCTATATCAATCTCAAAACTTGAGACTTACTGTATTACTCGAGACATGTTACTGGAGACTCATTACTCGAGACTTGTTCATCACTCCTCAATGATAATGCTGAGAAACAACATCTCGGCACTCCTCACTCACATAAAGAAGACCCGCAAAGTTTACTCCAGCTATTGAACTAGCTCATCAGTACCGGTATACTGTTTAAGTTCAATTTCCAGATGGGAAACAAGGGTAAACCACCTGCAAACATTCAGATGGGAAACTTCATCTCTTGGGTCGAGGATCAAGAATATAGAAGACTTTGAGATCTTCATGGCTCTGATTGATCAGCTGATAACCTTATAGTAGTACCCATTTACTCGTACATAAATTTGATGATTACCCTTTACAAACTTAAAATCAAGGCTTGGAGAATTAAATGTATCCTGTATGTTAGTACATGATTGTACCAAGTTTTTCATTGGTCTAGGTAATTTGTTATACCTAAATAGGTTAGATCAATTTGCTTGCACGGAAGGCTGAGGCTATTTGAACAAAGGTTAGCTTGCCTCGCCCGAATTGTACTTTATCCACCCACCTTGTGATTTGTATTCCATAAAAAAACTACAAGTACCATCCATTCCTCCTTCGAATGCATATCTTCATCTTTGAACCTTTGTATTAAAAATGTCTACTTCAAATTTACTGAATAATTCCTTTGACGATAGCGACGAAGAGGACGATAATTTCAATCCCCAACCTGCGGATCTTTCAGACAACGAAGATGAAGGCCACCACACAGCCAGCGCGCAAAGACAAAATGATGCTTCGCGTCATCAAGTAGGAGATGATGATGGCTCTGAGGATGATTCCGCCCCAACAGGCGGTAGGAAACACAGCTCCGGCGGCGTGGAAGAAGATGATGAAGATGATGAAGGCGAGGGAGAGGATACTGCTCCAGGTGCCCATGATGATGACGATGAAGAAGATGAAGATGACGAAGAAGAAGAAATTACGGTGAGCATATTTGAGCTGCACATACAATTCCTCTTTGCTGCTCCCTTACAATGCAGCGAGCGGAACTTTCACTAATCGCAAACTATCTATAGGGACACCGCCGCAAACGCCGCAGAGACCGTCGCAATGTTTTCCTCGATGTCGAAGCCGAGGTGGATGAGGATGAGGATGAAAATGAGGACGACGAGGATGAATTGAACGAAATGAAGGATACTTTCATTGCTGACACCCATCCGGATGACATGGCAGACCTTCCCGATGGCGGGGAGACGGATGACAGACGTCACCGAGATTTGGATAGAAGACGCGAAATGGAGGCAAGTCTTGATGCGGAAAAACAAGCCGAGATTTTGCGACAACGATATGCGAATAAGGGTCGATCCTCAAGAGGCACCGGAGAATCGGCGGTCGTTCCAAAACGTCTTTTACTTCCTAGTGTCGACGATCCTAGTATCTGGGCTGTACGATGTAAAGAAGGAAAAGAAAGAGAGGTCATTTTCTCGATCATGAAGCGCATCGAGGAGAGAGCTGGTACCAAAGAGGAACTTGCGATTACTTGCGCTTTTGAGCGTGGTGGAACACAATCTACGATGAAGGGATTCATTTATGTTGAAGCTCAACGACAAGCGGATATTTTGACTGCTATGGATGGCCTTATGAATGTCTATCCTCGAACAAAGATGATGCTGGTTGAGATCAAGGAAATGCCAGATCTTCTTAGGGTTACGAAGAGTCCAACTATAGAAGTCGGAGCTTATGTACGACTAAGGCGTCCAGTAAAATATGCGGGTGATCTTGCTCAAGTGATTGAAGTCACTGATACTGGTCTCGAACTTCGTGTCCGATACGTACCTCGTCTCGATTATGGTCTTCATGAGGATTCCAGTGTAGCAGCAGATGGAAAGAGAAAGCGCCCAGTCGCTGGACCGCGTCCACCTCAACGACTTTTCAGTGAAGCTGAAGCTAAGAAACGACATGCAAAACATTTGCAGGGCCGACCGGACACCAAAGTCTGGAACTACTTCAATGATGAATATGTCAATGGATATTGCGAGAAGGATGTCAAAATCCAGGCCCTTATCACTAAAGATGTTAACCCAACCCTCGAGGAAGTTACAAGATTTGCATCTGGTGCTGAAGATGGAACCGAAAATTTGGATCTAAATGCACTTGCTGCTAGCTTGAAAGCAAGCACGGCCAATGCTTCCTACCTACCTGGTGACGTTATTGAAGTGTACGAGGGTGAACAGAAAGGTGTTATTGGTAAAGCAGTATCTGTTACAGGTGATATTGTTACAATGGCTGTATCTCAAGGAGCATTGAGGGGTCAAACTATCGAAATTCCTATCAAGGGTCTACGCAAACGTTTCCGTGAAGGTGATCACGTGAAAGTGATTGGTGGTAGTAGGTTTAGGGATGAAGTTGGTATGGTCGTCAAGATCATCGAGGATCGTGTCACTTTGCTGAGTGATCAGGGCAATAATGAAATTACTGTTTTCAGCAAAGATCTTCGGGAAGCAAGCGATTCAGGTGGCAGTGGTGCGTTAGGAAAATACGAACTTTGGGACTTAGTTCAATTAGACCCCGCTACTGTCGCTTGTATCATCAAAGTTGACCGCGAGTCACTTGTCGTTCTTGACCAGAATGGCACGAACCGAACCGTCATTCCATCTCAAATCTCCAACAGGCTTGAGAAGCGAAAGAACGCCGTAGCAACAGACCGCAATGGCGCCGAAATTAAGATTGACGATGGTGTAAAGGAATTCGGGGGGGAGAGTAGATCTGGCAAAATCCTACACATTCATCGAGCCTATCTCTTCTTGAAGAGTTCGGAATTGAGCGGGAATGCTGGTATATTTGTGGCACGAACGACCAGCGTTCAAAGCGTTTCTGCTAAGGGAGGACGAATCGCCGGCAGCGTTGCACCTTCACCGGATCTTAGCTCTATGAATCCGGCAATGAAGCTTAATCCCAAGAACAATGGCACAATGCTTCCACCGAAATCATTTGGTCGTGATAAGTCTATTGGACAGACTGTGACAATTCGAAGAGGCCCTTACAAGGGCTTACTCGGTATTGTCAAAGATACCACAGATACCAGTGCCAGAGTAGAGTTACATACAAAGAGCAAGGTGATCAGTGTTCCTTTAGACGGTTTAGGATTCAAAGACAAGGTCAGTGGGGCATCGATAGATCCAAATGGTTTCCGAGGTGGTCCTGGTGGTGGTAGAGGAGGAGCTCCAAGAGGTCGTGGTGGGTTTGGAGGTGCTACCCCTGGACCGGGTTGGGATGCGGGTGCAGGTGGACGAACGCCAATGCCAGGTGGTCTTCCTGAGCGTACTCCAGCTTGGGGAAGAAGTAAGTTGTTCTATCTTGTTTTCTGATTCTGTCTTGTTTTCTGATTCTGTCTTGTTTTCTGAAATTTACTAACCCCTTTTAGCCCCTCACGGTGGTGCACAAGGAGGTGGACGAACACCTGCTTGGAAGTCTGGCCCCACCGATGGTGGACGGACGCCTGGTTGGGCGAATGATGGATCTCGAACTGTTTATGCGAATGACGGTAGCCGGACAGCCTATGGAGGGGGCAATAGAACTCCTGCCTGGTCATCTGGTGCTAAAACTCCAGCTTATGGCTTATCAGATAATTATGGATCTAAAACTCCCGCATATGGCGGTAGCGGTAATGCCGGAGATGCGTGGGGTTCAAAAACTCCAGCTTATCAACCAAATAATTCCAACGACAACTGGAACTCGGCTCAACCTAGTAACAACAATTGGGGATCGGGTTACGATGCTCCAACACCCGGTGGTCCTCTATCGGCACCTACACCAGCTGCAATGAATGCTCCTACGCCAGGTGGATATTCCGCTCCTACACCAGCTGCCATGAACGCACCAACTCCCGGAGCTTATTCGGCGCCAACGCCAGCTCCAGGTTACTGGGGGGCTCCAACACCTCAAGCTATGGATGCGCCAACCCCAGGACAAGGATATTATGCAGGAGCTCCCACGCCAGGTGCTTATGCAGCGGAAACCCCAGCAGCGAACTGGCAGGATGATGGACCTAGATACGTGGATTAATTGGTGATAATTTACAATGGAAATATGGATGTGCATGCGTCGGAGGAACTTATTGATTTTGAAACGGAGCGATGGTGTTCTCTTTTCTTGGTTTTGGGCTTTTTTATCATTTGAGATTCAACAGAATGGTCACAAAATGGAATCTTGTTTTTCGGAGGATTACATACATACATGCATATGAGAATATAAAAAATTACAAAAATTACAAAAATCAAAGCACAACTGTTCATAAAAGTCCTCTTACATGTCCATCTTTCACGATCCCTTCGTTCGTCCTCTCGCTATCAATAGGACAGACTACTTAAACCCCATCCCTCTAAATTTCCCACAATAGGTGTATGTCCTCCCACTTTGAGTAAGTAATAATCCACGTAACCTCCTCATCCCCATTATTTACCTCTTGATGGCGAAATCTCCAAGTAACAACAACTAACGACAGGCGGGTATTTCTTCCATCGTTAGTTAGTTACTATGGCTATAGTGCCGGGTTGAAGGGTTGAGTTGTGTTGGATATGGTGAGATCCCTATCATTTACACTTCTTGATACTCACCATACGCGGGAATCAAAACGAAATATCTAGGGCGACAACGATAGGCAGGTATTTCATGGGATGGCGATAGCGTGCAGGTCGTTGGGTAGTCAATTTATTTAATAATCTTTTAGCTATTACAGTAGCTATTATGCATATATTTTGGATTTTGTCTCCCTATGCAACCTTAGGTGTCTCGGGTAAATCGTCTCTTCTAAGCTTGACGGATCTCATTCTTACCCAAACTACTGTACAGTCAATCCCTCACTAGCGAACCGGTGTATTCTCCTCGTTGAAGCATACCTAGATGTCGAATCTGTTTAGATAAAGAGTAGATAGATATGGCATGAGTTCGAAAGTGGGAGTTGTATCGAATATATTCTGATTCCTTATACAATCAACAATCTACAGAGTTACTAGTTAAAAGCTCCTCTCCAGCTCCATGTTTCACATCCATTGTATTCGTAGTCCTTGTATCCCATCCAAGATATTTATTGCCTTCCTATTTGTCCATAACATGTACTCTCAACATCCTCTACTATCTTCATGCATAACTACTCGAGTACAAATCCCAGTATTGCCACGAGGCATCCATATCACGACTTTTAAGTTTTCTCCACGAATATTGTAGGCACCTTCCGGAAGATGATGTTGCAAATGGGAAATGCTGCTTTGGGGTTGCCTAGTAGGGGTGGCACGGTGAGGATTTGGGTTACTGGGTTGGATGGATGGGGGTTGAATGGGGTTGGGATTGGGATGGGGATTAGTCTGGAACAACGCGGATGCGAGGCGATGGGAGACGATGTCGGAGTTTCCTGTTTTGATTATTGTGATTGATTGTATTGGGATGATATCTGGGTAGACAAGACTTTAGGAATTAGTGGTGAATGAAGATGGGGTTGGATTGGGTGATGATTGATATGTATGTATAGAGTTGAATTGTCTCATTCAAATTCCAAGCAATCCATTCCAAGCCCATCATTATGATTGTGGTTGTGATCGTCTAAGTCATCACGGGATGTCACATTGATATTAATTATTTCTTTCGGAGAATTCTTTACCTTTGAAAGTTATCGTCTTCAATTACCATTTACTTTGTTTTGATATCAAACTCAACTCGAACTTCCTTTTTCAATTACCTAGTACTCCTTTATCATATATTATTTCTTTCTCGCTTGAACTTGAGGTATGGTAAGGTTAAGGTTAGTAACCTTTAAGCTCAACTGCTAGTTTAGTCCGAGTCTATTATCTTGTCCCTCCATACCGATTTTGTTTTTGTTTTGTCATCTCTCATCTCTCATCTCTCATCTCTAGAATTTGACATTCATTGCAAAATCTTAATATAATCAATACCGGTACCGGTAGTATTCCCCATTTCTAGATCTCTTCTTATCTACTACATACTACATATAACCTTACCCATCTTCGAAAAAGCTAGACTCTATCTTACTATTTTGAACATCTCAACCTATGAAATTGGGCTAAATAGGTAGATCGCATTCATTTAAGCTTTTTTCATCTGGTGCATTGAAACACCGAACGAATATCCCCGACATAAATCTAAAATAGGAAGCTCATCAACCCGTTCATACATACACTGTACACCACTTATACCGTATAGTGAATAACGGTACTTCAATCCAAGAAATTTGATCATTCTAATTGATCATTCAGCCTTTCTTTCCAAGATATATCATATCATATCATATCACAGCACACAAAGAGAGGAAAGCTTGCGAGCATTATCAAATGATCAGTTAAGATATCATCATCGAATAAGGCGTCAGGAACCAATTTCCAAAGCAGAATTCCCATCACATCATATCCAACCACATCTTCTTGCATAATCTACAAAGCTGCAGCGATTCTGTTCTTGGAGTGGTCACAAGAACGCAGGCATTCCTCTATCATATTTAAAGACCGTTCCACCTTCCAAGTTAGAGGTCCTGCTCCATCGAGCAGAGCAAACGAGTAACGAGTTTTCTTTTTCTCATACGGAGTAGAGAGTTTATCGAAATGGAGAACCACGAGAAATTCCTACATGGTCGGTTGGATCCCGGCATTGAATCGACTGTACAATTGGTCGAGGGCGTCGAGAGTCCGGACACGAGCACTTTCTCATCTTCACAGGATGCTCCCTCTCCCATCTTATCTTACGCCAAAAATGCGGTATTTCCGGGTATGTTTCCTTTCTCTGTTGCATTGTAATGGCTTGGTGTTCTTGGCTTTTGAGTTGCATCCTTCGCTTGATAGAAATGACAAGGTCTTCCAGTTAAGCACAGAATCGGATTGCTACATCAAACTGGAAGAATGAAGACTAACAGTAAAAACTTCCATCTCTAGGTATCAGATCTTCCAATGAAACTCGGCTCAAGTTAGCCCATCTTCCGGTTGAACTTATTCGCCAGATTTCTTCTTATCTTTCGCCATGCGATTTGATAAAGTTTGGCAAAACATGCAAAACGTTATCTGAAGTAGCCAAAACCGATTTCCTTTGGCGACGCCTCGTACAAGAGAACGTTCCCGGTATTAACCTTGATTCTCCTTCTCCGTGCGAGTCTTTTAAAGAACTTTACAAAGCTCATGATCCTCACTGGTTCCTTACGAAGAACAAGATATGGTTCGCCGATGTTCCCAATTTCGGGCAGTTAATAATTTCAAAATACCACCCTGAGACTGGTTCAATCCGATTACACAGACTTATGGCACAAAGGTCACCACCCCAATTTGCTGCGTGGGAAGACGATAGCCAGGTCATCGTTCATTCCTTTGACCCCGTGGTACATTTGTCTAAGCACAACCTGCGATTGGATCTCGATGCATATTCTCACCGATCCCTATCGGATATGGGTGAAGCTGAACGCAGGCTCAATGGCGAGGTACAGATGACTCGGGAAGACGAAGGCTTTGATTCCCGTGCCTATTCGAAATTCATGCTGGCAAAAACTTTCGTGTTTGAAAACCCTCCTAGGTTCGTAATTGGATCACAATCTCATACTCCTTTTTGTATCTAAATCTATTACACGAGTTCATATCCCCCTTTCTCTTCGTTCAATATAACTTTTATTTCTCATTTTCCTCCACAAACTTTTCTGAAAGAAATTACTGAATCCCGATCACAAAACAGCTTACCGCAGGCGGATAAATGGCCACCTCCAAATATACCAGCAAAGTCTCGGGTACCTCGTACCAGCGTCTGTGCCCAGCAGTCCTCATCTAGTAGTTGTTGTCGACTCGGAGATCGTTCTCAAATCGATGAGGAATCGTTTCGAACTCGACAATGGTTAGAGATGAATGGTCTGGTACGGATTGGAGAACAGGTCTGTACGTGGTCAACCCTTGACTTCAGTTTATACACACCGACGGAGGATAAACCTTACAGTGGAATTTTTGTAAGTTTCTTCTCATATTTCATATCCTCTTTCTCGTTTCATTTTGGCCTCGGACTTCCACCGCCGCTTGCAGGAATCGACTGCAAAGCTTACTTGTCCCACCGAACTTCTCATTATCTTACCCCTTCCATATTTCAAAAGCTTTTCCAAGTCTTTAATCCCACCAGCCCTGACTACCCCCCTTCCTCATGTGTTATCGACGAAGGCTTGGCCAGGGTAACAGTAGTCCGAAAGCCAGCCCGACAACGGGATATTTTCGAATATTAAACTTAAATCGTACCGTTCGTACGTTCAGTTGATATTTCGGACACTGCATTCATAGACTGGACAACCCTGTGTTGGCAAATGATCCTTATATTGAAAGCTCCTTTTATTCAACTACTGACTTGAGTTACAACTCCAGGTTGGGGATTACTCGGGTCATGGCGCCGAATTTTTATTAATAGATCATCGAGATGGATCTCGGAGACACGAGGAGTCAAACATTTCAGACCGGAAAGAAGACGAATCGCTTGAAGCATGGGAAGCAAGAAAAAAGCATGCACGAATTTACAAAGGTTCTCTAGTCGCCACTAAATTGACTGGAGATCCAAATATACCTCGAGGTGAGGTTTCGTGGGTGGCTGATGACATTGGTGAAAAAGGATTGGTTCGTTATGGGGATCAAGCCTGGCCTGGTGCAAGAATTGTGAAGAGTCGTGGTCAGATTGCTAATGAAGGATATATATACCGTGTGTCTTCCTTTCAGCAATTGTATGGTGGTTCTTACTGACTATTTACAGCAAAATTTATTCAAACGCAACTCATAATGATATCCCACGATGTATTGGCACAATACTGGGTGCCTTTTGGGCATATTTCTTTCTTTCGTCGGGTCGACATTGACGCTTTGGTCAAACTTGAACCGGGAATGCTGGCATCCGGAATGATGTCACCACTATATTCGACATAATTTGAGGCGAAGAAGAGGTTTTCATCATGTTTGGTAGATGGACTTGGAGGGTTTTATTGATCTTAAGGATAATACCTAGTATACATTGGATGGAGTTTTGGATCACGATGTGTCTCATGGATAATAATTGGATATATTTTGGGGTTAAATTGGCTTCCTTTACTTGTATATAAATTAACACTTGGCAAATATAATCATCTAGTCGAGTATTTATAACCATTCCTATAAGTTTCCATTGTTCCCAAATTAATGAGCGCCTTCATATAAAGCGCTATAGAGGGGCCACCCACGATTAGTACAGTACCGGTACTTTAGCAAATCTTCTGACCCCCCTTCATCCGATCTCGCCAATGCAAAGACAGACTCAGTGCAAGTTCAAGTTCCCGGACAAGATGTCGGCTCCTCTACATCAATTTACCCCACACGATAAACCTTCCAATAAATAATATCCCCAACTTTCATTTTATTTATTATCCAAGATAACGAAGGCAGATCATAACAACATCAAGGATCCGTGGTGTAGTGGTTATCACACTTGCTTTACACAGTAGTCCGTCCATTCGGGCTGTGAAATCGCAATAGGTCCCCGGTTCGAACCCGGGCGGATTCATATATTTTGGAAATTTTGTGGTTTTAAGAGAAGGAAGAGGTGCTTTTTGATATTTTGGGAGGGGCGGGGGAACGGGGGTTGGATTTTGGATGGATATGTGGCGGTGCAGATGGTGGAGAAGGAAGAGGTGACTGGGTCTAGAATTTCATCTTCATTGTTTATTTTATCTCCTTTTGCTATTTTTCTGTTTGTACATCATACATATATATCTTCATCTAGTAGTATCTAGGAGTAAATAAATAGATGAATAAGTGGTGGCTATTAATATTATTGTGGGTGAATAATTGAATGTTTGATTATATACTTACTGATAGAACCGCTGAATAGTCTTTTTTTTTCTCTCTTGCTCTTTTCTTATATATGACTCGGAAGATGTATGTATGAAGGAGCAAGCCTAGTGGCTTCGATAAGTAATGAACGGGATATCTGCTGGTTGGTTGGTAGGGTGGGAATACTAGGTAGGTCTTGAGGGAACTTGTGCATACCTGTGGATTTTAAATGCATATGGATGGGCTGTGAGAGTGTGAGATAGAGGGAGAAGGGGAGGAGGAAATGAGAGGAGATGGGAGGGGTATGGCATATCGGAGATGTGAGGAGATGGTTCTGTCGTTGGATGGATGGATTGATGGATCGATAGATGGTTTAGTTGCTATGAAAACCTTTATCTATTTATTGTATGGATTGGATTGGATTGTTCTTCTATCGTGATTCTGCTACTCGAGTATATAGTAGTGGTGTATACCTAAATGTCGTCTCAAGAAATACCCCCCAATCATACATAGTATGCATGTATTGAGTGGCTCATCTGGACATACGGAGTACACAGATAGCCATTAGCTAGCTGCCTCGATAATCTAGATGATTTGCATAAACCTAATAAGGCGACAACGCAAGTTCATGTATTTACAAAACGAAAAAGCTAAGTGGTTTGTTTGTACCATTTCAATTGTACGTAGTGGACGAGCGCGAATCAGAGATTGTTTCTCGGAGGTCGGTAATAAGTGATGTTATGGAGTATTAGCGTGGAGGTTCTTGTTTTGATATCTGGTAGTAGTAATACGATTGCGAGATGTCCAGAGCCTGCTGCTATCCCTTCCTTCACATACCTTGACTTGCCTAGTGGAGTTGTTAGGTACTTGAATCGAGGGTTTGGCTTGGTTTAGTTGGTTAAGATGCTTGATGTAATTTGTATACCGGTAGTTATATCTTCCCTGATGTTCGCCGCATGGGGTTGAGTATCTGAGTCTGATTGAATATCTGGAATGCGGTAGATGTCGGAAGTGGTTTGCATGTCTTTAAATGCTCAAAATAGCATCCTTCATTTGAAGGGGTGGTGTCATTTCGGATGGGTTAAGACTACACTTCCATTTCCAATTTGCGTGTTCAGGTAATATAGCAATAGAATCATAGTAGACCTAGTCAGATTTTCCAAACGATGAAGACACAGCATAAGCGTTTTCACTTTCACTTTCGGATACATACTGCAGAATTCGGAAGAGACCATTTATAGTAAATATCATTATGATATATTCCCCTTCATGCTAACGAAAATATCAACCCTATGCATCCAATAGTCCAGACTGACAGACTGGAAGACTAGATGGAAAGCTCCCAATGTTCTAAAACTCGAGAATTCTCCGAATAAAGCTGAATATTACAAATGAATCTGAAGTTCGAGCGCGTTAGATTCAACCCTCAAATAAGTCGTACATACATAAAAGGTAATAAACAATCAAAAATCCCTCATCCTAGGACTATATAACGGACTAGTGTGAAGAATCCTACCGCGTCTACAGCGTCTACCTCGAGACCAATCAATAACCTTCCATCCCCCCTTCGGTTCACGAAACATCTTACTCCCCCGCGTCACCCTTATATCCCTCACTCTGGTCCCCTTCATCTTCGATACTCGTATGCATCTTGCGCATTTATTCAAACTCCACATTCGCAATGGTCTGCTGGCTTTCGGACAATACGGTATAGGTATAGGTATAGGCTGGGTTGTTTGGGCTTTGATTTGCTTTTGGAGAGGACATAGATTCGTGGATTTGTGTACGTGGTAACAATCGTGGTGGGTGTGGGTTGTGGTGCACATGGTTTGGGTTTTTGTTGTGGTTGTGGTTGTTATTGGGGATTACTTGATGATTGGTGGTGGGTTTTCAAACTTTCGAGGTTTTTGCTTGGTATGTATGGATTTGATACGGTGTTTTTGGGCTTGTTTTTGAGGCTACTATTTCCTGTTTGTTCAGAATGATCGCAGAAATTCGGTACTGGGTGTGAACAATGCGGTTGTTCTCTGCGCAGGTCTTGTACTAGAACGTAACAAAGAAATCACAGTATTGAACTAAGTCTCGGGACTACAAGAAAACAAAGAGAAAACTGAAACACAATCTTACTCAAAGGTCCTTGTGAGTTCTTTATGATCATTCATTGTTACAAACAATGGCTTTATTTTTAGTCCCAACCAGAACATGGAAAGAAAGTATAGAGTAGGCCAGTTGGGTTGGGTTGAAGGTCTGGGGAGTTTTGATATTCAGAACCTCAATATTTTTTTGATCACCAATCCAAAGGTCAAAGACCGGCAACCAACAACAGCAACCACTCAATCAATCCACCAAGAACACCACCATGTGTCAATGGATTTGCACCGTCGAGTTGTGCCCCACCTGTGGTAAGAAGAAGAAGATCACCGACCAAGACGGTTTCTGTGAGTCAAACTCCAGCCCCCGCACCCCCAAGGACCCTGTCTATTGCCAAAGCTACAGAGAATATGACAATATCATTTTTGCAGACTCGCCATGCAGGTCTTGCGACAAGAAGGACTCTGAGGAGAAAAAGGCCTCACCTCCAACGGACTCAACCTCGAACGAGACGGCGATTCAGGAGCTCATGTTTTCCAAAAAGCCGACTGTGGCAAAGGAAAGTGATGAGGTCTCGGAAGATGATCGTGACCCAGACGAGCGTGGCTTGGATGATGGGAGCATCTCAGAGGTCTCGGCTTTCTCGGATGATTCGGACGATGAGCTGTTCTCTGGCGATGAATTTGACGAGGATGATGAGCGAAGGTCGGAGTGTCTTAGATTTGGACGTCTTCGGACTAGGGTCGAAGAGGTCAAGAGAATGCCATAGGATCGCCCGCATAGATTAGGGGATAATAGTTAGTTAAATTCAAAATCAAAGTTAGCAAGCAAGCTTGCAACGGATATCATTAATTTCCATTAACTTCCAATCATGTTAGGCTGAGAGAAGGATAAGGAGAGAGTGATTAGAAAAGGTTTGACGACCAATCAGATCAGATCTCACCGAGATCCCCCCAAAAAATAGAATTTTTTGCTTGAAAGCAATATACCAATTAGAGATATATATGTGAGTGTGATTATATGTAAGTGTCTTTTCAAAGAATGTGAGTCTATGTCTATATAGTGAAATTGAAGAATTGAAGAGAGATGAAATCGACATATAAGATGAGAATGAGATGGAGAGTTGAGTTTGAAGTCCATTCCTTCCAAAATTCAAGCTAAAACAGAGATGAAGATTTATTGCCTGCTACTTGGTGGCGATATAATCTAAGTAGACTTTGTTATTATCCATCCACTAGAGAGCATGGAGTGAAGCATGTGGACTTGGAGCATGTAGACAGTGGTCAGAGTTATAGGTTCCCTGATATGACTTTCCAATCCCAATTTTTTGTTAGTTTGACTGGCCGATGAAGGAAATATAGAAAACTGAGATATTCAACGTTGATAGTTGGATTGGATAGAGAAATGAGCTAGTCGGAATTTAGCTTAGTGGATGGAGGCCACGAACTGCAAGATCTCGTCTCTCTCCCTCCCTCCCTTTCTCGAAACTTCGCCAAAATAACTGTCGGTATAGTCATCTACTGTACCGGAGTACTGGCACCGTACTAGCGAAGGGCTAGGGCAAGCCTTAGCGAAAGGACTTCAATACACATATAGTCTCCATCATGTAGAATAGTAATCAACAAGCTTTTTATTGATATCAACACTGAACACCCGTCGGACTTTCTACCATCGTAGATCTGAAAGGTGTTCCCGTTGATACCAACAATAACAATTCAAATATAATATAACGGCTGCACAATGCTCTTGACTTTCGATTCTCATATAGTTCTAGTTCACTGGCTGAATGTTGTTGCTTCCAATTATCAAGGTCGCTGTCACGATGTTGTTGGCGGTTGCCTAATCGGACGGGCTGAGCTGAGCTGAGCCTGAGCTGAAACGTAACATTACTCTTCATATAATATTAAAATGGAAGGAAAATATTCGGGAGTAAAGGACAAGACCAATTTGAGCATCGAGCAAAATGGTTTCCAGATCGCCTCATAAAACTTGCTCGAATAGATGACGCTGAAAGTAAAACTACTGAAATTATTGCGCGTGTGGTGGTAAGATCCGACCCTGATGATTTTCCTCCTGAAACGAAAGGGACAATAGACTCTACCTTTCGCTCTCTCAATCCTGGGGTCCATCACCGAGCCCTTCTGCTCCACTAGGCGGTCGTTCCGGAACGGTACTCACTGAGTCAAATCTTCCCCCCTGGAGAGTTGACTTGCCGCTTGATGACCTTCCACTTACTTTCCGACATGCAGTCACCGTTTGTGCATCATTAGGTTTCCAATACATCTGGATCGATAGCCTCTGTATTCTCCAAGATAGAATTGAGGATTGGAAGGCCCAAAGCGCTGTGATGGGAGATGTGTACAGTAGAAGATTGCATGGTTAAATATTGCGGCTATGTCTACTGCATCTGACTACGATGGGTTGATCAATGGATCTCGAGATCCACGCATTGAATTTGGATTCAGGGTTCCCTTTGTATACATTCTTGGTCTTGACCATAGAACGCAAAATGCCGATGGTCAACAGTGCGTGTTACTTCAGGGTAAAGCAAAAACTCTTTGGAACTTCTGCGGTGATATACCAGGCAGTACTGCACGGCGGACCCTCGCTTTTGCCAAGAGCAGCGTGTACTGGGCCTGCGACGAAGACACTCATGGAGAACAGCCCGAATGGGGAGGAATCTAAGGATTAGGTCTACGAAGAAAATTACATTCGTTACGAGAAACCACTGCATCTAAACAAAGTTCTACCAGCCCATCGTGGACTACTGAACAATCATGTGTTATACTCAAAACTTTGAGCAGCGATGGCAATCCACTTTAACATCGTACACACTTTGCGACTTAACAAAACACACCGACAAACTCATTGCCGACTCATCTATTGCTGGGGAGCTGGCCAACACAATGCCGAAGAGATATCTTACGGGACTATGGGATGTTAATATACAATATCAAATGACTTGGATAACTGTAAAGGGGCGTACCACCCTACCAAGAAATCGAGTCGGGGATGCTGAGTACATAGCCCCAAGCTGGAGCTGGGCCAGCATTGAAGCCCTCGTACAGAAATATTTCATTTTTCCATCCGGCAACAGATTTATTGCACTAGCGATGTGCCGTAGATATCGCAATCGAATTAGACTATTCTTATAGTTTTGTCAAAGCTGGATGGTCGAGAGTGCGTGGAAGTTTAAATCGCGTCAAGGCGACTAAGACAACGGCACCGAGTTGGAATCCTTGGGAGAAGAGCACGAGTCTTACGGATGAAGTGACGGGGCTAGATTTGATTAAATCGAGGAAGGGCATTGAACAGTTGGTATGGGTACCAATGTTAGTCTCATTCGATAACAGTGTGTCATGTCAATGTCTCTACTTGACAGAGGTAAAAGCTCCAGATCAATCCGGAGATGATGGCAAGTTTGTAAAACCGGGCGAGAAGATATATAGGAGAGTTGGAAGTGGAACTTTCGGTCGGATCACAAATATGTTACGGCAAGACAAGTTACTTTTGGAATTAGGCACCTATCCTAAAATTCCAGTAGAAGCTGAGCAACTTGACGCGCAGGTAATGGCAAATGGGTTCCAAAGAAATGAGAATGGCTTTCAGGAGTTTGTTTTCATTTGAAATAAACCAAAGCCAAGCTGGAAAGAGGAATCCAAACCATTTATCAATTAGTATGACCACTGGGACACTTTGATATCAATGATGATTTTGTTGGCATATAGCCACGGTCTGGCAATAGAACAACTTGAATTTGTATACGAGTAAGTGCTCTATGATAACTTTATCCCTTTTCTTCGCATCTGATCAAAAATACAACAAGCCATCTATATTCTTGATCTACTTGTATATTCTTGTGCTTCGATAACATCCAAAAGCTCAGAATTTGTAGAAGATCGAATATCGCTCTATGAGAAGAGAGGAGTACACTTTGAATTTATATCCCTTTTATACAACAACAAATGAATAAGTTTCCTCTTGTGATACTTCATAAAGAAACCAAAGAATCAACTTTCATTTCAATCAACAGGTTGATATTCGATATTGTATTGATGTTGATATGATAACCCCCATTTCTTTTTCTGCCCAAGGCGGTAGGTAACACACTTACGAATACGCTCATACCCCCATCAATGAATACCCATGCTCATACATACTACTCATACATCATCAACCGCTTAAATCCACGGATATACACTCATATATAAACTTCATCCTTTCCCTTCAAACTCATGAATAGGAATTAGATTATATCATATCAATAAACACTTGTCTTCTTGGAATCTCCTCACTACTTAGGACATCCCGACCCAAATTTGTCCGAAAATGGAAAATGATACCTTTCCCGCTGGTGAGTCATGATTTCAATGCCAATCCCAAACTCAATATTTCCTTACAGTATATTATGATGTTGTATGTACGAGTATTACCAAAAGATAAATGAAAAACTTGAAGAATACTCGAGTACATAAACCATATATCTCGAAAAAGTCAAGGAAAGAAAAGAACCATCTACACAAACATAAACACTGAATAACCCATCAACTAATCAAATCCCAGGTCTTCTGGGTACATCCTACTCCGCTCGCCATGAATACGGTCTCTACCGTTCCTGCGCCGTAACCTCATACTACACCTTCACCCCCATCCAGCCGACCCAGCCCATCAATCCCATCCAAGAATTGACACCACGCCTCTCACGTGCATTAACCCAAACCATCGAAAAACACCCCTCACTCTGCTACGGCCTCCTACCCGCCTCCAAACCCCGCGCTCTCCCTGCGCGCTTCAAGAGACTTTCCCAGATCTGCTGGGAGGACATCGTATCTATATCCTCTTCTTCTGAGACAACATTTTCCCACACACAGGAACCAGCTCAAGCTCAAGCTCAAGCTCAAGCTCAACTTTCAACACTAGAAACGCGCATTAGCGAGGAAGTAGCATCTGCTCACGAGCAGCTATTCCAAGATCAAGAAACTACACCTGCGTGGAAACTTCGGGTGTTGATTTATGGCATGGGACAGGGAGACGCTACATATAGAGTCTACATAGTATTTCTCGCGAACCATGCGATAGCCGACGGACTAAGCTGTGCCGCGTTCCAGCGCACGTTGCACGAGCAATTATGTCTAGCTGCTACGACAGAAACACTCGAGACGAGCGCGAGTGCCAGTGCGTGGCCATATGTGGTGCCGGCAACGGTAGGGAAACCCATAGCTATTGAGGACGCGATGGACATAAGTCCGCCGGGATTCGAAACATTCGATATAGATATACACCCTCCTTCTCCTTCAGAGCATGAGAAGGAAACGCTAATATGGACGGGCAACTTCCCGTGCATGCCCACCATCGAATCCTATACATCTCTCATGCTTCTGATCACCGTTCCCGCCGAGCGCGTCGCACGCATTTTGGAAATCAGTCGCCGGTTGAAAATAACCGTCACGGGCTATCTGCATGGTTTAATCATCAGCTATCTGGCGCGCACAACTGTTACTGATGACCAATTTGGGTTGAAAGCCGGTACGCCCTACTCGCTGCGAAAATATAGCCAATTACCGCTGGGTGATATGGCAAACCATGTTTCGTCTATCACCAGCGAGTGGGATGCCGAATTATTGCAGCGTATGCGTCGTACCAAGGAAGAATCGCTCGAGGAAGAAGAACTGATTACCGAGATTGGGAGGAAAGTATCCCAGCAGATATCTAGCGAGCTGAAGAAGATAGAAGAAGGGGGAGGAGTGCCACTCCATAGGAAAGTGAAAAGTATAGTTGACTTGGACACTTATTGTCGCGAGGGACTGTTGGCTGCAAGATCGGAAACGTATGAATTGTCGAATTTGGGAGTTATTAGGATGAATAAGGTTCCGGAAAAAGAAGAAAAATCGTTGATACTTGATGGACTGATCTTTTCACAGTGTGGAATGGTGCTGGGTCCGCCTATTGGTTACACGGCTGTAAATCTGGAGGGGGGACCTTTAGTCGTTAGTTTGACGTGGCAGAAAGGCGGGGTGGAGGATGATGTTATGGGAGGGTTGCAGTTGTTTTTGAAGGATAGATTGGGTGTGTAGTTTGAGTCTGTGATGGCGGGCGTGGCTCCTATGTTCAATTACTTAGATCTGGAGGAAAAGTGGTGCTGGAATGGAATGGGGGACTGATGATAATATTATCGACCGATTTGAACAGGAATCAATTGCAAATGAACAAGAGACTTTCAAGATGATTAAAAAAGACTTCCTCTTCTTTCAGTGGGAAATTCCCATATGAATATATTTTGAAAATGTTTGGAAAGTTTAAATGGGAAATAATATACTTGCAAGCTCATGCATGTACCAATATCAACCACCACATTTTCCCTTCCCAACACAGAGCACGTAGTTAAGGAGCAGCATTGGGGTTCACACAGAAAGAGAGATAGAAACATAAACATAAATAGAGAAAGAAAAAGAGAAACTTACACAGAATTTATATATAAAGCGTTACTATAGCAAATTTACTTTTCAATCAATCGTAAAGCCAAAGCCTCACTATCCAGAAGCTGCACGCCCTTCCAAACCGTTTAACCTAATCAACTAAGTAATCATCTAATCCCCATTTGCCGAGTCGTAAACCAGACTCGTACATATATATATATACCGATACGCAGCTAGCTCTACCCAGCACTGATAATGATAATAATAAATCCATGATCAAATTTGATTCTCACACTAGGTAGCTAGATGCTATATGGAATATGCGATGAGGTGAGGCCACGGGGATATTCTGAATTTATGTAGGTCATGTAGGTCAAAAAGGAGGGATATTTGTGATAAATATAGAAACGAAAACCGTTTCTTTTCTATACCCTTTTTTGCTCAAAGGATAACAACTAATAAAATTCCCATAACATATACGAGTAAAAAGATCCCTTCTTCTCTGACCCTACGAGATCCTTTTGAGAAAGTCGCTGGTTGTTGCTTTGCTGTCTTCTCATATGTTGTTCTTCTCTGTTCGTTGGCCTGCGGCAATTCTTCTATATTTCTTTTTGGAATTCTGAATCATTTCAGAGTTTCTCTGTAAATATGTTGTCACTGTCAATTCCAGTTCATTGAATTCTTCCCTGAATTTCTCCAGTGTGATCTCAGAGACTCCCTCCAACCCTACATATATTTTAGGTCTTCCTTTTGAAACTACTTCTATTTCGGTATCTCTATCTCTTCGTATATAAACCTATCGTATCCTCTAACCTCCCATCTGTCCTATCGGTGCGGCCCGATAGCGGGGAGGGTTGGCAAATCCCTCGCGCTATGGATGTCATGTTACCTAGCACTAGTGATGTGTAAAACAGAACGTTGATTCCTGATCCTGCCTGATGCTCATGATGATATAGACGAAGAAGCAAAGGGACAGAAGGAAAGATACAACAGCGCATGCAACTACTTCTTCTTGACTCCAGGGAGAAATTTGCTTGCTTGACAGAGCAAGAAATTACTGCTCAACTATGTGACTGGTCTGAGGTATCTCAGTCGCCCAATGTTGCCATACCGAGGTTGATCATGTAAAGCACAGCGTTCGATACTATGTATATCCTTTCCTTTTTATAAACAATTGTGGGCCAATGTCATTAAATAATTGAGTCGTTGAGATGGTACTCCGTCTATCTTCTCCGTACATCGCAGCAGTAGTACCAATATAGGGCTCATGCCAAGGATATAGCAGAACGATCTTCGATGTGACCGATGAGATTGGCAATCCTGAATGTAGCCAACTCTTTTCTCCATTCGGATCTATCCGTAAAAGAGACTGTAGCTTCAGTACGTAAAACATTTAGACCTCGCATCAAGACTCCTTGTGCCCATTCTCGTTTGTTTCTTCCTTATCGCCACTGGCCCCATCCTTAGCCTTTGTTTGCGCCTCCGACTCTTGTGCTTCGAATCTCTCTAAGATATCATCAATCTTCTTTTCGAGGTTTGTAAGGTTGGATTCGAGCATCTGTGCTGTCTTTTCGCCTCCTGTAAAACTGGGTTGTCAGGGATGCTTGATCGAGACGGCAGTGTATGAGTAAAGTGACGCAAGTCTGATAGTTGCCCAGGATCGCGTGGCAAAGACACAAACAGAAGTCAAGACTAGAAGCTAAAAAACAGTTGTTGAAAACGCACGTAGAAGTTCTTTATAGGCCTAGAATTTTAGGGCTCGTTAGACAGGGGTCTTAAATGCAACTGGCTGGGCTGGGGTAAAGATGGGATTCTCTCTTCGACATGCATTTTCGCATTGGGAACATGGAGATAACCATTTGGGAAAGGATGGGGAAGTCTAAACGCACATAATGAATCATGAGAGAATCTGCGAACTAGCAGAGGCGTCTACAACGTCTATACCAGACGCGAAGCTCAAGAGGACATTGATACTTGATGATTGATCAAAGGAGTGTCGAAATATTGACATACCTGAGCTAGATCTGCATCTGGAGCGACATCACCATTTTTATTGGAATTATCCATCTTGATATCGCTTGGTGGCGAAATTATTTGAGAGTTGATTGAAAGAATGATTTGGATACTTAGGGGGTGCTTGAGAGAGAGTTTCGGAAGCGCGATGCGTTATCGATAAGTTGTGGTTGGAAAGCTTGGACGCTTCCCCAACTAAATGTAGTACTTGTAGTACCGATGGAAAATGCCTTCATATTCTGGAGGTAGGGTAGGCACGTGGTTGTGGTGGGTTAAGGCTAAAGTTGTCTAATCCATTTATTATCATTATTATCATCATCATCACCCATCCTAATCTACGGTAACTCTACATTGTCTCTGTACAACTTACTATTATAGTACTACTAGCGGCCTAGCCTGAGGTGAAAGTCAAAGAGGTTGAAAGGTTCAATATCAAGATTTTCAGAAATCGGATCACCGATTCTATAGGGAAAGCTCCCGACTCCGATACATCCGATACATCCGATATAAATGCTTTGTCGGGTGACTCAACATTTGATTGGCTACACGGCATTTCAAAGTATATCTAAGAGTAAGCATGGATAGGGATATGGGATATCTGGAACAAACAGATCATACGAAAGATGGTATTTTATGAAGCAAGTGTTCAATGGGCTCGGTCGACCCGTCATACTGGGAACTTGTACGATCTGAAACTTTCTTATACTCGAGTGTAGGTGTTTATCAAGTCTATGAGTAATGGATAGAAAGGTTAATAAAGAAGGAGGTTGAAAACGATGTGGCTGCTTTGAAAGGTTTAACTAGTCGATAGCGTGAAGTTGAAGGAGAGTCTAATAAAGTCATTAGTCAAGTAATTAGTCTAAAGAGCTAAGAAGAAAAGGAAGGATGAAGCCGGTATGGCTCGAGGGTTCGAGGGTTCGAGGGTTCGAGAAGGACCTTGGAAGAAAGAAGAAGATCAATCATCGGATCAAATGAGATAAACCGATCAGGTAAAGTAAATCATATAACAAGAAATTACTAGTTTATATATGATTCGTCTAGTCGTCTAACTCTGTACTGTGGCAGTCAACACGAATGGTTGGATTATTAGTCTGGATTAATATTAGTCAGCTGCTCTTTTCATCCGCAAATTCTTTCTTTCAGCCCAGGTATTGATATTATTATACCCGTCTGTCTTCTTGATCTTCAAATTTATTCAATTATAGTCTATTCTATGTTCTATGTATAGAGAAGAGGAAAAAGAGACATTTCAATCATCATTATTTCCTTACTTGACTACTGTACTTTGTTTGTTTGCCAACTTCTTCTTCCTCAACTCTTTTGTTTTATAACCTTTCGACCCTTCTTGAGTGATTATTGTTTGCTACTTCATCTTCCCCCTTCTCCCCCCCTTCATTGTTCATCATTTGTTTATACAACCATCCATTGGCACCATTTGATTCATACCATACTCACAGTACTCTGTACTCCATACTCAATATCCAAATATCCAATATCCAATATCCCAACATTCATCGTCCATACCCAATACCCAACATCCAACATCTAACACCCAATACCCATTCTTTCTTCGAATTGGCATCCATTGGCATACACATGAATCGCATCTTTCCCGCTTCTTCTTTACACGCATTATGAACATTTCGCCGATATCTTTCTCTTCCTAATCCACCCCTAGGAGTAAACTTCTTTCAAAATCATCAATAAAGATTCACGACCCACATACACCACTGAACTACACGACACTACACTGACACTATTCTCTATGCAGGTATACTTCCACACTTCTAAACATCTGCTGCCCTAGGGTTGCCCCTCCATCAGTCACGTCTACCGTATACTGTCACAGTGCCACGGCAGATCATCTCATGGGCAACCGGGAATATTCTTGAGCAAAAATGAGAATACTGTACTATGTTTTAGGCTCCACATGAACTTCTGGCTAACGTTAATGTGAAGTAACGTCTTACAGCAAGAAATTCTTCAGCTATTTTGATTTTTAGACGCATTATTTCTGGGTGTCACCTTCGATCTTATATCCGATCTCGCTTTAAGCAAGCTTTGACGACGCAAATGTATTCAGTGAAGGAACACAATTAAAAACATCGCCTCGACAGAGTCCACAGTTTTCGAGTCGCCCTCTCATTCGCCTTCGAATCTCAATCATCGACCTTTATTATAACAATAGAATCTTCATAACACAGAAGAGCAAGTCGATAAACCTTTGTGGTCAAATTTTCATTCAAACTTCATTCCTCTAACAAAATTATTTTCTCCAACCACCTCATGAAGGAACCGGATATTGGTACTATCAAGGGATATTACATCTCAACAGCCTCCCAAGAGAAATATTTACAGCGGAAATTTGGTAGTAACAATACCTTCGAAGGCCCACGACTTGAAACCCGAAAATACCCTTCAACAAAAAGGTGGAGCAAGAATTTATCGTAAGAAGCTGGAAACATTTACTAACATTTCTGGACGCGAAGATCCAGAGGCAGCCTGCTGTATGACTGACTTGTCAGAAATTTTTGCGGAGTTGGGCATCTCTCATTACCTCCGCAACTTCCTCGATCAAGGGTTTGATACCTGGGACACGATACTTGATATAACGGAATCGGATTTCGATGCTCTTGGTGTGAAACTCGGTCATCGTCGGAAACTTCAGAGAAAGATTGCCAATTCGCGGGGTCTGTCGTCAGATAGAGCTCTTGCATCTCCTACTAGCACAACGCCAGGCGAATTTCATGGAGATGAACCGAAAGTAGGGGGGGCCAGAGACGCTAAGGAGGGAGGTGGTGGGCCACATGGAGCGAAGAGAAAGTACAGAAGGCATCCTAAAACAGACGAGAATGCACCAGAGCGACCTCCATCCGCATATGTTATATTCTCAAATAAAATGCGCGAAGATCTTAAAGGGCGTAATTTATCGTTCACGGAAATAGCCAAATTGGTAGGCGAGAATTGGCAAAATTTATCGCCAGGCGAGAAGGAGCCATATGAGCACTCGGCATATACGGCCAAAGAGCGTTATAACAATGAGTTGGCAGAATACAAGAAGACGCAAAGTTTCAAAGACTATTCACAATACCTCACCGGTTTCAAACAAAAACAAAACCAGCAATTGGCGACTGAGATGGATGTTGCGAAAAGACCTAAACTCGAAGCACATTTGAGCACTGCGAGCAGTGGTAGCAGTCAGAGCGGCGCAGAATTATCTTTGAGTCGCATGCGTGTAGATTCCTCTGCATCATCGACTTCTCAGTGGCATGGATCAACCTCACCCTCATCTATTATTAGGACGCCCATGTCGACTTTACCAGCCCTGACAAATGTTTCGAACGTTCCAGGACTCCAAGGAAGGCTAGGTCCAGGGTCACCAATTGATACGCCAAAGGTCCTTCCCGGTTATCGTGAGTCTATGCTGGGGCCTGGAGCGCAGTACTTTCGAGAAGATCATCGAGACGAAGGTGGGATCGTACAACAAATGTCCCGCGCAACCAGTAGCGAAGGGCGCGTCAGTCAATCGAGTCTCGCCATTGCCTCCACTCAAGACCACTTGAATCTAAACGATTCAACACAACATCGCCGCACTACCCAAAGTAACTTCAATCCGCCACCGTCACTGACTCCAGAATCGATGATACAGTCCAACGGCTCTGCGACCAGTAATTCCTCCATGTACTTTGCACCTCGGACACCTTTAGAACCAGATTTAAATCGAGCTCTTCCCATCCCGCCTTTATATTGTCAGAAGTCCGCAAGCTACGACGGCCAATTACCATTCTTATCGGGTCCTTCATCCTCATCGCCTCAAAACTCTCTACCTGGTACTCAACAATCATCGAATGGTTCGTGGCAATCTATTCTGTCTCGCTCGAATTTTATATGTTCATTCAATAGTGACTAGTAGCTAATCAAATTCAATAGTCAATTCAATCAATGATTTCTCCACAACAATGCCGCCTATGCGAAGATATAGTGAAGCGCCCCAGAGTATTTCGACCACTATTGGCACTGTCATGGGCAGGTCCGACATAGAGAGATTCGAGATACGCTCAACAGATGCGTCGCATCCCCAACCGATGAACAATTATATTTCGATGGCGGAAGAATTCGATCTTGATCCCATCAACGCATTGTTGAGAGCAGGAGAAATTGTGAGTCGTACCAGCCGTGAGGGGCGATCTTGACTCTTGATCGATCTTCAAAATTCGCGAGTGGTTTGGAAGGTGTGGCACGCAGATGGAAGAATAAAAAACGACACGTTTGCATGAAATCTTTTCGGGAGGTCTTTTTTGGCGTACGGAATTTTGGGTTTGGATGGAGCCTGGAGTCCTTGGGACATTGAGCATGATTATGATTCCCTGCAAGGTTTGCATGACATACTTGTCCCTGTTACTAGACATGAGACTGCATTGCATGATTTCACAGATAAAGTTGGATTGATGAGCGGATATGGATGGATATCTGAAAGTATCTTTCATATCATTAACGAGGTGATGATTGTTTGTTTTCTTACTATTTGGCTGTAGGCGAGAATATTGACTGTCTAGGTACTGTTGTACATAGGACATTGAAGCGATATATTGGGAAACGGAGGATTCTTCAGATTCTTCACAATTTGAAGCAAAGGATCTTTCTCTGACTCAAGGAAAACGGAGGATCCTTCTTCTGCAATAGGTATAGTATTCATAGATATATGTGGAAACTATTCACAGTCGTTGATATAATATATCATCGTTCAAGCCATTTTTCGGGGGGGGGGAGGGGCAATTGTGATGTGACTATTTTCGCATTTTACACTTTATACTTTATACTTTATACTTCGTCAATGGATGAAGGGATGAATGAATGAACGAATGATGTGGGATTAATGACAGGATGTAATGATGATCGCGCCAGTATCATTGATAGCTACCTAGGTAGCTATTACTGCTGCTGATTGTTAATACATTTTTACAATACAGATACAGTACAACACAACTTGTGCGGTGAAGAGGACCCTGCAGTGCGGGATTGGCTTTAGCTTTAGCTTTAGCATTGAGATTGGGATTGTAATTGGATTTTCCAGACTCGGAGAATGAATGAATGATGGATGGATGGATAGAGGGTGTTATGTTAGTTTAACTAGCTTTATCTTTGGATTTTGGGGGATGGTGTGGCATGTTATGGTATGGTATGGTATGGGATGGTGTAGTGTGGTGTGGTGTGCTTTGGTATAGTAATAGTCGGTCGGTCGGCTCTTCATGGAGCGGCCGTCTGTCTGGTGATAATATATGATAATATATGATATGGTGTGGTTTAGGTGTAGGTGTAGGAGGTGTAGGAGGTGTAGGTGTAGACAGATGGATGGTTGTACTCAAGTACTGTGGGTGGTTATATAGATGGATGTACTGTACTGAGTATTATAATGTCTAGTGTATACGACGGAGATTGCATATATATATATTCAAATGGAATATATAGTATATAGCAAATAGCATATCGCAATCACTCTCACTAAACTGTCTGTACTCGTAGATATCAAAAAATACAACCGCGAACTTGGAACTCGGAACTTGGAACTCACAGGGATGAGTGTAGAACTAGAGTAAACTAGTACAAGCACTACAAGTACAAACAAGTACATTCGACTATTTATTCTTACCAGATGGAATCCGTACGCTGTTAAAAGCACTTGCCATGTATTTATTCCGCATGGTAAGAAGCGAGGAGGCTACGGTCAGGATTTCTCGAAGTGGAAAGTGGTGACTTGGGCAGTAAACGACACAATAATGCAAATCTATTCAATCGAAAAAAAAGATCTCCAAGAAGTGAAGCAAGCTTGTTATGCTTCGAAAGAAGTGGATAGATCTGTTTATCTCCTCAGATATTCTCCATTTGAAACAGTGTTCCATCATCTGATTGTCCTTTCCCATTCACCCCCACACTTAGCTCTTTCCCCTCAACTTGCTGTGCCCACCTCTCCGGCATAATAGTTTTGAAATCGAATGTGCCATTCGCACTTCTAACAACCTCTCCCTTCTCCGTAATGACCGCATCAATATACATACTCGGCGTAACGTCAAAACTCGGATTCCAAACATTGATTCCCTGATGTGCAATTGCTACTCTGGCCGTAGTATTTACGTCTACATGCCCATCTTTCCCTACTACCGCTCCGGTGATCTGAGTAAGTTCATGAGGAGGACGATCTTCGATTTTTATGTCTGATCCTGAAGCTGTCTCGAGATCTATACTTGTTGTAGGTGCTGCAACAATGAATTTGATGTTATGAGCTTTTGCAAGGACAGCAAGAGAATAGGTTCCGATTTTGTTGGCAGTGTCACCATTACGAGCAACGCGGTCTGCGCCTACGATGACGGCGGAGATGTTGCGGCTCTCCTTCATCCGGGCGAAAAGAGCGCCGGCCATAGAATCGGTTATGAGTGTTGAGGGAATCTTTTCATAGACTAGCTCAAATGCAGTAAGACGAGAGCCTTGATTGTAGGGGCGAGTTTCGGTACAATAGGCGTGGTCGAGGTAGTTCATTTTGTGCAAGCTGCGAATTATCCCCAAGGCAGTACCGTGGCCGGAAGTAGCAAGGGAGCTGAAAGGCTGTTAATATCTGTAGTTCAAAGATGTAAAAAGGCGGAAAGGTTGAATGTACCCAGTGTTGCAGTGCGTGAGAACGCTCAACTTTCTATATGTCTGATCCGGTGCTCCTTGCGTGCAAGGTGGACTCGTAGTGAAATATTTTGAATAATCCTCATCATTTTCCGTCCATCCAATCGGCATCTGTTGTCGTCTTAGATATTCCGCTCCATATCTACCAATTGCCAAGTTGTTGGTAAGATCATCTTCTAAGATCTTCTCTGCCGCATCAATGTAACCTTTTCGAACATCCGCACAAGCAGCACTGCCATCCTTTGCATAGGTAGTCTCCGCCGCAGATTGAGAGACTCGTTTGAGAAGTTTAATGGCATTTGAGAGATCGACGGCGGTTGGTCTACTACCTAGGAGATAATCAAGACGTTTGTTAATATATTGAATAGTTTCTTGCTTCGTCTTAGAATCTGACGTGAATTACATTAGCCACCTATCACATGCCATTTTGAGTTAATCCTCTAGAACTACCAACCGTCTTTCTTATGATGAAGCTCTACGGCCAGCGCAAGAGCTGCCACAATCGCGATTGCCGGGGCCCCTGATAAACACTTAGCCATTAAAGCTCATCATGAATCCCGACTAACAACGAAGCAGTAGATACCTCTCACACGCATCGACTTGATGGAATCAAATGCCTCTTCACAAGTAGAGACATTATCATACACAAATTCATGCGGAAGTCTCAACTGATCTAAGACCTCCAGTCTTCCTCTGCCATATTTGATGGCTTCTAGACCAGCCATATTTCGAATCGTCTGCGCTTTTTGTACTTCGGTGTGAGATGTGGATGTGGAATTTAAACTGGAACTAGAGTTTGTGAAGACAGATGATTTGTTTATATGTAAGAGAGAAACTAGTTGCAAGAGACAGATCAATTCATCCGCATTGTGAATGAAAATTATAAATTGATAGGTAAATGGTTAATATAAAAGTTCATGAAAAGACCCCGCCCCCGCCATGCCAAAAAGGCGGTGAAGATTAGCAGATTGTCTAAACGTCTTATTATTATAATATAGTGCGCTAAACTTACTGTAACGGGCCGGTGTCCCTAGAGAATTAAACTTTATAACACAATTCTCAGTTTGGTATTTTAGGTCTACTCAAACTCAAGATGAAGTCCTCTATTTTATATGAGCTCCCTTACTATCTGAAGTCCTGTTATTTGAACATCCGGAGATAGTGAGCACTATTGATCCCTCAACTATGCGGTAATTTATCTGCATGGTAAAACGCTCTGATTGGGAAGTCCCTTTTTGAACAACCGGTTGGCTAGTCTAACTTAGATAAGATTGGCATTACCGCATAGACCTTCCTGATTGGTGCAGTATGTTTAAACGAATTGATCAATACTTGTACATTTAGAAACATACAGTTCGTGACGAAATTCGTTATAAAATGTTTGAATCTTACTGCACGTCTTGCACCACACTTTACAGCATAGAGTTCTGGCACCCAAGACTACTCAAGATTCTTTTCCTCTCTCGGATTTTTCAAATTCAAATTCTACAACATAATCACAGAACGAAGGAAATCATGTCATTCATTGTTCTCCAATTTCGTAGTCCTTACATACCACTTGCAGTAAGACAAGATGCTCTTGATCGGGTATTTGCAGATCCTGGAATTCCAGATGCAGTCCATACCACCCAGTCATTTTGGATGAAAGAGCCACATCCCGATATTGCAAGTGTACAGTCAAAACACCTACCAGAGTTCGCGGATCACCTCATCATTGGCTCTGGAATCACAGGAGTCTCAGTCGCACAAGCTTTATTAGAAGGTCTGGAAAAGACCAGTCCGTCAGAAATCCACTCTTCGCCTCATCCGAAGGTTGTCATGCTCGAAGCTCGTGATAGCTGTAGCGGTGCCACGGGAAGAAACGGTGGGCACATTTTGGAGACTGGCGAGGAATATGTCATGCTTAAAGAGCGTCTGGGTAAAGATGCAGCTATCAAGGTTCATAAACTGCGCATTTCGCATCTTGAGACATTGATTGAAAGTGCCGAAAATCTAGGCTTGACGGAAGAGGCACAGGTTCGCAAAGTACAGTTTTTGAGTGTTTACTTTCACAAGGACAATTGGGGAAATATGCGGAAGGATGTGGAGACTTTCATGACCGATATGCCGGATGATTCCAAAAGGTGGCGTTTCATTGAAGGCGATGAATTGGCGAAGGTGAATTAGTTTAATTTAGTTTGAAACCGTAAGTAATTCTCAAGAAGATTCTCTTACTAACTGATCTGAAGGAATTCGGTATAGCTAATGCTGTTGGGGCATTGACTGGTACTGCAGGTGCCATGTGGCCCTACAAGTTTGTCACTGGCCTTCTAGCACATCTACGGAAACAATTCACATCTGACTTCCTCCTTGAAACAAACACAGCAGTTTCAGAGATCCGTCGAGGCCAAGATTATTTTGAAGTCATCACACCTCGAGGGATAGTCAAGTCCAAACATGTTATCCACTGCACCAATGCTCATATCGGTCACCTTGTTCCTGGCATAAAGGGATATATTTTTCCAATTGCAGGCCAGATGTCTGCACAAGCACCAGGAGACAAGTTCAAACATCAGAGTGATCACTCCTGGATCTTCAACTACGATCGCGGATTCGACTATCTGACTCAACTTCCAATTGGCTCGTCATCCGATGGTGAAATGATGATGGGAGGTGGCTATGCTCAAACCCAGAGTGGTGGAATTCATGAGACGGGTATTAGTACAGATTCAGAACTAAACATGTATGCCAACATCCACCTACGAGGAGTCCTAGGGGCGATTTTTGGACCGGACAATTGGGGCGTGGTAAATGGACCAGCTGTGAAGTCCATGTGGACCGGTAATATGGGATTCAGCAGCGATGGTTTACCATGGGTTGGCAAACTCCCCGATATCTTGACTGAAAGAAAAACAATAAGGACACAAACGATGCAAGGCTCTGAATGGGCCGCAGCAGCTTTCTCGGGCGAGGGTATGGTTCATGCTTGGTTATCCGGGAAGGCATTGGCGGAAATGATCCTTTCTGATAAACATACGGAGGAGGGTGACGTTACTATTCCTGAGTGGTTTCCAGAGCCAATGCTTATATCTGAGAAGCGTTTGGCACATGCTAGATTAGCAAGATATGCAGAGTTGGAACGCGATATTATGTTAGCAACGCTGTGATAGATTATAGATGCATATATCAATATGATCGATTTTACATTAAACCAATTAAAAACTCCCCAATTCCGAGTTTCTCAATTTTTGCACATTACATCATATTTAAATACAGTACTACTAGTACAACACATGTACGAAAAGGAAACAAAGGCGTGTATTTTATAAGAATATAAGGATAGGATGCAAGAGGTTCTCGTGGAGAAGAAATATATTATAACTCGAATAGACTACGACTAGAACAAGAACTAGAACTACTAGGTCTAAATAATCTAATCTCATCTTCGCTAACCCCCTTTCTTCATTCTTTCCTGTCTTTCTTTGTACTCGAGTAGATATGGACGGACATGAGGCGGATTTCGAAGAAACTCTATGAGTACCTTTATTTTACGGGATGCGATTTTTAGAGGGGGTTTATATTCAAATCGGAAAGAAATTTGATTAGATTAGATTAGATTAGATGAACATTTACTCGAGTACAAGAAGATTATTATGAGTACGAGTATTGTAATTACATGTATGTTAGCTCAAGAAACTTGGAAGAGTAATTAATAATACGATAAGAATTTATATATACCGTGCTCGAGTATTGAGTATATCTAGACTATATATGTTGGTATCACCTCGGTAGTGATATCGACATTGAATGGTGGTTCATAAAAGTAGTTGTGATTGTTGACTGAGGTTAGTCTCATTCGAAGACAGGTTCTCCTTATATACAATTCGTTGAACACAATCTGTTAGCTCTAAGAAACGAGACTAAGGAAAGGAACCATGAATAACTTGTAGGCATTTCCTGTCTCGAAATATTAGTGCAAGCATACATCATCCTGCATCAGAGTTTGAATATTGTACGAAAATAGCCGACTGGCTGTACCTTTCTTTGGACAGAAAGAAATAAGCTTTATCAGGAAGAACTCCCATCAATTTGGATTTAAAGAATGTATCAAAAACCTGCGATTGTCAATCTTTACCGTGCCCCTTTATCTATCAGCGCCAATTTGAAAAGACAGTTCCAACTCCTCCCATTATCCCAATCCCCCATTCCCCATTCCCCCAATGTCCCAGCCCATGGAATATGCGTCTATCCCAAACCCCGTAAACATAAAAAATCAACCTCTCAATATTTATGACTTATACAACGAGTACAAGTCACTGGACCAATCATGCATCAATACTCGAGCTTTTTCCCTTATCTTCGGGAGAAAGGGATGTGTCAGATGGGACCGCTGGTTTCGCTCCCCATGCCCAGGGCAACCAGTTCCCACTAGATGTCTTGTCCGCAACTCTTCTTTTATTTCCAACCTCCTCGGTTCCGCTGTCTGCATCAATCTTTTCAAAATCAGGCTCACTCTTTCTTGAAGTCATTCCACTCATAGAGCTTTTTGGTCGATCAAGGTTGTCATCTTCGCTGCTAGTACCATCGAATGACATGCTAGAGATGTTTCTCGGGACACGCTTTTCATTTTGTAATGCTTGCGCTTCTTTATCCAACACTGAAAGAAGTATTGAAAGACGTTCACGTTGTGCTTGGATGAAGGTTATACGTTCGCTCCCAGATACATTATTAGGTATCAACATTCCACTATTCGATAATTCTCGACCTTCAGATACACCCGTGGTAGCGTTGGATGAAGTAGCAGCGGATACAGCTGAGGCAAGAAGAGAGTAAAAGTCGGTTGCAGTGCTAGTAGCACCCCCAATAGAATTTGGTGAGAACGAGGGTCTAGCAGATGGTAGATTGAAGCGTGCCATGAGGCTTTGTGTATAGGTATAGGTTGAAGGTGTTGACGGTGGCGTTGGTTCTCTAGGTGGAAGACCAAAGATCTGTTGTCTGATCAACTCGATAGCTTGTTTGAGATATGTGACACCTGCCGCCTTCGCGCGTTCATGAGCGGAGGCTATGAAATCGTCAATAGCGAGCTCATTATTGTGAAGCCATGGATGAACATATGTTTGATAAAGGACTCTTGCGCCTTGACTTTGGGGAAGGATGAGGTAGAGGAGGAAACCGAGCCGAAACCAGGAATAAAAGGGTATCCTAATTAGTAACTATTGTCAGATGGAATTTTCGTATATGTAGTTCGAGAGAAAGAGACGTCTGCGAACCAAACTAGTATGAATCCAACCCAAGATTCAGCGAACAAAGCGATCGCAAGAACCACCCAATACATAAGCCATGGTGTTAGTAATGCCGGATCAGAGGTCTTGAGAGCTTTGTAGGATGCGAAAACGGGGAATAGGAATGTAGGAATAGAACTGGTGAGTTTATTAGTATATTTCCAATGTGATATGTACTGCTCCAAAAGCGCCATGCAATAATGTCCCCAGAACACACAGTACGTTAAGACATCTCTTTCAAGGAGGGGTATGCTTACGATAAAAGCCTTGCAAATGTATCGAACATGATTACTTTCGTGACTCAAAATGGTTGTGAATTGGAAACTCAAGAATGTTACCCAGGTATAGGTAATACACGATTTTAATATTGATTGTAAAAAGGGTAAAGTGATAGAGTACGAACGGATGGTGAATGTGTAGGTAGGTTGATGAAGGAGGGAGGAGATGGGGATGGATTGATGATGGATGAATGGATGGATCGATGACCTATGATGATGATGGATCTACGAGCCAAGCGCTAGGATTTCTTTGAGGTTAGAAGATTTTAGCGTATTTCTTAATAGCTACGGGGGCATCATATGCCTATATTTGATGGCGCGAGACAGCTGAGACAGCCTGAACAGCCTGAACGACTTAGAAAGCCAGCCTACTGATAATGTTTGAATGTTTGCAAGATGAGTCCGTAAGTGTTAATGTTAAGAGCAAAATCAGCAATTGAAGTAAGTATCATTCATTATCTGGTTATAACTCGAGTATATTTGGTCATATTACAGTTCCAGTAACGGTATGCAGAATTTGTGACAAGTGCAGGGCTATCCCCAGCCTCAGAACCCGAGGTAGTAGTAGTGGGATCCCCCGCCATCTATGATCTCGCCAATGACTAAGAAATTGGCAGATGGTTCATGGGGTAAGAACCTGCAGTTAAACCCGCCCCAGGAAAGCTTTCTGTACGAGTACATACATATACATACATACCTACATACTCGTTACATGTAATTGATGAAATTTTGATGGGCTGATGTTCCTCCAAAGGCATATGGGCTGAGATTCACTCCCAACAGAATCTTGGAGAAGTTCTCATAACTTATAACTTCATCTATAAAGAGGTCGTGCCTTCTGGTAGGTTGAATTTCATTCCTCGACTAAACTTTTGCAGCTGCCAAAAACGTTCAACATTCTTCAACATTCATTCATCAACATCATTTATAACATCTACAACTCTAAACCCATAATAATCGCCAGTATGTGTATTGTCTTAGCAACTACGGCGCATCCTTCCTATGCACTCATCATTCTTGATAATCGAGATGAATTCATTCTTCGACCGACCAGCAAACCGCACTGGTGGTCTTCCCAACATCAAGAAATACTATCAAGTCGAGACCTACAACGCGATGAACAGGGAACATGGTTAGGGATTACGAAAACAGGAAATTTTGCAGTTCTTACCAATTATCGCGAAACAGACACCCACGATAAGGACCATCCTGTACAAGGGACAAGGAGTAGAGGTGGTATGGTTACGGCTTGGTTAACGGCAGAGAACGACGAGAGCACCAAACAATTTGTACACAGACTATTGGATGGCGAGGGAGTAAAAGGTGTCGGCGGGTTCTCGTTGGTATGCGGAAAATTGCGAAAAGAGAGATCCTCTGACGACCAAATGGAGCCTCTGGCAATCATTTCAAATAGAAGTGGAACTCCAGACGAGGTTCCATGGGTGGCTGCCAGAAGAGGGGAGGTTTATGGTTTAAGCAACACTTCGTACGACGACCCAATAACTTGGCCCAAGGTTAAGTCTGGCAAGGAAAAGGTAATGGAGGCTGTACAAGAGGCGATACAAACCGATCTTGGGGAAGAGGATCTGGTCAAGAAATTGTACGCCATTCTAGATATTGATACACTCCCGAAGCAAGATGACAGCCAAGATTTCGAGGAGTATATCTATCAGCTTCGAAAGTCAATCTTCATACCTACAATCGGTCATGCAACTCCACCTTCAGAAATTCCAAATGCAGACGAAATTGCGGCTGCTGTCGGAAAGGCATCAACATCACACGAAGATTTGGGCGTCGAAGTTAAGGGGGAGCAGATCAAAGATAAAGAGGAGCAAAGACCCACACCCGAAAACAATAATGTTATATCTGGCGTTTATGGTACACAAAGGCAGACTATCATCCTCGTAGATTGGGAAGGGCATGTTACGTTTATAGAGCGTTCATTGTTTGACGAGAGAGGCAGCCCGATAGAAAGAGGTCAAGCTGATATGAAGTTTGAGTTCAATATTGAGGGATGGAATGGGGAAAGTAAGGGAAATGAAGTATACCCGCACGCAGTGCTATAGCTTGCTAATAGGATAACAGACGAAAAATTACGTTAATGATTAAGCCAAAATGATGAAACTCAAGTGCTAAGGGCATAATTGGCCAGGGCATAATTGTCAAGTAGAGTTGGTGATGCGATGCCCTCAATATATATATATATATATACAGCAAGCAGTACTCCCTGGCAAAGTTACTAAAAATTATTCAATTAATTTCATTTCATTTCGTTCAACTCTTCCTCGAACTCTTCCTCGATTTCGAATGATAGCTGTGTTTCTCGAATTAATGTAATTTACGAGTTAAGTGAATGATTGAGAGGCTCCTGGGCTCCTTCCTCGTATGGAATATTTGGGTAAATTGCACCATGATGCATTGGTTCCTTCCCATCTCATTTCATCTCAATCAGTCTTCAAATGATAGTCTAAGTTTTGTAATTTCACAGATGAAAGGAATGTTCAATGTTCAATGAATGGCATCAAATTTTTGAAAATTGAGCTTTGCCAATCACAAATGTCTCGGCGTCAGGCAACGACGAGGACATGATAAAATTCTTTCGAGAAAGGAAAAATCTATACACCTAGCAAGGTTCTTGAAAACCTTTCTGTTTTTTCGCACTTTTGTTATCTCCCTTCTGCTTCGATCTTTGATTATTGTTTGCTCAACCAAAACACAGCCATATCTTGGAGTACGGCTGGCTTGCGACTTAATCGACAAGGCTCTCAAGTTTCTTCGATATTTTGAAGCTCGAGGAAATTGGACAAGTGTGGTAAGATCAACATCTCCTTCCAAGTTCCCACAAAGACTTTTGAGTAGATCGATAGATCGATACCAAAGAAGCAGGAATTGGACCAAATTTTAACTTAAAACTTCACAACCATCAATTTGGTCTGAATCCATGTTCGTATTACATATAGATCTAAGACCGCCAAACACTTCTGGTATTGGTCTCTATGCGACTTCGAGATTGTCGACACAATTTCTATCGCGTTATGCACCTTTTGAAATTTGTATGCTAATCGTTTGTATCATTTGTAGGAAGCAAATTAGCAAGCATGGCCAATCCTAATCGTCGAACCCCCATCCTCTCATCGACTCTCTTACCAGAAGTTGATAGTCCTTATACTCCACCAAAACGTTCTACTTACAGATCGGAACGGGCACCAATCATTGGCAAAAGCATAAGACGACCAGTGGAAGGTTTGCCGGTTCCTGTCAAGTTCTCTTTTCGCGAATCTCCAATCTCTCGTGGAATAGCTTCCTCTCCTCGTAATGTTAGCAACTTACCTGGCCCGGTGTCGTCCTCGCGTACCCATGTCAACAATTCACCAGGTCCAGCCTTGTCCTCTCGTACCCGTCTCGTAAATCAACCTGGAGGCCCGGCTTCATCTTCGCGCACCCATATTGGCGATTCACCAGGTCCAGTCTATGCCTCACGTACCCGATTCAACAATGCAAAAGGTGCCCATTCGCCAGATCGTTCTGCCTTTGGTCCACCCTTGCGTTCTCACTGTAAGACAGAAATCACAGCTCCTACCGGACGTGGAATCCTCCCGGGTTCACCAGCTCCAGCTTCGACCTTGCCCGCTCGTATCGATAATACAAAAGGAACGGTTTACCAAACGCGTCATTTTCTGCCTAAGTTAACAGCTCAGGATAAAGAGTTTCTTGAGTCCTTGAACTCCTCTCCTAAGAAATCCGTAGCTCCAGCTTTATCGAGACGTAGCCAGCTTGGCAAATTACCATATTCAGCTTCATCTCCAAATATCAACAAATTAACAACCTCCAATGAAAACATCCCGCCAGTCCCGTTTGCTCCAAAAAATGAATTGCACGAAAGAGTTTTGCACGGTCGTCGTGGATCTGCAAATACTAACAACTACTACCCGCACCCGCTCTATAGCAATCCTACCGTTGCTAGCTCTGACTTGACAGCGTCTGCGTCTAGTACTGACATTAGTCAGCCACGTTCCAAAAATCAGAGAAAGACGGAGCGTGACTTCTCGAAGATTCCAAGCCCAACGTTAGAATCTAGATCTAGACCCCCCAGTCGTCGTCATCTTCATTCCCCCGTGAGAACGGTTATAGAGAAAGGAGAGGAAAGTCGGGCAAGAAGAAGACACATCTCGCCAGTTTGGGGTCTGCCACAAATCCACCCTGGTAGGACATCTCCTGGACCTTACCGTATCGCTTTCAAAATGCCAGAATTGACACCGAGTCCAAAACTGGAATCAGCTTCTCTTCCCAAGTCAAAAACATTCGGCGTCTTCTCTACACTCAAGAACTCATCTTCTATTCAATGGCTTAATAGTAATCGCTCAACCTCGAATCCTAGTCGTGCTGCCGAGCCGACTATCTCGACAACAAAATACTCTCCAATCCCAGAATTTACAACAAACACTCTACAGGTTCATACTGCCCAACCTTCAGCCTACTGGTGCGGTCGATTTCAAGCTGTATCTGACAGATATCAGACCGATGATTTTGATGTTTGTGTTCTCAACCCCCTCCCTGCACCACGAGACAGCGACGTCAAGCGTGAGAAACCATCCTCCCACTACAGACGTGGTGGTAAAATACTTCAGGAAACCAGTTCTCAATCCAGATCCAATTCACCTACTCCACTCCTTGAGAAGTCCCGCAAGAAGACCCCAGCAAAATCACACAAGACTGTTCTTGCTTTCTCAACTCCAGCACTTTTCCTTGAGGATTTTGACAAAAGAGCCCAGAAAGTCATGGTGTTTTTAGCATCATTGTGCTGTACGAGCCCTGCCAAGAAAAGTCTTAGGGAATGGCAAATTCAATATGCGACAGCAATGAAAAATAAAGCTTTGATGCCTAAGAATGATTCTGATGATAAGGGGTTCTTTGGGAGAATGGGAAGAGTCATTAGTGATGGTGTGACTGGAAACAAAAATAGCACAAATGGAAGAGGGACTGGAATGGGAAAGCGAAGCGCGTTTGGGCTTAGGAGAGGTGGCAGAAGTGCAGCTGGGGATCACTAATTTTTCTACCTAGTTTATGGATCAAAGCTTGGATGTATTGAGAGCGAGGCTTGACATATTGGAGTACCAACGTTCTTACTATTTCATCTTTGGAGAGATGGTGGAAGGGGTTCCAAGATTGTAATAGAGAGATTGGTGAACGAACGATATTGGACTTCACGAATACAAACAGACATGGCAGTACGATGGTTATGAGAGATGCGATACAATACAATACGATACGATACGATGAGATACGATAATACGATATTATGAGAACCGCACGCCTCGAAACGAAATGGTTCAATACAGTACAAGAAGATGAGAGCAGAAGACAGATTCCGAGACATTGTGTATAGAGTAGCTGAAACTAATATTTCTGATTTCTGAAAAGGGCTGCAGAGAAGCAACAGTAGTAGTAGTAATAATAATAAGAACATTTGACCGTTTGGAATAAAGCTCTAAGAATAGCTTCGCTTTTTAAATCAAGATGATCCCAAGTGGCAAGCTCTGAAGACAAAATCATTGACTATGGGCCTAAGTAGAGCCATTATTCTTATTCTTCATAGTAGAAAGCCCGGAGAATCGGTGCTGTACATACTCGAGTACTAGCCCCAGCTATATTCTTCGTTCTTTTACCCCTTTGCATCTTTCCATCAGGACTACCAGTATATTGCTTCCGACTCATCTCATCTCATCCTTAAGTTCCTGCTATTTGTGTCTATTATCAAGTACTCGAGCATACTTATTGCTCTATTACTCGTATTACTCATAGTACGAGTACGAGTACGAGTAGATGTAGATGTAGATGTAGATGTTTTCTACATTTTTTGGTTGGCTGTTGTATGTATGTTATTGAGGACCCTAGCATTGCATGGCAGCTCACAGTGCAGTATTCAACGCAACAAGCCAGTCAAATTAAATGATTTTCGAGAAAATATACTCGAGTAAGGCTACTTTGATACGACCGGAAGCCCTTCATCAGTATAGATTTTTTTATATACTCTCGACCTTTACATCGTTGAATTGGAGAGCATTGCTTATACGATACTCTATACAGTACGCCGGACTCATCAAAAAGCGATATTGAAGGAGGGGGATTATGGTAAAAGAGGTTAAGTTTAAATAGCTGATGACATAAACCGGCAATATCATCATAAATTCCAAAATACATATCCTATACTCTGTATACAATACGCCATACATACATAGTATAAGCGCCCTCTAATTCCCCATCTTCGATTACAATTTACTACTCCTTCTCCAAAAACCAATCACTCATTCACTCCCTCATTACTCACTCGCAGCATTTCTTCCCATCCACCAACCTACTCTCCCCATCCGCCAAATTCAACACACTCTTCAGCACCCCACCCTTACTCGCCGCCACACTACTAGGCGTACTACAATAACTAGGCGGAACATCCAACGCCGGATTCTTAATAAAGAAATTTCTGGGTCTCAGCAACAACGTCATAGGTTCCGCCGGCATAATGGGGAAATCCTCTGGACTGGGAAAATGCGTAATACCAAACGTGTGCCAAAGTACAATATCCGTATTTTGAATTGAAGCATTGCCGTTGGCAATCCATTCCGGGAGACCGGCGCTAGGCTCTCCCGATGTTTGAGGGACGTGGCGACCGGCGGGGTGGAGTTGGTCGTCGGAGTATGGCGTGACGTGGACGGCGTGACGGGCGAAGCCGGCGCGTTTCCAGACCAGTGAGCCTTCTTTGGGGAGGAGCTTGGGGATTTCTCGACTGACTAGTTTGTAGGAGACGGGTTTGTGGGAGTAGGGGTTTAGTTTATTCGTATTGGCCATTTCCCACGTGCGGGATGTGACGCCGTCGTAATCACTGATAGACTCATTGACTGTTTTGTATTCTGTTTTCTTGGCGAAAAAGGCGTTGCCGTAGGGGTTTTCCACGGAACCGACCTCGCCGGCACCTTGCATCGCGTCGGCTTGGAAGACAGTGTTATCAGGGCCGTCGATGTTGGAATCGATGCGGAGACAGAAAAGATGTTGATGATTGTGTGCGTTGACGCCGGGATAGACTTCGGTACCCCAGCCTTTGGTATCTTCACCTGGGTTCATGGCATAGGTGTTTAAGATACCGGTGAGTTTGATTTCGAGTTGGATCGTGCCGTCTTGGTGGAATATCCAGTACACGCAGTATTCGTAGTTGGCGGCCGTGAAAATGTGGGATACGATCAATTTACGACCGCGCGTTACAATGACGGACTCATCGCGGAAATCGGTGTGCTTGAAGAGGATGCCGGCATCTTCTTCGTGGACGCAGATGGCATTTTTGATGGTAGTGCTTTCACCCGCGCGGTTTACGAAGGCGGCGTCCTAATTTGTTTATTGTCAGAGGGGTTTTGATATAAAGTATTTGAATGGTGAAAACTGTACCATGTAATGGATTGCACCTTTGCAGTCGCAGCCGAGGGTGAGACTGTTGGTCATGTATCCTCCTCCGTATTCTCCGAGATCAAAAGCGTGTTTGCGTTGATGGGGATGCTCGGGGTTACCATAAGGAACGACCATCTCTGCGAGAGAAAGCCTGTAAAACACTGGTCTGACGTTGCCCTTATCGTTGTATGTAATATTGTTAAGGACAATTCCTTCTTTGTAATTGAATCCAACATGGAAGTTCCAGTTTTGCCAATTAATCTCCCGACCATCTACCTTGAATGACACGCCAGATGGCTGTGTAATATTGATTGGAGTGATGTCTTTTCTGTAACCCCCGTCCTTTTCTATACTCGCTGGATGGTAATTGTTCGGTGGTGCCTTGTTGACTGGTCTTCGAATATCGGGGATATCGATGTGGATGATCTTTTGCTTTTCGGCATCAAAAATAGGACAGAAATCAAGGGGAAAAGAGTATTGAGAATCATCCATGTGAGGTCGGTAGTACATGAGTGCTTGTTGTAGGCGAACGTCGTTACCAAATCGGTGATCGTAACCAATGGTCCAAGCTATTATCGCTTAGTATAAGGGGGGTAGGCGAGAAATTCTGGGAGACTTACGGTCGCAATATACTTTGTGCATATCTTCCGCTGGAATACCACTCAAAACACATTGTTCAATTACCTTGGGGTCTTTTCGAACGACATGTTCAACAGTTTGGAGATCTTCCATGGTGATCTGGATATTTTCATTAGCCCAATTTCCTAATCACATTGTACAAAATTCTAGCAAAATTGAAAACGTACCAAAGGTTGTACACCATCAATCTTTTCCCATTTCACCACTCTTCTCTCTGCCAGATCCACCAAACCATCGTAAACCTTACCGCCCGGCGCAATGACTACCACATCCGCCATCCTCTTTGGTCTTGGGATACTTTGTGGACTTTCAAGCCATTTCATCATCTCCTTTTTACGTGGTTCATACAGTGTGATGGCATTATAATGAAGAGACCCCTTCTCAGCTCGGATGATCTGAACAGCTCTCTCAATTTCTGCATTGGAAAGAGGATCGAATGGATGTGGTAAAGGAGAGGTAGCGGAGAGGTGATGTGCAAGAGATTGAAGTCTGTTGGTAGCCATTTTGACGAATTGCATAGGTCAATTGGGGAAAAAAATGTGAGATCTCCAATGGAAGCTGTGAAACTTCTTTTCGGGTCTCAAACGGAAATGAAGCTTTTACAAGAGAAAGAATAAGAGAAATGATTATACAGAAAAAAGATAATTAGGGGATTTCCTGTCTCAAATATATATCTTCTACAAGCATCTCCACTGAATGTAAGGTACCTGTGCGTGGGCGGGACTTGGTGTATCAATCGGGTCAAGACACGACAGTTCAACTCATGTAACTGTTTAAGCGGTATCCTCATTACATTTCTAAGGAGTATTGTGAGGATCTCGTATGGTTGAATATGGGTGGACGAATCCTAGCTCTTCCGATGATACGACCGATGGCTTTGATAGCTGTTAGAGCAAAATGTGAAGCTTGGAAGAAGTGGATAGAGGGGTACGATAAGCTTAGGAAGATAAGACTTTCTAAACCCGATCGGGTCAGAGAATCCGGCAACACGTGATCAATGAGTCTTTCTTCTTAAACTGCACGAATTGGGAATGAATTTCCGGACGGACTTCATGTGGGTGAGATGAGATGTAGGAAGGTAATGACAGCGAAGTTCATCTGATAATTCACCGAACAAATGGTTGTTATGTAAATCATTATAAGATTTCCGGAAGAGCTTTGGTACAGATAGATCGTTGGAAAGATCTCAGCACAAGACGTCGGATATCATGACCTTCCAAGGTATAAGACTGGCAGTGGATGACAAAGCTTTAAGACAGATGGATGCCAGGCGAGAGGAATGAGGAGGTTTATGTTTGTCGAAAGTGTTCGGTAGGGTAATGAAAGCGGCATGGAGATGAAATTTGAGAGGTGAGATTGAGAGCTTTTCGGCAGTCTGTTACATAGGAAGTAATATACTCAAAGCTCAACGTGGAACATGCAACATATTTTCTAGCAAACATTTAGACCCGACTCCAATACCTTTGCAACCCCCTGCGCAAGAATATCATGCATCGGATAAGTAGGATGCAAAGAATCCAGCCAGAAATACTCGTTGACCGGTATGTAACAAGATGGATCGGTATAATTTGGTGTCGGTGTACCACTACTTCTGATTAGTAGGCCAAAACTCATCCAATCGATGAGTAGGTTAAAACTTACTTCTCGTAAGCAATGCAATAAGCGGTGGTGTTTTGGTAGACAGCGGTTTGAGGGAAACTTTTTGGATTATCCAATACGTTTGTAAATAGGGCGTGGACATCAATTGTAAATATATTGACGTCGGAGAACGTTCTCTTCAGGTTTTGGGCAAGCGCTGCGAGACGGTCATTCCAGTCAGCAATGTCAAGTTTTTCTTGGGCTTGGGAAGCGGCACCACCGGAAATCGATAGGGGACTTCTGTCAGCGGGTGGGACATTCAAGAATGCAAAATTCCGAGCGCCGATATAGTAGAGCTCATCAATCAGACCGTGGTAAACCGCCATTACTCGTTCGTTAAGATTTGTGGTTGCTGGGACTCCAAGAAAGTACGAATTACCTACATCGTTGATACCATCAAAATCGCAAAAAGAGTATTGTCGGATGACCATGGAGCTGTTTTGGTTTTCCTGCGTAAGTAGGAAAGAATTGATTTTCAATCTGCTCGGCAATCGATGAAACTTCTGGTTTATAAGGAGCAACGAGATCAGAGTTGACGGTCGCTCCTCCATTTGTCAAATTATATGTTAGGACGGTAGACTTGTTGTCTTTGACTGTGAGATAGTCGACCCAATTTTGGCCGTTGGTTGCAGGATAACCTAGCAAAAATAAGGGCAACTTGGTCAAATCGAGGCTGGTTTAACCTGGATATGGAGGATTCCCAAGTGGATTGGTAGGTGTTGGCTGAGTGCCGTTCGTCTCAAATCCTGTTGATGTATATGAATCTCCGCTAATACGATCAGTAGATGTTTTTCTTTCTTTTCCAAGATCCTCTCACAAGATAAATGCATATTGCACTTTCCCCCATCCTGGCCAATCTGAGGTTGCCGAGCAGTATTTCTGAGAATCTTGGGTCAACTGTGCCCCCTGGACGGAAACGAGGAGAGATGTGACAACAAGCATATTTATAGATATTGACAAGAAGGGTGAGTTGTCGGTAATGAGGATGCACTGTAGACGATGCTATGGGAGAAACGGTGAAAACATATGAACAAGTGCAGATACTAATAATGTCTTTAGAATTCCTTGATAATAGCTACAAGTAATAATTTTCACAAAACTTAATGAATATATAAGCACATTCAAGTCATGATGTCCCCAAAAAATCATCCCCTGCAGGGATTACGCATCGTGCTAAGATGTTGAGATGATGAGATGATGGGAAAGAGATATAATTTGATCAAGACTTCTCTCTTACTTTAACATTTGAGGAGTCAGTGTCTAATGAAATGATATCAAGAAAGGCGTAGGAAATTCATGCAGTTGCATCGTCGCTCTTACGCCCACTCTCGGAAAATGGAGGGGTTAAACCCGTAATTCCAGCTGGACTTTCAATGGAATGATATAATTAGATAATTAGTCAAGCTCAATCAATACTCATTGTCGCCAGAAAGTCCGCAACTCGGGAACTAAGAAAACTAGGTTACTCCCTTACCCGAGTTGCAGACTTTCTATCAATTCATAAAACCTTCTCACACACTTTTTTTTATAGGCCATTAAAACAGGTGCATAATCTTGGCATATATTTCATCACATACAGGTCACATGGGGGCTAGCTTAGCGTACTTATTAGCTCGAAAGGCGGCTTATCTTCAGGCCGCTCCCTATTTCACAGCATCCCTACGACCTCCACTAAATCATTTCCATTTAAGTCGAACACAAACAAATCAAATCGGCGAGATAACTAGTCGGCATTACTAGCACCAAAGCTGACCAGATAGCTTATTTTAAATGTGAGTAGCTCCGGGGGAAGAGATGCTGCGTTCGCGAGTTAAGAAAGATACCTAGTAATAGCTTGCCGCTGCCATATTTCATCCCAAACTTTAGCACATTCAATCACCTACCACAACTCGTCCTGCCTTCACTCTCTGACTCTTCCACCCACCTCCGTCCATCAATATGACCCCACGTCGAGCAAAGCGAAACATCCCAAAAGATGGGCGTCAACGCTCAGTGCCAAAAGACGGGAGTAAGTAAGCCTTCCACACCAATCGTTCACTTTGATTGACGCTTGATAGAAAGGCGGTCAGAAAGAATCAAGAATAAACGACCACAAGTTCCTTCTCATAAAAGCGCACCTCTACAACCCCATAAAACCACGAACACCGAACCCAAGCATACACTTCTCTCCCCAACCAGCAACACTTTTGGGAAAGATGCATGTCACTTCCTCCTTCTATGCTACAGACTGAAGATCGAAAACGAAAAGATCACAAGAACCTGAAGGCCCATCTAGTCTTTCTCCATCCGAGCCTCTTCGAAAGCAACGACGGGCGTCTCCTGCTATTAAGGATACGAGCACCAACAATAGTAAAACCAATTCAATTGATTACTGGATCAAAGAGGGACGCTGGCCGAAGGAATATTTCAACCAGGACGATCAGACTAGAAAAGATTTCGGAAACTTCAACGAGATACCCTGGTTAGCAGCGATGGGGCTCAATCACCTACTTGTAAGGAATGCTTTTCGTGGTAAACCATCGGAAGCTAGCTCCGTCACATCCAGTTCAGTCAGCGATCGGAAGCCGAGGGAAGTCAACACTTATAAGCATGCAAACTATGTGACTGCGCTTGCTAGCAAGAATAGTTTCATGAAAGAATTCGTTAAGGGTATTGAAAAAGTAAGCAGTGATCTTTGTCAAACCTTACTCTTTGCAGAGCAGACATATCCCAAGGACTCATTATTTCGCGAAGATCGATTCAAAACTACTTGCAACAACATTTGCGACAGAAACGAGTCCATAGTTGTGCGAGATATCGGCCAGCTGATTGTCCCTTCTGCCCAAAATCTAGCGACATGCGGTGCTGCGCATCTTGAGGATTTAATTGACAGTGCCAATGAAGGCTGGAAGAGCGCCAAACCTTTTCTTGGTCCTCGTCCACAACCTGATTATTCCGTGGGATTTAAAGAATCTGCATTTACGCATGATCAGCTCGAAAAGCTTAAGCCTTACGTTGGCGAGGGTCTAGATACTTCTCCGTCTCATTCCTGGCTATCTTGCAGATGTACTTCCCGTTCCTGACCTGTGAGGTTAAATGCGGTACCGCGGCACTTGATATTGCAGACCGACAGAATGCGCACAGTATGACCCTGGCAGTGAGGGGTGTTGTTGACCTCTTTAGGTTGGTAAAACGCGAAAAGGAGCTCCATTTACAAATTCTCGCCTTCTCAATCTCACACGACCACCTATCAGTGAGAATCTACGGCCACTACCCTGTAATCGATGGAGATACAACCAAATTCTACCGCCATCCGATTCGTAATTTCGGCTTCACGGAACTGGATGGTAAAGAGAAATGGTCGGCTTACCAGTTCACCAGGAACGTCTACGACATATGGATGCCGACTCACCTGGAAAGAATACGTTCAGTCATCGATTCGTTGACCGGTTTTGAGGTCTCGCAGCAATCTGAGTCGTATAAATCCGGACTCTCACAGGTGTTGAACAGCCAGCATCTCTCAGAGCCTTTAGATGAGGATGGCTCATATTTGTGGGGAGAAGCTGAGGGATCAAATAAAAACCCCAAGAAAAGAGGTCGGGTTCTTGAATCACATTAGCAAATGGTCTCACCGACCACAACTGACTGGTACGAAGGAATTGATGGATGGGGCAGCATGAGATTAGGAAAAGGTGCGATAGGCGGAACACAAGAAAACAAATGGAGAAGCAGATATTAGACTAGTGATTGCCAAGGTCAACAGACCTTTCACTGCGAGTGTGAAACTAATTGGTGGATTGTTCAATAAATTGCATGGTCAATACCTCCAATAATTTCATTGAATTATACAGCTTTCCAAACTATTTCGTAGCAAACAATACGCCTTGAATACCGAGTCCAGATCTGAGCCTCTTCGCATAACATATGGGTTAGTTCCCGGAGCTGATAGACCAGTTGTTGGCCTCAAGCAACGCATAAAGACTTCCCCCTCTCTCTAAGAGTGCTTGAAGTGTCTCTAATTACTGACCCCAACCATAAATTGTTGGCTTCAACAACGTTGTATTGAGATGTGGGAATATGCGTTCAAACTCCTGCAGCAGAGATAGGCACCGGCACACCTCTCCATTCCATGCCATTTTCCCAAACTGCCATGCACTTCCAGGTGCATGGCATAACCTCAGGAAGCCCTGAGCTGAGCTTCTGCGTACCCACTCTTTCATATGCGACTTCTTCGCAGATCAAGCTAATTTGAAGAGTTCTTCGCTAACTACACAACCCACAGGCAGTTCCTATTCATATGGACCAATCCAGCATCTTTCACTAGGACAACCCCTTACGCGGCCTGACTCGCCTTATACTAAGTGACCACACGAGCTGAGCACTACTAAAGCCCCTCCTCCGGGATACCTTCCCGCATGGGTAGATCATCGTTATGCCCAAGGGAGTCCAGCTAAGCGCCAGTATAATCCAGTGCCTCAATCTGCCTTGAGCCTGCCTGTTGCGGACTGACTAACCAACTCAAAGGGATTAGCTAGGCTAGTGGGATACTCAAGGGCACGTTGATGACCAGCGTTTGCCGCCAGAATGGCCTGGTAGTTGAGAGGGTACGCCTCCACAAGGAAAAGGAAGTGAAACTTTCATACATGCAAAATCAGGCAGAACAACCTCGGTGTCGAAGTTACGTTGATAGACTGCCACTGCGGCCCCTTCCGAAGACGGCATTGCCGTTGCATGAATCGGTGCCGATACGATCCTAGACTGGCAGGATTTACATCAATCTCCCAGTGTCACTCGACACTGTACATGAATCTTAAAAAAAGAAGCAGAATTTAATCTTATCTGAGAACCGAGGAGTTGAGGCCAATAGATAGTATAGTTAATAGTGTTGGACATCGAATATTTCCAGAAAAGGTTGGTGTTTCCATATCATCAAATATTATCGCGATATCTTGGCAACAATACTCATACTCAGGGATAAGATAATAAGCAATTAATCTGATCGCCATCTACGTCACCTAGCCTAGATTCCTTACAAGGAGGACCTTATGGTGGGTGCCCTGTAGAACCACAATGATTTATCAGAATGAGTAAAAAAAGATTGAACATAGACAAGTTGAGACAACAGACAATATATCAGCGCCAATAATAAACTCCACATATAAACTCCACCAATCTACTTTCAAATCGTGGAGAATATCAAAAAGTCGATGAGCAGATTCAGCAGAAGTCCATTATTATTTCAAAAAGCTTTTCATATGCAAAAAAAGCCCCTTTGGGCAGCAAGATCATTACCAACAGCCCAATGATATTGCGTAGCGAAGTGAGACCCTTGAGTGAATCCTTGAACACTTCGACACTTCGTCACCTTAAACCTGTTTTGCTTCATGGCATTCAATCATTAAATTCCCGAGTCACCAACCAACAAAACCCAAGATCCTCGAACAATAAACAATACCTATCCACCGAACAACACGAAGTTTATTCTTCTTTTTCTTCCCAGCCTCCTTATAACGACGTCTTTTTGAGTTACTCATTAGTTGTTGGTTGGATTTAAAACACACCCACACCCACACCCACAACGTTTATGATCACTTAAGCGGGGTTATCAGTTCACATCAACTGAATCGTTTCGCATAAGACATCTCTCAGCTGAACATCAACACTTCTACACTTCCAAAACACACCTTTCACCTTTTCATTTGATTTTTCGAAATCAAATTAGAGGAACCATGTCTAGAATGGGAGATCCTTATCGTGATTCCTCGGAAGCCGGTAGCAGTTATGGCGGGAGCGGCCGTGGCGGCGGGGGCAACCGTTGGGATAGTGAGCGGTTCGCATCGGAGCGTGACCGAGTCCGCTTCGCACCAGAACGAGATGATCGGGATTCTAGATTTCTTCGAGCCACAGCTGGTCATACACGAGAACGATCTCACGATGATGTCTATGAGCGTCGAGGACCACGAGGATATGAAGAGGAACGAGAACATTACGAAGAACGAGATTACTACGAATCACCCAGATTACAACGAGAGCGAGAACCAGAAACGGAAAGACAAAGATCTACAACTATTACATTGGAGAGAGAACGAGAGAGGGAAAGAGACGATTCTCCACCGCCTCGAAGAGCTGGTGGCAGACCGGCATTTCTGAGAAGACAGAGTTCCCTAGATACCTTTGACCGCAAGCCGTTGGTGAGGTACGAGAGAGAACATGAGAGGGAAAGGGATGAATATGGACCTCCTGCCAGACGTCCAGATGTCAGACCACCTCCTTTGACACCGGTTCCACTACCAAGAACCAGAGGATTGCCACCACCTAGAAGATATGCCGAACGAGATTACGAGGAGATCAAGGTTGCGGAACCCGACTTTTATGGTGACGAAGACTTCAGAGCCTACCCCGAAGTAATTAGAGAAAGGGAAATCGTCAGACGAAGAAGAAGAAGAAGCCACGAAAGAAGAGGAAGTCACGAAAGAAGAAGCCACAGAAGCCATAGCAAGGAAAGTCGTTCAACTGCTACGAGAAGTATTAGAAGCGAAAGTGTCAGTTCGTCCGATAGTGGTACCACGATATCAGTTAGAAGCGAGTTTCCTAAAAAGGGAAAGACGAGGATGCCAGCTAGACTGGTCAGCAAGCAAGCTATCATCGATTTAGATTATCCTTTCGTAGAGGAGGTTAGTCATTCATACATTTATCAATCGAATACACTTTTGACACATACATATAGGGTGATACAATCATCATTCAAAAGGCACTTGGAAGAGAGAATATCGATGAAGTTATTAAGTTAAGTGAAGACTATAAAGCAGCAGAGAGTGAGTATTTTGTTTTTCATTTCCCCTTCATCACTGCATTGAAATATCCTAACTCCATTCTTCCAAAGAAGCCAAAGAGACGAAGGAGGTAGAGACCACTCTAACAACATACCTCGTTACTCCAGAACTCGAAATGTCCGGTGGCCGATCAGAAGCTGGAACCATAATCGAAGAACGTACTGAGGTCTTTACTATCCCACCACCCCTACCATCAGTACACCATGCGCCTCCGCCCCCGCCATCAGTTCATCATGCACCCCCACCCCCACCGTCAGTATACTACACACCTCAACCTCCGCCAGAGCCAGTACGCTACACACCTCAACCTCCCCCAGAGCCAGTACGTTACACACCTCAACCTCCACCAACGCCGGTTCAATGGGCACCACCTCCTGCATCGATTGTGTACGCACCGCCGCCTCAACCAGTTATCTATGCACCACCACCACCACCTCAACAACATGTTGAAATCCATGAATCTACTAGGATTATCGAACGTTCTCCATCTCCAGCACGAAGCACTTATTCTCACCATAGCCATCATAGCCATCATAGCCACCATAATCACCACCATCTTGACCCCGTAATTCTGGAAGGACGCCCTCGATCGCGAGACGAGGAAAGTGTCTTTTACGAGAAGCGGGAAATCATTGAACGCACAGAGCCTATTGGTGAAATGTCCTTATCACGTTCTCGTAGTCACCGTAAGGATGAGCGTTCAATTCGGGCCGAAATCAAAGCCCTCGAGGCCGAGAAAGAAGCCCTCAAGGCAGATCGACGGGCCAACCGAGAGATACGTCGCTCGGACCGTCATCGTCGTGAAGGCGGTCGACATAGCGATAGCCAATTGGTACTCTACGAAGATGAAATACATGATGGTAGAGATGTGACCATTGTAAGAAGAGAGAGGATTGTAGAACCTGAAGGGGGCGTCAGGATTGAAAAGGACCGAAAAGGTAGGATGAGCATCAGTATTCCTAAACATGCCTATCGTTAGGTGTCTTGCCCGAATGAGGTGGGTCTACTTGGCATTGGGTTGGGTGGTTTTCATGATTGAGGGCTAACCAGCTTCTTCTTCATAGCTCCTCCACCAAAATTGATTAGGGCCATGTTGGCTACTCTGACTTAATTACTGCCTTTTGACATTCAGTACTCTTTGCTCTTCACATCAAGCGCATATCGAGCCGAAATGGAATAATGCCATGCCGCTGAAACACGGCAATTTGTGATTGGATTGGATGGAGCTCATGGGGTTTTCTACGTGGGCAGAAATTGTACTCAGTTATCCTATCTTCTTTCTGGAACCTTTCACAGCATGGCTTTTTAGATTGTATTTGACATGAACACGGATTCATGGGAGGGAGAGATATTGGACAATGATTCATGAGACGATATCTACAGCTACAGCTACGGCTTTACGGTTTTTTTGTTTTTCATTCGAAGATACACAACTTTAGTTATGATATGATACGTATAGTACAGCTTTTGCCCCCTTCTTCTTCTTCGTCTTCTTCTTTCTTTGCTGCCTGCCTGCTGCCTGCTGCCTTCTTTGGGCAAAGTAACTACGAAGTGATGGGTTTTCTTTTGATCGTGGGTTATTGGGTTATTGGGTGGTGGGATATATATGAATGGATGGGTTAGGTCCATGGGTAGGTAGGTGTTCGCAGAATCCTGGATCCTGGTGGAAGGAGGGAAGGAAGGAGGGAAGGAGAATTGAAGAAGAAAAAAAGTAAGGATCTGCGAAATATTTGGGGAGAGCATAGCTTGCTTTTTAATGATGTTTACGAGTATGATTATGATGATAATGATGGAATATGAGTTTGGTGATGGTGAACTATGAGTTTGGTGTGAGTGTGAGTGATTTTTCAAATCTGTTGGTTGGTGTGGTGTGGTATCTGAAGTACTCGAGTGAGTTAAAGGAAAGTGTGAAATGTGAGGGGATTGTTGGATGGTGGATGTGGATAGTGGAAGTGGAAGTATTGGTTATATTGATATAAAAATAAAGTAATAAAGTCGCTGTTTCTATCCTTGCCCTTTGCATGCCGGGGTAGATAGGTAGGTAGATAAATGAGAAGGGATGAGATGAGATAGAATGATAATGAGATGGACATCTTGATAATCTTGAGAATCAGGCAGGCAGACTCCCCAACTTTCTAACCACTCGAGACAATTTTTTTTTCGAATACAGAGGGGGAAGGAAAACTACAAATTAGTTACAAAAGTCTTTTTTTTTTGGAAAAACGTTTTTGTGTACTCGTTTATATATATATAATAAAACTAGAGCTTGATAAGCTCGTTTGGAACCCATTACCAAATGGTAGGCATATATACTCGAGTATACGCATACCCAAGGTATGGTACCCAATATCATAGTATTTTAACCCCCTAAACGCCTCGCTATGCATCCTGATCCTGATCCTGACCCTTCCTATAACCTTCCTTTCCGTTTACCTACCCAATCTCCATTCTAGTTTCCAGCTTGAATCTTAGACTCGACTCCACAAGCCTGCAGAGTTGAGTCTTCTCAGGCTTAATTCCTTCGTCATCATATGCATCTCGTCAACCGGTATGGTTTCCAAAATAACCCTCCATCCATTGACAAACCGCAGACTGGTTTTCTTCTAGTTTTGATTTGGCGATTTGAATCGAAACCGCGACACAGAGATCCTTTTCCTCTTTCCTCTTTCCTCCCATACCTCTATTTTATTTTCCTCGCCTTGATATAATCCCTTAACTGTTCCACCCTCGTCACAAAGAACATCCTCTTCGAATCATTTTTCCAAACAAACACTCCCACCTCCTCTGCATATTTCGCACACGCTTCGTATTCCTTCTGGCTCTCGAAATCCTTGAACAGGAACCCTGGCATCGCTTTCATCCTCTCGTTTTCCAATTGCCAGAGTCGGATTTGATCAACCACTGTAGGTGGTAATACAGGTCCACCGTTAGCTGCGACAGAGGCTTTGATGAGTTGGGGATGCGCGTGGGTGGATAGGTAGGTAATTATTTGGTCAGAGGTGATGCCGTGGGCTATGGCGGTGCTGATGGAATCGCGAGATATGCGGCCGCTGACCATGTTAGGATAGCGGGTGTTGAGCTTGGTGAAGAGGGAGAGGACGGCAATTTGAAGGGGTGAGGAAGTGTAGGCGTATAGGCGGTAGTTGGTTTCGATTATGATGAAACCTTTTTGACTGGCGGTGGATTTGGAAGCGGCGTCGAAACCAGCGGATACCGTACGGAGAGCACTGGCATCTGAAGTGAGGGTTGTGGCGAGACGGGTTGGGAAGAATTGGGTAGGGGCAGATGGGGGGAGGTAGATAAGCCCGAAATCGATGAGGTTGCCGAGCATGTTGTGCTGGGCATCTGTGAGGGTTGTGGTGCTATATGCACGTCCGAGTTCGAGGGAGCCTAGCATGAAGAGAAAGGAGAGTACCTCGACGGAATCCATTCCCATACCCTCGGCATTTTCAATCCATAGAAGAAGTAAAGTCCAGACTTGCGCATTGGCCTCTTGTAATAGAAACGAGAATCCAGCTTGAGTAATACCCACGCCTCGCCCTTTTGTAACCAAGTTTCCGGCATCGAGTAATTTCTTGACTGAACTTGCGGGTCCTTTCCCCTCTTGTCCCGAGCCTGCTGCAACACTGTTGACCAAATAATGTAGGATCCCTTCCCATTGCATTCGCGCATGCACATCCAAGAAATCTATATCAACATTTGGCGCAACAAGGTCGGACGAAGGGACACCGAAAGATTGATGATCTCCTCCACCAGTAAGTGCCAGTCGTAGTGAGGTTCCAAAATTCTTAGTCAAAGCTACAGTCTGAGGACTTTCTCGGCTCAGCGCAGTAATATCAACGATATGCAGTCGCGATAGTAAGGAAAGGGCTTGATCTTTTTGTCTGGGAAGATTTAGCACGTAGCATCCATTTCAAACCGATTTACAGACCTCTTGCTCTTCGTTTGTACCCATTGATCCAAAGCTGTGAAAGGCAAAGGCTTGGGCATATAGAGTAGTGCCATCACAAATGTTTTGGCAAGATGAGGTAGCATGCGCCTGAAAATGGCCAACGAAGTGGAAGGTTGTTGATACAGTCGTCTAAAGGTTGTACCTGGCAGTCTCTCCAGATACTCAAACGAAGCAAGAGTTGAGACAGACATATTGAAATGGTTGTATCTCCTGTTGTTCGTGAATATTATCAATTCGTCATTACTGTTAAGGTATATTCTCGAGGGGATGTGAATTCTACAGCCTCGCAGATTTGACAAGTACGGTAGCCTGGTGGGTGGGTGGTGGATAATTTTGAGCTTGGGCCATGCTTATCTTTCAAACGTCTTTCCCGGTGAACAGAGAGCAAACGACAAAAGTACTACTCGAGTACTAGTAAAGGCATACATATACATACACTAACACTCTTCCAATATGGCGGCCCTAAGATTTGTGAGATCAGTGAGTGCTATAATGCAATCAAGAGTATACTGACGCTGATATCACCCTCCTGCATAGGTTCTGAAGTCGTTTCAAGAATCATCAGGGCTTGAGCCGAGGTACTGTACTTTTTTCCGTGTGTTACTTGGTAGTCTCTTGCAATGCGAATGCGGTTTCGAACTCTCATCTTAGCTGTACTTTCAGACAGTATCTGGAGTCAATTACAAGTTAAATGTTGCCCGTCGAGGCCTCTCTCACAGCATGTCACATTCGATCCCGTTGTATCGAAATAATGCGGATCTTTTTGCGGCCATTCTGATAGTGAACGCTTTTACAAGAATATTGACTGACATTCAACTGTAGACTTTTTGGTGAAAATGTAAGCTGTCATGGTATATTGTTATCTATTTGTTGAAGTATCTTCATTGACTTTGAGAAGCTTCGAGTCACAGGAGCAGAACCAGGACGTGTATACTTTGAGCTTGATATTAAAAAGGAACACACTGTAAGGAAGCTCTTCTAGACATACATGCTCAGTATTCGTATTGATTTTGAGTTAGAACCGTCTGAACATTATTCATGGAGGTACGATTGCTAGCATGGTGGACTTAGGTGGCTCACTAGCTGTTGCCTCAAGAGGTCTTTATGCCACTGGTGTTTCTACTGATTTGAATGGTAAATGTCTTACGGATGCAATTCAATTCACGGTTTATTTTCTGATCCACCCGAAGTCACATACCTCAACTCTGGTGGTAAAGTTGGAGATATACTAAAAGCAGTTGTAACTTGTGACAAGTGTAAGTATTGTCTCGTCGTCGATTGAATTCGTATCTTTAACATAAGGGTAGTCGGAAAGACGCTAGCATATACGTCCATTCAGTTTACGAATAGTAAGGGCGAAGTAGCAGCACGAGGAAGTCATACAAAGTTGGTCCTCACTTCAAATCTCTCTGAATGTCAAGCTAATCGAGTACATAATAGATACGTTGCACTTGCGTGGAAAGAGCCGAAGAATGTAGTTGAGGAATTGTCACCTCGTCCTTAAGAATCCCAACGTGCCTCAGCCTTATATGTACAATATGACAAGTTCGTTCTGGACCCCAAAACTATCAATAGACTTTCTTCATTGATAAGCGTCTCACAGGCCGAATACCCTTTGACCATAACCCACTTATTTGGTCCCGAGATCATGGTTCGGCTCTCTAGGGCATTGGGTGCGTGTTGCTGATTGTGGCTGTCTTCGGCTATCCAGTATGGGCAATTTATCAGGAGATAGATATGCCAGGTTGTGATATTTACTAGGCCATATACTGTAATTCAATAGTCGATAGGAAATCATTCGCGTACCTGATGCGTGCTACCTTTTGTTCAACCCCTCACGCAATGTACCAAGCAGAAACAAGATGGCGGATTCTTCATGGGTCATGAGGACTGCGACAAGAATAGCAAGTTACACAACATGTGATCTGGCTAACGATTGGATAAACACCACTTGCTGGAGCAATCACAGTTGCCATAGCACGGCGTCCAATAGCAAGCAGAATGTGTACTGCAAGCTCATTCACTTTGCGTCATCTATCGTCGTTGGCAGATATTCACCAGTGGATTAAGCCGCAACGGTGCGTCTTCGGCGTTTTATTAACGGTTTGACAAACCGAGTAACGATGAGAGAAGAGTTTGAAAAGAGCAATTGGTTTACTTGACTAATCGTCTGGTTTGCTTTAGGGCCAATCTAGCAAATCTGATGGCAGCCGTTAATGCCGGGCCTTACCCAATAGCACCATTGTTTGAACTCTTTAACGTAAAATTGTTATACGACTAGCATAATTGCATTGGCTGCATAGACAGTTCTTGTAGTCGTGTCGATATGAGCATGCCAATCCCATGCACAGTAAGTACCGCAAGGCTACCGGATTGAGATCCTTCGGCGGACAATTACCCCAGATCTACTTTAAGTGAATCATCTCTGCTCGTACCGTATTGGTCCAGTTCGACGATCAATTTCTGTAGGAGCATGGGTCTTTCATTCACCAAATTACCCCAATATCAATCTTGAGCATTTTGATTCAGCACGTGCGGGCAAGCAGAATATTAAGTGAATATGGACTGATTAATAGAAAGCAATTACCTATCACCCCACCTTAGGTAGCTCAACTCATGCTACTTAGTAATTCCCAGGTCGAGTTTCAACGATCAGAATTACAACACAATAAGTAACAACCTCCACCCACCTTTACAACTTCGATACACTTTACAGCCTCTGCACCTTTTTAACGAGTCGTTCACTCAATCACGATGTGGTACACTAAAAATGTCTACGTTATCTGCGCTTTTGCCGCGATAGGTATGTGGTTCCTCCCAAAAGGCAATAACAACAATGAATAACATGTACAGGCGGTGGTCTTTTCGGTTTCGATATCTCGAGTATGTCTGGTGTTCTTGGAACGCAGGCATACGTCAGATACTTCCATAACCCTCAATCTTATGGCCAAGGTGGAATAACCTGTGCTATGCCTGCTGGATCACTCGTCGGTGCTTTGTCTTCCTCTTTCATCGCGGATAGATGGTCCAGACGAGCTAGTATACAAATCGCGTGTATCTTTTGGATTATTGGTGCCATGTAAGTGTCTTTTTCTAGTTATTCAGAAAGTACTAATACCTTGTAGTATTCAATGCGCTTCTGTCAACGTGGCCATGTTGGTTGTCGGTCGAGTCATTGCTGGTATCTGCGTTGGTATTGCTTCGTCGATCTGTCCTGTCTATCAATCCGAGATTGCACCAAAAGAGATCAGAGGTCGAGTCGTCTCTCTTCAACAATGGGCAATCACATGGGGCATTCTTATCCAATACTTCATCCAATATGGTGCTGCAACGATTGGAGGTGGCGCGAGTAATCCAGTAAGTACAATGGCCTTAACATTAAAGTTAGCATCCTGATCAAAGTTTTCTCTTTTAGAACCAACCTACCTCTGCTTTCCGAATTCCTTGGGGTATCCAGATCGTTCCCGCCGTCATTCTATTCTTCGGAATGTACTTTCTACCACGATCTCCCAGATGGTTGGCCTCCAAGGACAGATGGGAGGAAGCGATTAAGGTTATTGCAGATCTTCATGGTGGCGGAAATGTGAACCACCCAAAGGTTCTCGCGGAATATCAAGAAATTGAGGAGGCTCTTCGATTCGAACGTGAGGAAGCTGTCAGCAGTTACAAGCAGCTTGCAGCTCCACGCATGTTCAAACGTGTTATCTTGGGAATGTCCATCCAAATGTGGTCCCAACTTTGTGGAATGAACATCATGATGTACTACATCGTTTGTAAGTAGCCAGCGCAGGAATGACGAGAAAATTTTACTAACGATTCTTCTAGACATCATGCAAGGTGCAAATATTGCCAACCCATTGATTACAGCATCCATTCAGTATATTTTGAACGTGCTGTTGACCCTACCCGCAATCATCTACCTTGATCGTTTCGGACGTCGCAAAGCCATGCTCATCGGTTCCGCTCTTATGATGAGTTTCCTTTTCATTGCTGGTGGACTTCAAGCAGGCTACGGAGAACCCAATAACACAAGCAAGACCCAGACTGAAGAAAATAAAAACCTTACCTGGGTTGTCCACGAGAAGAAGGGTGTATCGTCTGCTATCGTCGCTATGGTACGTGCTGTATTTTACCACTGTTGCTTTTCTCTTGTTACCGAGATACTAATTGCTGTTTTCTCAGACATACCTATTTGTTTGTGCATTTGCAACGACCTGGGGACCCTCATCGTGGACATACCCAGCCGAAATCTTTCCAAACAAGATTCGTGCGAAGGCTGTCTCTCTCGCGACCTCTTCCAATTGGTTCTGGAACTGTGTTCTCGCTTTCGCAGTTCCACCATTGTTAAAGAATATCAATTGGAAGATGTACATGATCTTTGGTACATTCAACGCACTTGCTTTCATTCACATTTTCTTGGCGGCACCAGAGACTAAAGGAAGAACCCTCGAAGAAATGGATGAAGTTTTCAACAGTGGACTTCCAGCCTGGAAATCACTTCCGAAGGGATCAAGATTGGACCAACTTGCCAAGGACATCGAAGCTGGAGACCTCAAGGTCACAGCCCCAATTGGTGGTGCTGGCAACGTTGGTGGCGTCGGCGGTGTTGGTGGCGTTGGCGTTGGCGGAGTCACTGGCGAAAAGCACACTCATCACAACGATGATGTACTTACTCCAGACCGCACTCATCATCGCGATGGGGTCACTAATGTACAGCACGTTCATCGTCACGATATCGATGATGAGAAGGCTACGGCGATCTAATTGTGTGGTCATTCTTCGTGATACGTACGCGATTGGTCGCCAACTACAGCTCTTCTCCTTTCATTTGAATACTTAATGATGGTCATCGGTAATAAGTAATAAAATCTTCTATAGGAAGATTGTGTTCTTGGGCAAGATTTAGGTACTTAGCCAAGAAAAATGGGTTGTAGCAGGATTTTGGAGGTTAATCTAGCTCGGGAATTGACAAATCCATCAGTTATCAATAATAAAGCTTGACAATTCTACTCAAACAAGTGAAATGAACTTCAATTGCTGATTATGCAGACAGAGTTGTAGATAATGATCGAGTTAGATGATATTGAAAAGAATATTATCTTAATAAGCAAAGCAAGGGTAATGATACCACCTGGGTAGTCATGTGACATAGGAGGAGCTAAGACATTATCAACGTCATGGCTATTAGCTTCGATCCGGCACAACCAACTCAATTAGATACCTACAGCCATGAAGAAGGTTTTTGGCCATGGAACTACTATATTGATTAAGCGCATGGCGTATCGAATTCATTCCATAGACGTAAGTAGGAGAGGCAAGCTACCAGACTATGTATACTTTTTGAGGTAGAAGATTTTCCTTTATACCGGTATATTATTTCTATCTTTCGATCTCATTATTGAATGTTTACTTCTCTTTCTTCGCATCTGCGCCTCAGCGGACAATTCACATATCTTCCAACTCGGAGAGTCAATTTTAGCAGTGCACGCAGAACTTTATCGTTTAGTCGAAGCAGTCTTCAAAATAAAAGTCTAGAAATGCCACCCAAACGAAAGAGATCCTCGGTGGCGGCAGGGCCCACGGTCAACGGTTCCCCAACTCCAATCCTCCCTCCTAGCCAATCCAGTTCAATCAAGCCATCTGCCAGACTATCACGGCAGTCGTCTCGCAGGGGCAAACTTGACACGAATCCCGAGCACAATGCAGACATTATAGATAGCAAGATAGCACTTCGCGCAAGCCCTGATGCTGATGAGGTTGGAGAGTCTTTTGACTTGAGTAAAATCGAGGTGCCTATAACTCCCGCAAAGGAGAATGGTGTGAATGTACATGTTAAAAACGAGGATAGCGATTCGCCCTTGTCCGATATTGAGGACGATATACCAGTTCCTACGCCCGCTAAGAAACAGAAGAAGATGCCGACGAAAAGCTCGATTGCTGCAAAGAAAGGATCAGATGAAATAAAGGTTTTTGTGGCAGAACAGGCTGCTAAAAAGGCTACGGAGAAGAAAATAAAAAAGGAAGATCATGAGGATGAATGGGATAAGAGGCTTGATCCTGACGGAGACGATGAGGGACATGCGGATGACGCTGATGCTATAAAACTAGAGGCAAGAAGACCGCCTCCCGTCAATAGTGATTATCTGCCTTTACCATGGAAAGGAAGATTGGGATATGTAAGCTTTCCTATACTCGCATTAACTTCAAAATACTGATATCAAAACCTAGGCATGTCTAAATACCTACCTTAGGTCCTCAACCCCTCCTGTCTTCACATCTCGAACCTGCCGTATAGCTTCTATCGTCGAACATCGGCATCCTTTGAAAGATCCTTCACAGCCCGAGCATGCCACCAAAAATCGTCCAGACAAATCGAAGCCAGCTTCTATTGAGCGAGGACAGCGGTATGTTGAAGAATTGTGTCTGGCAAATATCCGTGACCTACCAAAAATGTTGCGATGGAATGATAAATATGGCATCAAATTCATGAGATTGAGTTCGGAAATGTTTCCATTCGCTAGTCATGCTGAACATGGCTATAAGCTTGCCCCTTTTGCTAGCGAAGCTCTTGCGGAAGTTGGGAAAGTGGTAGCTGAATTGGGACATCGAGTTAGCACACATCCTGGACAAGTAAGTCAAACTCTCTATCTTTGGAAAACGGAAAACGGAAAAGTAACAAATGTGTAAAGTTCACACAATTGGGTTCCCCACGCCCAGAGGTCATTGCAAATGCATTTCGAGACCTCGAATATCATGATGAAATGCTCGGACTCCTTAAGTTACCAGCTCAAATCGACAAAGATGCAGTTTTAATCCTACACATGGGAGGTACATTTGGCGACAAAGGTGCCACAATCGATCGCTTCCGCGAAAATTACGCCAAACTTTCACCATCCATCAAACGACGACTAGTCTTAGAGAACGATGACGTATCATGGACTGTTCATGATCATCTTCCCATCTGTGAAGAACTTAACATTCCTCTGTGTCTCGACTTTCACCACCATAACATCATGTTCGATTTTAATCAAATCCGTGAAGGTACTAAAGACATCATGGATCTCTATCCTAGAATTCAAGCTGGATGGACTAGAAAAGGTATCACACAGAAAATGCATTACAGCGAACAGACTCCCCAAGCTGTTACTGGACGCCAGAGACGAAAACATAACCCTAGACCAGCCACACTTCCACCCTGCGTAAATGATATGGATTTGATGATTGAAGCGAAGGATAAAGAACAAGCTGTATTCGAACTAATGAGGACATTCAAATTACCAGGATACGATACATTCAATGATATCGTGCCATATGAGAGAGACGATGACAATCGCGTTTTACCCAAGAAGCCCATAAAGAAAAAGACAAAGAAACAAATCGCAGAAGAGATTGAGGAATTTGGCCATGAGATTGAAGAGGAGGAAGAACCAACCAAGGAAGTAATACCAAAAGAAGAAGTTGGCATGGGAGGAAAGGAGAATCGTGTGTATTGGCCAATAGGTATGGAAGAATGGTTGCGACCAAAGAAAAGAGAAATCAAGAAGAAAGGAACGGAGGGGGATAAAGAAGAAGAGGAGATGTTCAAGAACCCCACACCAGCAAATTTTGAGGCGAGGAAAAGAATTAATGAGAGGAAGAGGATGCCATTTGATGAGGGGGTTAAAGAGAAACTGGCGAAGGCGGGGTGTCTGAATGATGTTTTGGAGGTTGTGGAAATGGTTCAGAGTGCACAGGCTAAAGTGGATGAGAAGGCGGAGGTCAATGGGTTTGCGACGGGACCTGGTGGCTCGTCTAAAAAGATTACTCCAGCTAAGAAGAAGGCGGCACCGGCGTTAGCGAAGAATAGGAATGCGAAGAGGGTGCAGACGCCGAGTGCTAGCGTTTCGAATGAGGAGGATTTGAGTATGCCCGATTTGTCGGCTGATGACAACGAATTGGCGAAACCGGTAACGAAAGTAAGGCCGGCTAGACAGAGTGGGAGAGCTGCGGCAAAGAAGAGTTATGTGGAGGTTGATGGGGAGGGGGATGAGGATGGGGATGAAGAATAGTGTGTGTGTTTGTATATGTATCTATATTCTCGATTTGAAATGGACTTATTCGCCATCTTCTTGTCATCTGGTATATTAAATCTGTGGTCAAAATACCTAGTTATGGTAATCCTGGTATAACATCCTCAGCGATCTAATCCCTCACTCCTGGCAATATATACTTCATTGCATATCTCAGCAGAAACCTTTTACTCTCTCTAGATTGTATGGTATGAAGAGATAATTAGAGACCAGATCTGCGTATAACCATTCCTATTTCTGTGTACTCCCCACCCGCACAATATCTAAAATCTAAAGTTGCAATTGTCGTTTTCGAATGTAACTTGAAGCTCCATGCTTGATGCCACGCTAGTACTCCTTGCTCTAGCATTCTCTGTCGATATCCTCTGCTGATATTGGTATTGGAATTATCCTGACGATGATGATACCATGTTGTCCTCTCTGAGACTGGTACTTTATACTGATGTTCTCCTCGATATTAACAATCTTCCTTACGATAACATATCAGATCATTGTCATTGTCTTTGGCATTCCTCCAAAGAACTAATTAACTCAGACTATACCCGAGTAGCGAAGAACCAGTAAATTCGATTCCGGATTAAAATGTGTTTGTGTTTGTAGGTATGAGTAACGAAAGCGCCATTTATTATTCCATTAATCTATTTAGTTATTCTTGAACCGAGGTACGGGAATGCAGATGGTGAGTCCCCTTCCCATTACCCCTCTTCCTAG